CGAAACCCTTAGCACTGAACCCTAAACACCAGCGTAAACACTAACCCTAAAAGCTTAACACTACGCCCTTAGCACGAACCCCAAACACTGAACACGAAACCCTAAACACTTAAGCACTAAACCCTTCCTAAACACTAAACTTCACTAAACCCTAAACACTTAAACACTACACCCTACAAACTAAACCCTAACCATTACACACTAAACCCTAAAGCCTAAACAGAAGGATGTTTTAAGTTGTCAATGGTCTGGGGCAGCCCCGGTGCCTTCCCCAGATCATTTACATTTGTAAAAATCCTTAAAACCCTTAACCTAAAACCCAAACCCGAAACCCTCAACACTAAACCCTAAACACTAACCCTAAAAACTTAACACTAAGCCCTTAGCACAAACCCCAAACACTTAGCACGAAACCCTAAACACTTAAGCACTTAACCCAAAAACTAAACCTTAAACATTTCAAACTAAACCCTAAACATTAGACACTAAACCCTAAACCCTAAACAGTAAACCCCAAGGCCAGAACCTCGAGCCCTACTAAATCTAAACCTGAAACCAAAAACCCGTCGGGGTTTCAGATGCTTACTGTTTGGATGTCAGAGTTTAGGGTTTTATTTGGGTTTTAGCCGAGCCGCTTGACCCTAAACCCTAAAACCTAAGCTTAACACTCAACCCTAAACACAAAACACTAAACCCTGAAACCTACACACTAAACCCTAAACACTAGATTTCCAGAAAAAATCTGGAGTACCCGGGCCCCGGACTCCAGACTCCAGATTTCCAGAAAAAATCTGGAGTACCCGGGCCCCGGACTCCAGACTCCAGATTTCCAGAAAAAATCTGGAGTACCCGCGCCCCGGACTCCAGACTCCAGATTTCCAGAAAAAATCTGGAGTACCGGGCCCCGGACTCCAGACTCCAGATTTCCAGAAAAAATCTGGAGTACCCGGGCCCCGGACTCCAGACTCCAGATTTCCAGAAAAAATCTGGAGTACCCGGGCCCCGGACTCCAGACTCCAGATTTCCAGAAAAAATCTGGAGTACCCGGGCCCCGGACTCCAGACTCCAGATTTCCAGAAAAAATCTGGAGTACCCGGGCCCCGGACTCCAGACTCCAGATTTCCAGAAAAAATCTGGAGTACCCGGGCCCCGGACTCCAGACTCCAGATTTCCAGAAAAAATCTGGAGTACCGGGGCCCCAGACTCCAGACTCCAGATTTCCAGAAAAAATCTGGAGTACTCGCGGCCCCAGACTCCAGATTACAGACTCCAGAATCTGGAGTCCAGAGTCCCGGTACTCCAGATTTTTTTTGGAAATCTGGAGTCTGGAGTCTGGAGGTACTCCAGATTTTTTCTGGAAATCTGGAGTCTGGAGTCTGGGGGTACGGAAATCTGGAGTCTGGAGTCTGGGGGTACTCCAGATTTTTTCTGGAAATCTGGAGTCTGGAGTCCGGGGCCCGGGTACTCCAGATTTTTTCTGGAAATCTGGAGTCTGGAGTCCCCCCCTCCCAAAACCCCCTTCCCGAGGGGGGGGGGGCGAGCTATATATATATATATATGATATATATGTATATATGTGCACATAGCATATACGAACTGGAGCGACGTCACGGGTCAGGTCACCGCCTTTGCAGCGTCGCTGCCTGGTATCACTCGGAACCTGGGATACGTCACCTCCACGAGGTTCCTTCGCCCGATGTGCGCTTAGGTTCAGGGGTGCTGTCTCTGCTTCGGAACTGAAAGAGTCTCGTTAACCTATCAAAACAAAACAGTGGGCCCAAGATGGGGCCCTGGAGCCTCAAAGCCATAAGAGGCACAAACCTGGAACTTGTCAGGACATCCATCACACTCATGTGGGACCCTCCCTCGGACACAGGAGGAGACCTGCCCTCGGCTTGCTTGCGTGTTTGGCCGTGTGTTCCGCAACAGGCAAACTTTCTGAGGGGCCTCTCCCCTTGCATCCCCCCCCAAAAAATTGCCGAAAAATCCAAGGCGATGGTCGACTTCTACCGGTTGCAGGCAGACGATGGCTTGGGAGGTGCTTTCGGAGATGTGGCGGTGGTTGCCGGAACCTACACCACCATCGAGCCACTTGGCAAGGAAGCCTGCCATTGGACTTAAGAGGGAAGATCGTAGCACTGCTCTTTTGCTGGCAATTGCTGCTACAACATTCCTGTCCCAATCTCAGCTGCTGTCTGTTTGTGTAAATACGAGCTGCAATACTAATACAAGCTATGTTCTCGGATGACCAAATGAGCGACAGGTGTTATTCTCCAACATTCAAGAACAGTTAGACGAGGGGATTAGGGGTAGGTGTAATGTCGAGTAAGTTCGTTCCGTGTGGAAAACGAGAAGGTGCATGGCAGAAGCCTGGATTTCCACGTTTTGCTGTTCGGGTTCCGACATGATTCCACCGCAATAACGAGGCGACATCGATTTGGATGAACAAGTCGGCTCTCAAAGGCACAAAAGTCCTCATGTAGAGGCGGGCTGAACAGGCTTGGCCAGGTCGTGCTGCATAGCTGCTTGCAATAGTTTGCTTACCGCGACGGTTGACAAAGGCACGTCCTTGCAGGCCAAAGGTCAACTGTCGTCTAGGCCCCAAACCTAAGAACCTCAGAAAGCAAGCCCGTGGGTCGAGACTTAGAGATGCTGGCCTGCGATAACGCGAAGTACCAACAACGATAACGTGGGCTGCATGGCCGCTCGCTCACATGTTTTTATGAGATTGTGGGAAATCCTCCCGAGGTACCTCACGCCGGGGCGACCCTACCGCTTCCGCGTTGCCGCCGAGACGGTCGTCGGCACCGGCCCATACACAGCGGTCTTCCAGCAGGCGCGAGCGGGAGGGAGAGGGAGAGACAGGGCTTGGAGGGTTTTTGGAGAGCGGGTTTCTTGATGCCTGTTTTGGCATGGAGTGCCCTGCGTTGACTTATGTCCGAGTGCGCCCCTGCCCCGTAGTTGTCCTTCCTTTGTATGTATTGGCGTCGGTCCACCTGGCCGGCGACTCTCGTGTGCGCTTGTAGTCTTGTCCCACGCGCCCGTATGGCTCACCATTCCCAGTTTCAGGTTTTGTGTCACCCTCAACAGTAGGAGTTGGCTTGTTGCGCTGGCAAAGGTTTGTCCATAGTTCAGCGCCGCCCCTCAGAAGTGTTGATATCGGGTTCGTGCAGGGTTTGGTTTGAGGACTTGAAAAGTGTTTTTGCACGGTTTTGTAGGGTCTTGAAGAGGGTTCCCAAATTGCCCCCGCCACAATTTTCCCTTGTTGTGGCAGGTGGTCGCGGCAGTGCCGGCGAATCCTCAAACGCCCTTAGTGGGATGCCCGGCCTACGGGGGAGGGTGGATTTCATTTTGGAGACCTTGGAATCTTGTAGTTCCTGTACACAGGATCTGCTTTCAACCAGCGCCCGCTCCATGAAATCAGTGGGCAGAGCTGGGTGCCGCGACCTTTTGCGAATCCGAGAAAGGGCTCACGCAACTGTGCGAACTCGAGAAGGTTAGACGAACTTAGCAGAAGGCCGCGAGACTTGTACGAAGGGGCAGGTGCCAGAAGATGATAAACAAAGTCGACGCCACAGCGCCAGCCGGTCGCATCCAAAAATCTCCTAGAGAAAGCCCGCCCAACCAGCGGGCAGCGAGGGTCGCTTCACCACAAGAACCATTGTTTTGCTTTGTTCTTCTCTGCGCATGTTGCGACTGTTGGTTTGGTTTGATCTTGTGCATCTTGTGCCTTGGTTCTTGTGTTCCCTCGGCTTTGCCTTTCTCCGGGCCAGCCCGGGCCAGCCCGGGCCAGCCCGGGCCCTTGCCACAGCCGAGGTGGAGACAATCGCGGGATACACGGACGAGACCTGCACACTTTGTGTGGTTGGGGGGATTTCTTCGTGTGTTTCTTGGTTACCAGAGGACGTAGACTCAGCTTTGTCCCCCCCCCCTCGAGGACCGAGTGCGCGTGACCTGGGCCGAGCCTGCAGACAACGGCGGTTCCCTCACGCAGGGGCCCCGGTCGTGTAAGGGATCGGCGTTCTCTCTCTCTCTCTCTCTTTCTCTCCGTGTCTCTCTCTTTGTCTTTCTCTTTGAGAGAGGCTGGGCTACAAAGTCACCTTCGATGGCCAGTGTGACCGCTATGACGGCACCAGCGTGGCCTCCATCACATCAGCACCTTGGCAGCTTGGGAACAGCTCGGGACAAGAGAGCATTCTCTCTTCAAGAATCAAGCCGTCTCCTGTGGGGAGGTTCAGATCATCTGCGTGACTGGCCAGCCCGGCACCGAGCATTCTGCCACATTCCCAACCTTTGCGGGGTGTGGGTCGGGTGCCGGTGGGGTGCCGGTGGGGACTTTGACTTTTGGTGAGTGCAGAGAGTGGAGGCACCATCTGATTACCGTGGCTGCCCGGAACGTCGTCGGCCGGCATCCAAGAGTGCCACTAATTCCGCGCCCCCCATGAATGGGGCCCAGCTTATGAATCCGTTGATGGCATGTGATGGGTGGGCTCGTCCGAGTGAATGCGAACGCCTGGAACTCCCTTGCCAGAGAATCAGAATCAGAAACGCCCAAAACCACCAACAGGCTTGAACAACCGCAACTTCAAGAGACTCACACACATCCTTCAGCAAATTTTGAAACTTGTGCCGAGCCTCTTTGTCTCCTTGAGGCTGGGGGGGGCCCAGCCCCTCCGTCTCCCGGGTCTGCGGCGCCGAGCCCGAGGCGACATCATCTTTCTAGAGATCCCAACTTGGAGGATACTATTTTAGACATGCCTAAAGGTATCCAGTTGCAACAGTCAGATTGTCGCAGTGAAATAAGAACGCGGAGAAGTGACAAGTAGAGAAGTGAGGACTTACTGTTGTAAATACGGAAACAGAAAGCGCACACACACACATACGCATAAATATAAATGCACATATAAATATAAACATATGAATACATATAAATACAAAAACAGAAAAACCAACATAGACATAAATATAAATAAATATACATAAACATGCAGAAATAAAAAATAAATAATTAAGTCAACAAATCAAAAAGTAAATAAATAAATATGAATATATATATATATGTATATTACATATATGTACGTATAGATTGATCGTGTTTCTATTAACTTCATGAGAACACAGCTCCCGATTCATTTTTCGAGAAGGCCTGCGAACGCACCGCTCTGCCCAACAGGCGCCCGCGGACCTACGGCTCAAGATGAACGTGCCTGCGCAGCGCCGCTCCCGGGCCTTTGGGTGAAGCGGGATTTGGGTTCCCACCCTGGGGACTGCTGTGTTCAAAGTTCTCCGAGGCCGCTGGACATGGTGGACCTCCGCACGCCCTCGTCCATGACCCTGGCCTGGGACGCCGGCAGCCCATTGGCAAGCCCATATCGATACGATTCTGTACGTAAATACGTACGTGTATGCGTATGTGCATGTATGTATGTGTATAGTACATGCACAGTATATGTATATGTATATGTACATGTACATGTACATGTACATGTATATGTATATGTATATGTATATGTATATGCATATGTATATGTATATGTATATGTATATTACTATATGGCAAGCCGGCATATCTTGCCAACAGTGAAGAAGGGGTCACCCAATTCGGCCATCATGGCCACGGCGCTTTTCTTGGCCTGAGAGGTGCCCACCATTGATGGAGGTAACCCTGTGAAATCCTACCAGCTCTACCGTGATGCCGGGGCCCTTCGGGATCCTTTTGGGGCTGCTGTGGGCTCTCATTGCTGAGCTGTCATCGATGTGCCTCCTGCCCCGGCTGAGGCCGGCGACTCCTCCGGCATCTACACCTTGGCATATGCACATGGCTGAGAGGGGCAGCGCATGTATCGTTGTATCGTGGGGCATGATGATTCTTCAGAAGCTTAAGTGTTTGAGCCCCATTCGAGCTGTGCAGCTGCATTGAACAGGCAGGTTCACAGGCGAGTGTCACCATCCACTCCCTGACCAACGGGAAGACGTACCGCTTCTATGCCGTGGCTGTGAACGATGCCGGGACCTTATGCGGGATCTCCCTGAGCCGGGTGGCGCTTGCCAGCTGCACTGCGCGCATGAGCAGGTGGGGCCTGGTGCACGGACCAGCATCTTCACAGCAGAGATGCGCTGCACGCCCCGCAGCCTCGTGGCCGCGCCGTATAAGGCACGTGTCCCGGTGTGTCCACTCCCCGTTAAGTGCACAGAGCATGGCACAGCCGCCCTCTTTATGATCTGCAGGTGGCCGGCAGCCCATGGTCCATCTCCATCGCTTGGCCCGAGACTGCGGACAATTGCGGCCGAGCTGTGCCGGGAGACCTAGACGTCCCCACAAACCCTCCGAAGGACATTTCCAGGGTCCTTAGGCTTGAGCCCGGTCACCCAAGACCAGCTGCTCGTAGTCCAGGGGTCCCCCGTGCCCTATAATCATTCGGGGTGGGGGTGGGGGACAATATCTTCTCAACTCCAACACCAGAGGCCTGCGTGCTCGGGGGGATTTCAGGGTTCAACGGTTCGGCACGTCCCAGCTCGTGGCCAAACATTAAACGTACCGGAAGCCCGGGGAAGTCCCTTCGTGAAGCGAAGGGTAAGGGTGAGTTGATGACTACTTAGCCATGCCTTGCCCCCGACCGTAAGAGCCTTGCTGCAGGTCCAGCTACCGTGTCTACCGGGACGGCAATCTCATCTTCCCACTCTCCAATGAGTTCCTTGCAGCCCCTGCCGTCGTGGGCGCCATCAGCTGGAGCCTCGCGAAAGAGCAATGTCAGTGTCTCCGTGCTCGTGTAAACATAGATCCTCAAGCCTGAAGCTTCGCGCAAGCATCTCAGTCGAAAGTCGAAGCCGTCAGAAGCACGGGGCAGATCGGGGCAGCAGCGGGACCTGCTGACACGGGGTGGAGAGCGAAAGGTGGAGAGGGGGGTGGGATGCGATGCCTTCCAGATCCCTGCAGGCTCGGATGGTGTCATCCTGCGCATCACGGCGAAGGAGTCGGGATCTGCTTGGGCTGCTCGGAAGTGCACGTAGATGTTTGGGGAGTCTTGTTCGGGGATCGTGTCGGCATTGCCTTTTCCTGAGGCTATGCTTGTGGTGGATGATGCGTGCTCCCAAGTTCGGCAAAGTTCCCAAAGACACAGGTCAGGCACAGAAGTCCAACCACCATTCTGCTGACCCACTGCTGCATCTAGCGCGCGCTGACATGGCTGTGCGATGCATCGCGCGACGCATGTCTTCATGTCTCTTCTGTTTTGGCCCCCCTCAGATGAGATGTAGAGGGTAGACATGCCCGTGTGGCTCCACCCTTTGCATAGCGTGATCGATGTTTCCCGCTTCCAACCGCACAAGCTGGTCGCAAGCTCGAAGGACCCGAAGGAGGACCAAAGAAGCCGCGGCGAGAAGCTGCAGAGCTGCCTGAAGAGCCTCTTGGACTCCGTGGGTGCTGGCGTGGGCGCCGGCGTGGTGGGCTCCAGGGGCTCCGGCCCCAAGTCCCATGACATCAGCCGCAGCAACGTGGTCGACTTTGTGGATGGCGAGGTCGTGACCAAATTTTCCCCAACAGGTGTGGACTTCACTCTGCCGCTTCTTTGCACAGATGTGATGTGGACTCGGGCAGCCTCTAGCGAGCTACAGGATACCGAGCTTCACACTCACTTTGATCGGGCAGAGACTGAAGAAATGCCAGATGCGAAGTTCCTGATCGGCTTGGCCCCTCGCTGGAAATGGATGCAGATGGCAGCCCTGGAGTCTTTCGACGATCCGCAAACGGACGAGGTCTGGGTGCTCTGCGCGACTTGGCGTCTCTAAGCTCTCTGAAGCTTTCAGAAGTGTACAGACATCAGGTCGGGGAGTGGGGGGATGGTAGGGGTCTCGGTTCGGCAGTCTAAGGCCAGCTTCCAAAGCGGCACGCCCGAGATGGACTCCTTCTTGCAAGCCATGGAGAGAAGCGGCGCGCTGAGGCCGGGATGCCGTGCGTTCCGGGAGATGAAAAGACGCGAGAGAGCTCCGCCGTTTTACCGTTCAGGCTTGACTTAGGGCAGATTTTTGCACCGGGCACTCTCGGATACTACTCTGGTTAAATCTGGTTACATGCGTCCGGTGCGTTTAGCAAGCATCCTTTCAGAGCGAGTGAAAAAATGGAAGGGGTTTTCTGATGCGCGGCGTTTCTTGTCTAAATTGTCTCGGAGGGGTCGGGCCTGGGCGCAGAGTCCGACAGAGCTCCCTCTGGGGAGGGTCCAGACATGTTCATCTGTCCATACATGTCCATACTGGACTCCAAAGGTTGCCAGGGTCGCGAGGGGGCCTGAGCATTTGGTGCCGCAGGTGGGACATCGACGAGCAGTACGTCTTCCACCGTCAAGTCATCGGCCGGGGTTCCCTGAGCCTCACTCGACGAGGCGAGGGATGCAGAGTTGCGGTTTGCTCAAGTTTGCTCAAGTTTGCTCAAGGATCACCTCAAAAAAGCGCCTCTCCACGGGGATGCCGGGATGCTGGATTTGAAGTGATTGAAGCCTTGGGGAGGCCTGCTGCGCCGCAGTTTTCGTGGGCTTGCTTCCCTCGTGGACGAGCAAAGCCACTCCGAGGCCGGCTGAGAGTTTGCAGAGTCCGCCGCAGGGGATCCTGGAACGGAAGATTTCGCAGCCATGCAGCCATCATACTGGGGAATTGCTTCGGGTTCTTGCATGTTCTTGTTACAAAAGGATACAAGAGGGGTGTTGTACGACTTCTTGTTGCTTTGGTTGGGGGGGGGCTTTCCCTCTCTCTGCTCAGGAGGAGCTCGACTCGGTACCTTGTGAGCCGGCTGCAATGAAAATCATGAAGCACCCCGCTGCTCGGCCTGCCTAATTGAGAGGCATATAAGGCCTTAATAGGGGACCACCCCCCCCCCCTCCCCAAATCAGGGGCCCCAACAAAGAGGTTTAGAGAACCGCCACCCGACAAGCAAGACTGTAGCAGTCTTGTACTGTTGTAGGGCAAGGCTTGACCAGGAGAGGCTTCTCGAGACTCAGAGTGTGCGCTCTTTGTAGGACGCCGACGAGGAGGCGCAGTCGATCGTGAACGAAGTTCGGTTTTTGGCTGAGAGCGCCACACATCCGAACATCGTGAAGCTGAACGGGACCTTCTGTGTTAAGTGGAGATCCAAGTCGCTCTGGCTCCTAGCGTTGGAGCTTTGTAGTGGTGGTCGACTCCAAGATCACGTGAGGGTCTATGGTCAGCTCGAGCGCGCCAGCGGCGAGTGTGCGAGCATCGCACTTCTCTCAGCTGTTGCCCACTTGCATGCCCGTCGGGTTCTCCACAGAGACATACGGCCTCAGAACATCCTCTTGGAGAAGCTGCGAAGCCTGGCAAAAAAGGGGCTACGGCTTCATCGTGTAGTTTTCCCATATGTTTTCCCAGATGCGTTTCCCCCTTCGAAGCCGGCTTCCCCTACACTTTGGGCTGCTCAGGACCAGTGTTGGTGAACTTCGGCAACGCTTGCCGCTTCGAGGATGCCAGCGCGACTCTGCTGCGCAGCCGGGTGGCGCCTCGGTGGCGAAGAGTAACAGGCTAAGAACTGAGAAGGGAGTGTGCAAGGCAGTGCAGGGCTCTGATAAGGGCTCCTTTGCGTGTTCCTGTTTCTCCCACACAATCGGAGAAAAAAAAGCTGCTGTTTCGGAGACCATGCTAGAAGGACGGCTACACGGCACCGGAGATCGCGGACGCCCGTTTGGGTGCACAGGGTCCTGCCAGTGATGTCTTCAGCCCCTCCGCGGAAGATGTGTGGAGAGTGGAGAGTGGAGAGCTGCGCAAAGCATCTGAAGCGCCACCTGAGCACCTGAGAGCGAAAGGAGGGCCCCCCCCAACCCCCCCCACACCTTGCTAGGGTGGCGTTTCTTTGAGGTGTGGCCGCCTCCATCCTCTTTCTTCTGACGGGCATCGAGCCTTTCGGTGAGGCGCGCAAGGAGGTTAGGGGGCCAGTTTAGTCTGGTCTTCCGGTTGTAAAGAGAGCTGCCCCCAAAAATGAATGCGTCTCTACACATTTTTTCCAAGCTCCCTGGAAGCTTCCTAGTTTAGGGCTTTCTAGAGGATCTCTCCAAGAGTTCAGGTGAAGTGCACGCAGCAAACGCTGACCGGCAACCCTCGGCTAGACGAGCTGGCAGCCAACAGGTTATGCGAATCCACAGTCGCGTGGCCGCAGGATTTTGCGGAGGATGCTTTAGGATGCCCTTGGAGCAGAAATATGGGGATCCTCGCTGCTTTAAACGTCGTTGCTTCGTTTCTGGGTGACTGTCTCTGTGTGTGTGTGTGTGTGTGTGTGTGTGTGTGTGTGTGTGTGTGTGTGTGTGTGTGTGTGTGTGTGTGTGTGTGTGTGTGTGTGTGTGTGTGTGTGTGTGTGTGTGTGTGTGTGTGTGTGTGTGTGTGTGTGTGTGTGTGTGTGTGTGTGTGTGTGTGTGTGTGTGTGTGTGTGTGTGTGTGTGTGTGTGTGTGTGTGTGTGTGTGTGTGTGTGTGTGTGTGTGTGTGTGTGTGTGTGTGTGTGTGTGTGTGTGTGTGTCTCTGTGTGTGTGTGTGTGTGTGTGTCGTGTGTGTGTGTGTGTGTGTGTTGTGTGTTGTGTGTGTGTGTGTTGTGTGTGTGTGTGTGTGTGGTGTGTGTGTGTGGTGTGTGGTGTGTGTGTGTGGTGTGTGTTGTGTGTGTGTGTCTGTGTGTGTCTGTGTGTGTGTGTGTGTGTCTCTGTGTGTGTCTCTGTGTGTGTCTCTGTGTGTGTGTGTCTGTGTGTGTCTCTGTGTGTGTCTCTGTGTGTGTCTCTGTGTGTCTCTGTGTGTGTCTCTGTGTGTGTCTCTGTGTTTGTCTCTGTGTGTGTCTCTGTGTGGTGTGTCTGTGTGTGTGTGTGTGTGTGTGTGCGTGTGTGCGTGTGTGTCTGTCTGTGTGTCTGTGTGTCTGTGTGTCTGTGTGTGTGTGTGTGTGTCTCTGTGTGTGTGTGTGTGTGTGTGTGTGTGTCTGTCTGTCTGTGTGTGTGTGTGTGCGCGGGCTTGCACGTGGTCTGTTTTCTTTTCAGGCAAGCTTGTTGCGGCGGCTACTTGCGTGGCACGCGCGGAAGCGGCCCACGGCATGTCAGGCAGGGGACTTGACAATTTGTCCGTGGCTGAAATTGTGTGACCACGAGCGCCCGGTATGGTCCGTAGTTCGGCTCTGAACTTTTGCTGCTGTTGTGGAGGCCTGCATGATGCTGCACGAAGAGGCCTGGGGCGCCACCTAAAAGGGGAGAGGGATCACATGGGCACAGCAAAGTACAGCAACGTACAGCCACGTACAGCAACGTAGAGCAACCCACCCCAAGGGATCCCTTAAGGGATTTCCCAGATTCTGCGTTGAGAGGCCAGCGAGGAGGTCACCGAGCTTCCGATCTGCGAGCAGGCCATGGCGGCGCTGTCCTCGACGCTGGCGCACGCGGCAGGACAGGGAAGACCCCCGCAGCAGAGGGTCCCGAAAAAATGGTGGATCCTGGAGAGTTGCCATGAATCTGCCCATCTGAGCCCGACATCAACCCCAAGCAGCCCTAAGTTCCCTGAGCCCGGCTTTCATGCTTTTATTTGCTTTTTGCTAAAGGCTGCTAAAGGCTGCTAAAGGGGTGTCCAACTTTCCCCGCTCCAAAGGCGGCTCGCAGAGCGGACTTGCGTCCATCGACGAGATCGATGACCTGGAGGAGCTCGTCGGAGATTCTTTATCAGGCCGCTTCGTTCATGCAGTTCATGCGCTGAGCACAGGCAACTACCACCACCACTACCACTGCCACTACCGCTACCACCACTACCACTACCACTACCGCTACCGCAACTCTAAACCCTCAACTCTAAACCCTACATGGTGCGGACATGGATGCTCTGGCCATTCGCACGCACTGGTAACACGGACATTATATCGTGCGGGCATGGATGCTCTAGCCATTCGCACGCACTGGTAACACAGACAGTTCGCCTGTCTGAAACGTAATTAATTACCCTCCCCGCCCCCCCCCCCCCCCCCCCCGCCACCCCACCCCGCAAAAGATAGGATGCGCAGCGCGGCAAATTTGCGCTCCATGGTCCGCCTATCGTCTTCATCTACCACGAGAATGCTGGAATTTTCAGCATTTGCGGCGAATGTAACAGCAGATATGCTGGTATTTACAGCATTTTCGGGCGCAGAAGACCAAAAAGGACAAAAACGCGATTGGCAAAATCGAGGCTGAAATCAGTGCTTTTTTGGAGACACAAAATACAAAAAACGCCTTAACAAAAAAGCAACAACAAGCGCGACTGCTGGTATTTACAGCATTTTCTCGTCGAAAATGTGAGTTTTTTAATAGCTTTGAAAACGAGACTTTTACAGTGCGGTTGTGCACATTTTTCAAAGTCACAGTCAAAAACCCAAGCGAAATGCGCGTTTTTGAAAAAGAACGGCATCAAGAAGTGTGTTTTGTCCGTCGCACCGGGGGGGGGAAACCTACTACTACTACTACTACTACTACTACTACTACTACTACTACTACTACTACTACTACTACTACTACTACTACTACTTCTCCTCCTCTTCCTCCTCCTACTACTACTACTACTACTACTACTACTACTACTACTACTACTACTACTACTACTACTACTGCTACTGCTACTGCTACTGCTACTGCTACTGCTACTGCTACTGCTACTACTACTACTACTACTACTACTACTACTACTACTACTACTACTACTACTACTACTACTACTTCTACTTCTACTACTTTGCTTTTATTTCTACTAGTACTTCTACTTCAGCTACTACTGCTGCTACTGTTCAGTACTGCCGGCGCTCAGCATCAGTTTCTGCTTCTCCTTTACTGAACCTGGAGAGGTGCGGTGTGCCAGACACAGGGTGTGGGCCACGCACTAGACTTCGAGGCTTTTCGACAGCGAGCTCAAGGCCAGCTGAACTTGTTGTAAAACCGAAGAAGTGGCACTTTGAATCTGTATCCAACTGCAGCTTCGGATCGAACCGTTTGACGGGGCCTGTCCCTTGGCAGGTTTCGCGGGCCCCGCCGGCGGCTACGCGGAACCAGGCCACATGTGAGGTACTGACATGTTCTGCCAGGGCTCCGTTTCGAACGATCAACAGCTCATTCGCCTTTAAATGCACTGATTTCTCTGATTCGACACCCCGTTGAATGTTGAACGGGTTGCGAGGCCCCCCCACGTCGAGCGCGGCCCCGCCTCCTTCACCAGGCACCTGGGCTTGGTTTATGGATTTATGTATGATGTGGTGATATTGAATTCTGAATAGGAATGGCATGATATGACACGAGCTCTGCTCCCAGGAGGCCAGGCCGCCGAATTGGTCTTGCAGAACATGGGAAGCTTCACCCCGCAGCCTCCGAGCAGCCCAAGCCTGGAACCCATTGTGTGCCAAATCTCTGACTGTTCTGCGAGCGAGAGAGCGAGGGAGAGAGATTGAGGGAAAGACTGCAAGACAGGCAGGCTGAAGCTGGGGTCTCGCGCCTCGCACGCCCTTCTGGGCGGCCTCCCTTCGGGGAGGCCAAGCGTGCAGAGAGAGAGTACCAAAATTCCCCACGGGAGCCCTAACGTGTGCAGTACAAGAAGAAGAAGAACAGGAAACAGGCTGGTTAGGGTTTGGGGCTTAGGATCTAGAGTTCAGGGTTCAGTTTTGCCGTTTTTGGCTTCTACAGCCGAGGTCCCCGAAAGCGTGCCTTCTCCGGGCGAGTTCTTTCCATCCGCTCGGGATCCTGACATCATGGGCATCCTTTGATGCCGGGATGCGTCTTCGCATCGGGTCAATGAGACTCTGAGACATTGTGACCTATGTGGCGCGCCTGAGAATTCTTGAATCAGCATGCCGCGAAATGCGCGATATATTACATATCTGGGATGCGCCAGAAGGTGCAGCCATGTGTAGCCGTGTAGCCCACAATGAACATCCACAGAAGTCATACTACGTCTTGATCTTCTCAAAAGTCTTAGCTCTGCTGTTCCTATGCGCTGCTTCAATGATGCTTCTCCTGCTTTTCGCATGCCGCAGCTGCCGCTCCTGAGGAGACCAGCGAAAGCAGTAGTCCTGTTCGAAGACAGGTCTGCTGCAAGCGGAACGTTGCGCTGTTTTCTCCCTGCGCCTGACTGGACGCCGGCTTCCTGCCAAAGAGGTTCACATTCTGGTGTCAGCTATGCACTCATACGCCGCCAAGTGCTCGCCATCGCTGCCCGCACTGCGAGCACTTTAAAGCCTCGTCGAAAGGGCAGCACAATTGGCGTTCTGGGACCGTAAGCGAAAGCCAGACTTGATCGCAGGGCCCGATGTTTGGATTTTTGATTCTTGAGATGCTCTAGGGGGAATGATCCCCTTAGGGCCCCACGCAGGCATGGCTTGTGGCCCTAATTATATGAATCGTCATCATTTCGTATAGGAGCTTGTGCAGATGAGGACAGATGCCAGCAAGCCACGGCGGGCGCTAGCTTCTGCAACTGGCTCGCAAATACCACAACGCTGCAGCTGGCAGCGAGCATGACTCCATCAAGATCGTGGTTCTTTATGTCACAATCCTAAACCCCGTGCTCAACCCTAAACTCCAAAAGCGTATTGATAGCCGTGATAGCCGCTTCGCGCAGTCTTGATGACAGAGCTTGCCACTTCCGAATTTTTAAGATGAGAAAGCGTTTCCCCAACTTTTTACGTGACGTTGTGGCGTAGGCGCACCTCGTCGCCCATTGAGGACTCAGAGGTGTCCGACGTTCGGTGGATCCTGTGTTTATGCCAAAACGTGGCTCTTTCCGCGCGGTCCCAGGGTCGAATCGTGCCCCTTAGCATGAAAGCATGGTCTAGGGTCTTTCTGAGGATGATCTTTACACGCCGGCACCCACATCAACACCACCGAAGGCACCTCTCCTTTGAGATGTGTGTATCCGTTCTATTCTGTTCTCTTGGCTGGTGTTCGATAGAAAGCGGGGGAGCACAAGGAACCCTTGAACAGGTGAAGGCCGGCGTCGATGCTGTCGGGAGATTGCCCATGCCCCAGCTTTTTATGGTTCCTTGGGGGCCAGATCGGGGCACCCCCTCCCCGAAAGAAACTCAAACCATTTCCCCCCCCCCCCAGGCCCCGCCTCCCAAGAGTCGTTTGTGAGTCAAGGGCCTGCCGTGGCGCGGCCGTGCCCGTGGTGGCTGGACAGGAGCGAGAGTGCCGCCCTTGGGAACTGGCGCAGATGGCGGCAGGCGATGTGCCTTGGCATCCTTTGCTGTCTTTAAAGCACTCAGTCACTAAGGATTCTCCTGCATGGTTGTGGCTTGATGGGAATGGGCTGGTGCGCCAGCTGAATGATGCGTTGCGCATGATTCCCCAAGGCCCTCCCTTCAAGGGTTCCAGATTCTTGCTCTGAACTTCGAACCTGAAGACATCTGAAGACCATCTCAAAGACATATAAGAAAACTTTTAGCTTTCTGGGAGCGGGGATGACGTGCCGTGGCTCAGGTACTCTGTTTTCGCCTATGTCGAGTCTTATGGAGCTCTTGACAACGCCGAAACCTCGGAGACATTTCTTGAGACACTTGAGAGAACCGGCTCACTGAGCACTGAGGACGGGTCGATGTATGGGCCGTTGCGCTTCCAAGTCCCGGCAACCTCGAACTCTTTTGCCGCGTGGAGCCCAGGTTCAGCAAGGTGGGCTGCAAGGGAAATCTCTTTCACATCTGAATGTACGAATATGGACACGAAGAAGGACGCGGAAGGACACAGAAGGAACGCACACAAGGATGCACACGAGGACGTACACGAGAATGCACGAGCTGTTTCGCACAAAAACTCGTTTGTTTCCGAGCACCAGAGGTGCTGCCGCAGATCTCCTCGCCCGTCACTAAGGCCGGGAAAGGTCAGAGGAGGGCACAGGTCACGTGCAGCCACAGTGACACACGCATCTCCATCCCACACACACACACACAGACACACACAATATGTAAATACGTATCTATATACATATGTATATATGTATATACGCATGTTATATATATATATATATATTTCATATATATATATATATATGTACACATCTTTATAGTTTACACTCGTACCACATTCGGAAGGGTCGTGGCCAGTCATTGCTAGCTGGGAAGAGCGAGGACGGTTTCGCCGTCAGCTTCACGCCCACAGCCTCGGCAGGTGGAAGAACCGTTTATTTTTGCGATTCGGGTCATGTGGGGGGCAGCCTCCTCCGACTCTCTGACTCTCTGCAGGCTGGGGCTACGCGATGCTGGCTGCCGAAGCGGACTACGCCACGCTCACGGTGGCCAATGTCAAGGCGCGATTCGAATTGTGCAGTTGTTCCCGCAGAGCCCGCATGCCTCACGTCTCCGAACCCCCACTATGCCAAGAGCTCCCTAAGAGTTGGCAGAGTTGGCTCGTGATGTGTCGTGATGTGGAGCCTCGGAGCCTCGGAGTCTCGGATGGCCGCAAGGCCTTCATGAGCGCGGTGGGCGATGCAACTTGAAACTCGGCTGAGATCTCGTGCCGTGCGTGGTGCGCCTTTACGTGTCTTTACGTGTCCTTCACCTTCGTGTCGAAGTGCAGGGTTGCGCTAAAAGGCAAGTGGAACGACTTTGCCTTCACAATGGGCAACACGGTCTCCACCCTGGCATGTCCCAGAGAAATTCAGAGAACTTGACCCAAAAGTTTCAGGTGAACCTCACCAGCTGCAGACTCTATGGGGGGCAGAAGTACCGGCTCTTCGTGTACCTGGAGGAGCTCATAAATGCCACTGTGACACCATGTACAATGTAGCACCTGTACACCACCTGCTTCATGCTTCTGTTTTTTCTTTCTTTCCCTCTCAACTGGGCCACAGGATGGGCACAACAAAGATGATGGTGTCCTGGCGGATCCCATCGAGGTCAATGTGCCGCCTTCGAACAGCTTCGCAGGCTGGTGGTGGCTTGGAGATGTTTTGAGACATCTGACTCATCTTGTACATCTTGTACATATTCTAACCCCTTTCGCCCCCCGACCCCCTTGCAGGCGTCTACCCTTACCCGAGGCTTGGGGCGACGCGGGGCGCCCTGACTGCCCTCTCCGCTCTCTTAGCCCTGTAGCCGTTTTCTCTGAGTGCCCTTGCTGAGATGTGCCTGACTTTAAGAGCGATGCCAGCCCCATTTTTTCTGGCGTCTCTCTCCGTCTCTCTCCGTCTCTCCGTCTCTCCCTCCCATCGCCGCTCTTTCGCGTGTGACACTTCGAGGCCGACGGTCAGCCAAGTCACCGTGGAGTTCGAGGCCGCCGAGGCGCGAGATCCGCGGGGGGGGGGGGGGGGGGCGGAATGCGTGAGGGGTTTGAGGCGGGATGATGAAACAGGAAGAGGGTTCTTTTTTCTCCTCTCGTTCTGGTGTGTTGTTGTTCGAGAGCCCTTCGGAGAGGCGGGCGGCGTAGCCTGGGCAGTGGTGATCCCGGAGCTGGCGCGGGGGCCCAGAAGTTTAGACACAAGATCTCTCAAGATCTCTCAAGATCTCTCAACTTTACATCTCAACCCGAAGGCTTCCTTTGCCTCTCCCTCCGCGTAATAGGGATTTGCAAGAACCCGCCATGGAACCACACCCCCCCCCCTCCCCCCCAAAGGATGCGATGAGCGCCACGGTGGCCACCATCAAGGCAGCCACAGGAGCCCTGTGCTCCACTGCCAGTGGCCAGGCTAAAAGCAATGACCCCAAGGAGAAGAGAGCCTTTCTCAAAGAGTCGTGTTTATCGGGGGTTCTAAGGGGGTTCAAAGTAGCTGAGGCGTGTCGCTGACCACTGGCCTGCAGAGCTTCACCGTGGACAACTGCGCCTTGAGCCTGGAAGTGCTCTACAAGGCACGGCACGTCTGGTTCAGCCACCATGTATGGGGGTTTGCGATACTCGGGGTACACTGGGGTCCTTGCTATAAGGGGATCCTACTAGTCGGGGGGTCTACACTAGGGGTCCCGGGTATGCGTGGTTCCATAGTATGGTTATCATCATTTAGGTCTTGGGGTTGGGGTCTTTCTGTGGGCTCAAGGTTGAGGTATAGGTTGTTCTGGTTTGCGTGCTAAGTGCATGGTAAAAATGGACATGGCCGCACGAACTGGTTCATGGGGGGAATTCGGGGACTGACAAGTTCAGGCAGGCTCCACAGACGTCAGAGGCCATGGTCTACATCGAAGATGCGTTGGCAGAGAACGATGGCAGCTTCGCGCCCGTGGACGTGATGGTGCCGTCCAATGGCCAGGGGCTTCAGACACCCTCCAGTTCGAAGGGAATTCAGGGCCAGCTTCTGGGATGAGTCGGGTTTTGGAGGCCGGCAGTTTAGGGATGCTTGCACGGGTGCGCAGAGTTGCAGAAGCATGCAAGCTGTGGCTGTGTGTAATCTAGCATGAAGAGGCACGACCAACGCCTTCGCAGCGTACCCGCAACTGGTTTCCATCGGGGGTGCTCTGGCTTTGGCCCCGAAGTGGCGCACGGACCACCATGCGATAACTGCTGTGCCGTGATGCCACGATGTTGCTAGCGAGGCCAGCTCCGACGGCGTCACCTTCACAGTGACTGTAGCCCAACTGCAGCCATGACACGCATATTTCTGCCAATGACTGCCCAACGTTTCTCTGCGGTGTCTCTTGTAACTCATGTCCTCCCTGTCTGAAAATCCTCTGAGGCTTCCAGCGCGGACGGCCGCCTTTGGGCTATGGTGGTTCCCGACTATGTCGGAGACTGCATGACCGTCAGGCTCCAGCTTTCTGGTGACTAGTGACGAGTGCAGGTGTCAGAACTCAGAATGCCCCCGAGCCGCCAGGGCCATGAAGTTCCTCCGGGATGCGCTGTGCAGCCGCTGGCGCCGCTGCTCAGGGGACTAGCGCTGTTTGCCACCTCAAAATTGCCGAGACGGTTGCTGCGCCAGGAACCATGCGGTCAACGACCAGCCACAGACCCTCAGCGTACTGGGCTGCAATCTCAAAGGCCAGCTCTCTGCCCAAGCTCCTTCCGTTTACCCATATTTCCAAATTACTTCGCACTTTATATTCTGTATGCCAGGCGGGGAAAGCTACCGGCTCTTCGTGTACGTTGAGGTGGCAGATGTCATCGCATCACGCAATTAGTGGACCCTTCTGTTGCCGCCCTGGGGAGCCTTTGCGGAGTGAGGGCCAGAGCTACTTGTAAGCCCAGGGCACCTACAACGGGGACGACGGTGTCCTCGCGCCGGCAGTGCAGCGGGGTCGCCAAGGAGAGTAGGGAGAGTGCGGAAGGTGCAGAGGCCGAATCATACCAGGATGTATCGGGACGTTTCAGAAGCTTCTAATCGACCTCTCGCAGTGCAGTTCTCGCAAAATGTCGCAAAGTTTTTGTTCAAAGGTTCATGGTGCCGTACACGAACACTTTCCTGGTGCAGCCGGCCGTTGCCAACGACTTGGTCTCCCCTGACGGATTCCAGCTCACGTTGGGAGCTCAGCAGGAAAGTTCCCCGCCAAAGGCCTGTTTCTCTCCTCTCCCTGCTTTTTTGTACTCTCCTGTGCTTCTTTTTGGGCTTCTTTGCAGGGGGGGGCAAAGAGAGATGTGGGTTTGCACCGACCGAGGTTCCAGGCGGAGAGCGAGGGAGCAGCCCGGGGGCCCAGTGACACGATGATGGCGAGCCACGAAGAGGGTTCCTATAAGAGTTTTCGTAACTTAAGCGAGAGAGAGAGAAGGAGAGAGAAGGAGAGAGAGATCAGACGCATGACCACTCTCGCGCGCTCCGGGGCTCCCCTGAGGGGGCCTAGCGTGTGGAGAGAGAGAGAGACAGAGAGAGCTCAGAGAGGTCTGGGCCATGGTGGCCGCGCCCCGAGAGCAATGCCTACAGGGCAATTCCAGACATGATCCGGATGAGTCTTTGAGTCTTGTTGGCAGGTCGCCAATATCCATGAGCAGTGGGTCGACCCCAATGCCATCAAGGCATGGGCGCAACCATGTTCTCGATTCCCCAGATTCTTCTCATAGGCTCGCATTGCTTGACACATCACGACGTTCCCCTGATTTTTTCTAACGCGCCGCGCATGCGACGCAGCTGTCTCTGCTCTGACACTTGGGTCCCCATGGACGCGCCGCCGCGGCACCTGGGCTGAACGCAACTTCTCTCCGATCCCCTCAACTACCCTCTCCAGCTCTCTCCAGCTCTCCAGCTTTTCTTCACCGTGACTTTTTTGTAAAGACATTTCTTCGCTCTCTTTTCACAAGATCAGCACTTGCTCTCGTGCTTCTTTTCGGGGGGGCGGGGGGCAGAGAGCCGGAAGCGGAACCCAGGCGGGCGCGCCAGGAGGTGCCTTTGGCTCTTTTCGCTGGGCGCCTTTCTTGCCATGGCCATGACTCCCGAAGTCTGGGACGAGCTGTCCCACCTGCGGGAAGACAGGCAAAAGATGCTCGTGGCCCGGCTCCGGGGAGTCAATTTTTGATGTGCTTACTCTGGATGTTCAACTTGCCGAAGGAGACGCGCCGCTAAGCACCACGAAGCATCCTTCCCTCCCGTCCCGATGCTCTTAACCTGAAGATCTAGACTTCTAAACACATCGGCTTCTTAGACATAGCGAGGCCGGAGACTCTGGCAGTCAGGAGCAACATGGAGCAACCAATGCCAATGCTCCTCGCTTTCCCAGGATGCTGCCGAGAAGGCGACGCAAGAGGGAGATGAAGGCGCGAGCCCCAAGAACTGAGAGAGAGTGCAGATGGGCCATGACAAGGAAGAGGTTTTTTTTTGCAGGTTTTCCCTCCCAGACATGGCATCTGGTGCTTTGTCTGCAGAGGTGGGGCGGAGTTCCAGATGATGCTCGCCGGCGAGATCTCGGAGAAGATCGAGGCCCATAAAAGTCTCGAGTCTTCTGGTTGTAAACGCGTCAGGAGCGCCAGAAAACAAACAGCAGCTTCTAACCAAGACTCTGTGAAGCTCCAATAAGCTCCATAGAGGATGCAGTTCTTTGGTTTGCTCCTCGCAAGTTGGTCATTGACTAGCTTTGTGGCTGAAACAAGCTGGTGCGTGAACATCGTTGTCCTGGAAACTAAGCGCCGGGTTTATGAGAATGCTTCGTGTGCGCGGTTCCATGTTCTCCCCCCCCACCCATTTGTGAGATGAGGCAGCAAACTTTGACACCAAGAGTGAATCTGCATGCGCATCTTGCGTGTTATTTCTTGCCTGCTACGCATGTGGGCCTCCGAGAGCGCCTTCTCAGGAGCTGGAGAGCAAGCATGGATCGGCACCACCTCTGCCAGGATGGGAAATATGAGCAAACCGTTTAAAAGCACTTAAAAACGCATGAGAATGGGAATCATCGTAGTAGTCGTTGTAATACTGTTGTAAGTGTAGTGCCAATGCGAATGGCAGTCTGGTGCACGAAGGAGCTAGCAAGACCCTGGCGGTGCCCGAGGCCAAAGCGAGCGCTGGCTGGAAAGTCAGGGAAGAGGGGGTTTCGCCGTCATCAAGGTGTTCGTACGTGTTCGTAACATGCCGGAGCTAAGCATTGCAAACCGTATGCAGCCCCTAAACCCTTGCGCTGTTATCTTCGTGAGTTGCTCTGAATGCCTCAAATTGTAAGGAGAGGGCCGGCTCCCGCCTTCCAGACGGTGCCCCCGCGCATCGTCGGGACTCTTGGGCCGCACCATGCGGCAGTGCAATTCTCCCCGATACACCCTTCTCTTTGCATGTGGCTCTCCAAGAATTGGGGCCCCTCAGGCGGCGCAATGGAGCCTCTTATGTAGGGGCCCCAAGAAGGAAGGGACCACCATCTAAAAACAAATCTCCCGCTGGGGCTGAGGACGCTTCCCCCACCGCCGGCACCGATCTCTGGGGCAACTCGTACAAGCCATGCCCCTCCCCCCCTCCCGCACCCTCTCTTAGCCTTCCGTGGGCTGTGATTTGAGAGGGACTCGTTTTGGTTCCTCAACGACCGTCGAAATAAGAACGGGCTCTTCTCTGTTGGGAAGAGTATACTCAGGATCTGAATGGACTGAAACACACAACTGCGGTCTGTAAAAGTGGGGGTTTCAAGGCCAGTTCCAAAGTCTGCAGTGTTGCCATTTTGTGGGGTTTGCTTGCCCTATGCCTCTTATGCTTCAGACGCCCCCAACAAGAACGGCCCCAAAATGCCGAGAGCATGGCGGGACTGGCGAGACTCGAAGCTGAGGCGAACTCGATGATCAGCATCCCTCCTGGAGTCGCAGGCGGGGGAGGGCGGCACTCGCTTCCGCGGCTCTGCGGTGTCACTGCCAGGTGCCTTAGCGATGAGACCAGGCATGAGCCTCCCAGGCGGGCGGTGGTTTGCACGAAATGGCAAGTAACATCCCTGCCCCCCTGCTACTTTTGTAGGGCGGAACAAGAAAGGAAGCGCTGAATCCTCGTTGTAGTAGGGAGAGCCGCCTGAGACTTTGACAGATTTCTTGCGGGTGTTTGAGGCTTGGGCCCTGGCATGCCGCCGGTCGTGCTGCCGCCGGGCCTCCCTGGAAGTGCCCTTCCCCCTGGGACCATTCCGGGACCGCCGAGCCTCACGCAGCAGCAGGCCATGGAGTACGATGCGACGAAGGCGGAACAATGTAACTGACCATCGCCACGTCAGCCTCAAGTGCAGGGCGTTTGCGTGGCAGTGCACCGCGGTACAATGCTGAGCGCCGCGCCAGGCGGCATCGACAGCTCTGGAGCCTGAGGTCATAGAGCTTGTGCACTATTTCAAGATCGGTGATAGGCCGGGCGTGCCATGGCGTGCCCTAACGATTCGGCCAAGTCGGAGTGTCCGGAGTGTCCTGTTCCTGAGGCACGCGCGGATGCTGAACGAGCAGCTGAAGCGCCGCAACAACACCTACGAGGAGGACTCTGGGCAAGAGGGCGATGTGCAAGCGGCAGAGCACTTCTCCGTCAGAACAGTGCAACAGAAGCCTTGGAGGACATCGCCTCCTTGTACGAGATCTTGAAAGGTGCAAAGAATCCAGCAGACCTGCTCATGGTCACATGGATGCAAATTGAGAAGCTGTGTTTCGCCATGGGCTTGAACGTGGCTTGCAAAGCACGGCAAGGTTAGCATCCGATGGATGGAGCAAGGCCCGGGCATTCGGCCTGGCTTCTGCAATCCGCAACCAACACTCTGCTTCAGGTGTTTTCCGCGGCTGCTACACTCCGAATCCGAAGGTGGAGAAGGCGGGAGCAGCAGCACTTCACAAGCGCAGGGTACAGAGCCTGCGCAAGAAGAGGCCCATGGAATTTTTCTGACTCGTCCCCAGAGGTCTCGAAGAAGTACAAGCTCGACGCACCTTCGGCCTGCAAGCTGGCAGAGGTGCGCATGAATTACCCTGCTTTGGGCTTCTTGACGTTGAGTCAAGTTGAGTCCTGTTGGAGGCCCTAGAGAGCCGCGAGGACGCTGATGAAGCTCTTGACAAGATCTGCACCTTGGCCTTGCCACTTTTGCCAAGAATCTTTCATGTACTTGGTAGCAGTATTCCTTTCCCTATAACAGTATTCCAGTGTTCCTCAGTCTTCCATCAGTCTTCCGAGTCTTCCGTATCTTTCCAAACCGCTTCCGGGAATCTCGCGGCGCCCGTGCTGCGTATGGCTGCGGCTGCCACGGCAGCCACGGCACACTGCAGGCGAGCATCTGGCGGCGTCGAACAAGCCGTCGTCTTTAGACGGAAGCCCAGAGAGGGTGCGTGTGTACCCTCGCGCAGGCCCTGCTCCTGAGTCTTGCACGCAGTTCAGGTCATGATCATGCTCAAAGACATCAAGAATGGCGCTGTTTGACTCTCAGTCGTGTTCGTGTGTTTCTTGTGTGTTTCTTGTGTGTTCCGAATCTGAAGTCGAGAGGAAATCCAACCCTGTACCAAAACTCCTGCCATCGGCTCCTATCTGCACAAGAAGGCCATCACTTGCGCCATGTGCACCTCATGGTACCTCTCACACCTCGCCCAGATCTGTGTCGTACTTCTAACGATCTCCTTCGAAGGAGACCGAGAAGAGCCGGAACCGCACCTCCAGAAGCCGCGAGCGCGAGCGCGAGCGAGGCTTCCAGCCGCGCAGCAATCGGGCTTCCAGGAGAGGGAGCAAAGAGTGCAAAGAGTGCGAGAGCGGAATGCCAAGATTTCGCATGCTGCGTAAGACTTCGGCTCAGGAGTCGTGATCGGCGGAGTGGCAGCCGCCGGCCACGCAGGAGCAGGAGCGGCCAAAAGTCTGGGAGCCTCATCTAAGCCGATCTGAGCCACTCTGATCCAATGCCTGAAACGCCTCTCGCCAGGAGTCGTGGCCGCGGTCACGGTGGTGGTGGCCACGGTGGTGGTGGCCATGGCGGTGGTGGCCACGGCGGTGGCGGCCACGGCGGAGGCCACCGAGAACCTCGAGTGCCTGGGCTGTGAACATCTGTGAACTGTGCTGCGTCACGCGCATCAAGTCAGGGGTGCCAACCAGCGACGGCACTTTCGTCTTTTGCAAGGGGGAGGAATTAAGGGTCGAACGACCAGGCTGCAAACAAATGATGTTACGTAATCGACAGAGGGGGGAGGGGGGCGCAGGGCGGGGGCGGGGGCTCCGGGCAAGCAAAAGCCACAGCCCGCGGTTGATTGCTTCTTTCCGAACCCTGCGCCTTTGTACCCTGTGCCTTTGCGCTCAACCCTGAAATAGTCCCTCGCAAAGGTATCAAGCCTTTCCGATAAACGTCTAGAGTCTAGAGACCCAATAAACCCTAGACCCACATGCTAAACCTTTCAGAGAAGCTTCTGGTGAACTGGCTCCCTGGAATTTCGTGTGTCGAGTGGATGAGAGGTTGACGGGTTTCGGATTGAAGGTTCCACGGTTGCGCCCATGGATACGTATCTATGCGTTGTACAGGTGGCTGTAAGGACAGTTTCATTGTTCCATTGCGCAGGAAAGAGAAACAAGTTCAAGGGAAGTTCCCCTCCTGCTTGAATAACTGAGCTTCATGCCGACAAAGAATGCCCCCCCAACCAGTTCTCTCGGGCTGAGGATCGCGGCGACCGAGACCGGGGAGACCGGGGAGACCGGGGAGATCGGGGCCGCGAACGCGATCGGGGAGATCGGGGAGACCGAGACAGGGGACCGGGCATGGAGGGTGCGGCGCCCAGAAGTGAGAGTTAGCTTGCTGAATTTTTGCTGAGTGGGGGACCTTCAGAGAGCGTCATGCGACGCCAAGGCGAGAAAGGTGGAAGATAGCCGTTCGGGAGGCGGTGCTGCCGTGCCTTGCTTGCACTCGCGGGCAGTCTTCGGCGTCTGCAGCCGCGCAGTATCGTACAGTATCGCACCTTTTTTCGAGGCCCTGGCTGCGCCTTTCCGCCGGCTGAGAGCCCGAGGGCAAGATGTTTCGGCCTAGGCTTCACAAGGCGCCTTTAATGCTGGCACGACGCACGTCTCCTGTCTTCCATTTTCACGATAGCAGCACAAGTGGAAGACTTGGAGGGTGCTGTCGAGCACTAGATCCGCATGATCCGCTTGACGCTCAAGCCGCCCAACGGAAAAAGCAGCACAGCAGATGTCGCCCATCACCGCTATAGCAGACCTCGGAGCTCCGAAGTTAATCACAGATGCAAGCCAATGTTTGGCCCGCTGCTCTGTGGACAGGTGGGCACTTACTCCCTGGGCAGTGCCATGTGCCACCTTCAGGGTGAGGTCATCAGCACCTCGGCAGCGCTAAGCACGGCGAAGCAGGGCTTAGCAGGGCTGAGGTGCTGACTATATGACTCTCTAGTTACTCTAGTTGAGCTGGTTGAGCTGAAGAGAGGCGGCTCCGTTGAGACCATCGCCCTCTCGCAATGCGCCCTGCAGCGGGGAGTGACCTACAAGGCTTGCAGTGCAGTTCGTTGTTTTTGCTGTCCGTATTGGCGGTGTACATCTGTACTGCACCAGGCCTTTGCCTACGTGGAGGGCCTCAATTCATCCTATGTTGCAGCCTGAGTACACCTTGAGCATGCTCTCAAAATTATGCACATGGACTCCAGTGAAGACCCGGATGTTGTTCAGACGGACGGCCAATCTTCGCAGCCTGTCTCGGTCCTGGCGGGGGGCCTAGCTGAGACCCCAAAAGAGATCAGTTGGACGCTCCGTCGGTGATAGCGTCGAAAGGAGAAAGTCCCGAGGGCCCTGTGAAAGCCGTTGAGGTGCCAGCTGTCTCCATGCGTTTCAAGACTGATCCCTTCCTGGCACGGCCCTCAATGAAGCGTGGTTCGGGAACCAGGTGCTTCTCTATTGCTTCTGCAATGACACGACATTGAGAGCCAACCACAATGCTCTCCTTTCAACATTGCATGATATTTGTTGAATCACATGTTGAAGCCGTTTTCGAACCCAGATTGAGGCACATATTGAATCATACATGAATCATCTTGAGTCACCTATGGATCCATCTTTTCAGCCATGCCGTGAACCTGAATCCACATGTCACAGGCCGAATCGGTGCTGACGAGCCGCGTGGCCTTCAAGTTCACGACGGAGGCTCCAGTGAGGTTTTTTTAGGTGCATTTTCGGCATTTTGAGGGCATCTGCCCCGACTATCCCCGACTCATATGGACGTGTTTGCAGGCTACCGATCAAGGGGCAGCCGCAGTCGTCCCAGGCCCTCAGAAAAGTACAGAAAGCGCGCCACGAGCATGCACAAGCATTGAGACTCAAATTGAGACGCTGCTTTTCGCAGGAGCTGTCTGGGCCATGGTCCTGCCCAGCCTGTCTTTCCCATGTATTCCGTTCGCGGCGTCCGCGGCGTTGATCGCGGCAGGTGGTGACGGAGCTCCAGGCCCCGCAGGTGACGCGGTGGAGCCTCAAGTCTCTGATGGGCACCCTGGCCATGGGAGGCCCTTCCAGGGAGCCCAACATATCCTAAACCCTTTTCCTCCCCTTCCCCTGCTTTCCCCCCTTTAAAATAGTGCTGTGTCGGACAGTGTCGGAGTGCCCACAGAGGCCCCGACTGCCGCATTGACGGCGAGAGCACGGTGGGAGGAGCCGCCGTCACCTCCCTGAGCGAGGCGTGCACTGCAAGGGAGTTGATTCTCAGTCAGGGGTAATTTTATTTATACGGAAGCAATGAGTGGTACGTAAATAGTAGAAGCCTGCCCGAAGAGATCAACATTGCTTCGACGGGGCCTGTGCAGTTGGGCTGGGGCCTACGTTGTTGTATTTTCCGGGCTTCAAACCAGCATTCTGGAGGTCTCCGCCGTGCTGCAAGACTGTCAGCTGAGACACGGAACGACCTATGAGCTGGTGGTCTACGTGGAGGTGCGGAACGGCAGAGTAGTTAGGTGCGTGTGGGGGTCCATTTCGAGCAGGCTCCTTCAAGGGAGAGATGTTGCCGTTGACAAACCGGCGCTCAAGAAAGGATAAAATCTAGAGAACGAGAAGCAGGCATGACTACCAAAGCCACCCAAACCCGAACCCTCAAACCCCAATACCTATTCAGATCAAACCCGCCAAGTTATATCGTCAAGATCAGTCGTTATACGAAAATATCTGCACAAGCAGAGACACAGAGAATGCAGCGGGAGCGGTCTTGGCAGTGGAGGCTGCCGCAAATACGTCAGGTAGTTGGCTTGTCATAGTTTGAAAATACGAGAAACCGCATGAGCGACCTTGCGAACACACGTGGCAGATGAGGAAACAGATCGAGGCAGTGAGGCATTCAGGTCTTTTTCTTCACCTTAGACGGATTTAGCAACAGAGGGACTCGACGCTGTGGTCTTGCTTTCCCCGGCCCAAGTGGAATGCTTCGGTGTGGCCACAAGGACCCTCAAGCCTCGGCTTTCTCGCAGGATTTGGGCAACCGCTCCGATGGAACGCTGTTGCTCACCAAGGTGTACACCCCACCAGGCGAGGCTGCCGAGTGTAAAAGTGAGGGTTTTTGTTGGGGGTGTGAGGGGGCTCACATGGGCTCAGGGGCGTTGTGCCTCAAGGCATCTCCAATGGCTTCACGGACCTTCCGATGGTCGTGGGCAACATCACAGGAGAGCAGGTGCCGGTCTTCAGGGGGGGGGAAACGGCTAAGAGTCAAACCAAGAAACCAAGAAACCAAGAGGAGAGGACCCAGACAAAATGCTACCCAAAAGTGCGCTGCAGTCGGCAGCCGCCAACACACACCGAACGAGCGCGCATCCTGACAGACTGCTCTGAGAGCAGTGCTCGGCACCGCAGCAGCGACGTTCAACGTGTGCCAACTTGTGGGTTTTTAGTCGAGGCTGAGTCCCTACTCTCAGGCAAGGCCTCGCGTAATCTTATCTGACGTTTCATGGACACTGTCCTTTTCACTCCCCATCGGGCCTGTTTCCTGAACTCCTGTTTCACGGCTTGCACATGTTGCAATTGCCTTTGTCCTGGCTCTCACGCCATGGTTTCCCAGACTGTTGCTTCCTAATCGCCCCGCAGTGCGAGAGAGGTCTCCGTGCAGTTTGCCGGCATCAGTTTGTTGGGCAAAGCCTGGGTGGTCGTGGTACCAGCGAGTCTCGTGAGCCGGGGCACTCAGAGAGGCGCTAGTTGGGGGTTTCCATTCGGGTTTTTTCGGGGCGCGCGCTCGCGCGCGTCGGTGTGGCTGAGGCTCCGCCACAGCCAGCTCGGTGATGCGCCTCCCCCAGGAGTCGCCAAAAACGGGGGGAAAATTCCGGGCTCATCCCGAGAAAGAGAGAGCCTCAAAAAAGGTCTGGAACTGGAGCAGTCGGTGGACCGGACTGCGTCGTCACAGCCATGGACATCGATGGCAATGCGACACTTGGCAGAGCATCTGAGCAAAAAAAATGCAAAAATCTGGCGCAGAGCCATCAGCCCTAAACTGGCGTCACTCGTATCGAAATTCGAAAGTGTGTCACGGAAAGTGTGTCCCTGCCGAGGACCCAGCAGGGGCCCCGGGCTCTTTTGCAGCTTTTGTCTTCGCCCAAACTCCCCTTTAGGGCCATGTAGTACTGGGCGCGCGAGGGTGGATCTGGACAACTGCTCTCTGGCATTCTCCAACGACTACGCTGCGCTGGTAGCTGGGCAGCATCGGGTTCTTTGCAGGGTCGTGTTTGGGGGGCTTGGGGAGCTCGCAGCTCGCTCTGCTTTGGACCTTCAGAATCAGAGAGATTGCCAGGTCTACGTGGCAGACATCGGCATGCACGATGACGGTCGCGCCCGCTTGAGGAAGACTTTGGAACCAGCCCATACTTTGACCGACTCGGAGGACGCTCGCAGATCTTCCGGCTCGAGCTGAGCACACACGAAAGCAACAGACAAACGCAGACGAACACCGACGACATCGGCACGCGGATTCGAAAGGCAGCCAGAAGCCTTAGGTACCCCTTCAGGTGTCTTAAGAGTTAGCAAGTTAAGAGTGAAGAGGCAGGGCTCCCTCCAAGCGGGGGGTTTACGGTTTTACGGTTTTACGGTTTCTATTTGGTTTGCCACCGCTTCTTGAAGCTGCCTCTGGAACTTTGCCCCCCTGATGGCCACCAGTCCGCGGCCCCCTGCAGCGGGAGACGCCCTGCGCTGCCGCGCGCTGGACGACAGCGGCCTCCAGTGCAAGAATCCCTACGTGAGTGCAGCGAGGCTGCCAGCTGGGGGCAGATTTTTTGGGGCCTCCTGTTGAAAGATCAACGGACCCCTCAAACCTTCCAAGAAGCCTCCGAGCCTCTTTCCTTTAGCAAGAGAGAAGAAGGAGCTCGGCCCTGGTTTGGCCCATTGGCCCAAAATCTAAGGCCAACAGCTTCTGTGGCATCCACGAACGCCTACGGAAGACCGGCGTGACATTTGCCCCTCGCTGCCCTCTTTGCCTTAAACTCCGAGCCTTGAAAAAGTATTGAATATATCACTTATGACGTGAATGACATGTCAACATGTCGTACATGTTGCATTGTGAGCTTGGGGTGTTTTTCAAGACAACTTTCCCTCCTGACTCGGGATTCTCATCCAACAGCTTGCATGGTCTACAGAGTCTACAGCTTGACTTTCGTTTCTGAGTGATTTCTTGAGCCTGTCCCGATGTTACGATGCTTTTCCTCGCAGCTGCAGGCAACCTGCAAGGTCAATGCGGTCAATGCGAGCGCGAGGAGCTCGACGGCAGCGGAGATCGACGCGATAAAGCCGATGGCGACTGAGGCAGATGCCAAGTGGCTCCTGGAGACCATGTGCAAACCTTCGACAAAGGAAGTGCGACTGGCCGCGCTGGCAGCTTTGGACAAGTCACCCAAATCCTGCATGCGGAGGTTTGTCCAAGATGGCGGGTTGAGGATCTTGGAGAAGTGGTTGCGAAAGAGCCCTGCCGCGCGCTACGCGTGCTTGCAGGTTCTGCAGAAGTTGCCCGTGTCCTTGCCCGATCTGCGACAGGCCAACATCATGCCGTCCGTAGCCATGATTCAACGGTCAGAGGCCGAGGAAGCGAACGGCAAGCAGGCACTCGCTTTGCTGGAGCGGTGGAGGTCCCTCGTACAATGCAGCGATGAGCCGCCTTTCAAGAGGCCCCGGCAAGATGAGGCCCCAGTGGCAGCTGCAGCGCCGGCGCCCAAGGCGGCGGCCAAGGCGGCAGCGCCCGTGGCGGACCCGCGGCCGCAAACGCACGCGCAAGCGCAGCCGCCGCAGCCGCGGACCCCACCGCTGAGCCAGCTGCCAGCGGCCAAATCGGAGGACATCCCTCCAGAGCTGAAGAATGTCGATCCCCGCATTGCCTTGGTCCTCATGGAGAACCCAGATCTTCTGGAGTTCCTGAAGAAGCAGCCGGGGATCTTTCAAAACATGAGCCCCCAAAGCCTGGCTTTCCACCGCGCCTTTTCCTGCACACAGCCCCCTGTTAAGTGGCTCTTTTTCGGGGCTTTCCCCCCACCTCCGCCCTCTCTCTCTTTCTCTTTTTTCAATATTGTTTTTTTTTTTCCTCTCTCTCTCTCTCTCTCTTTCTTTCCAAAGCCAGAGATCATACATTGCAGGCTTCTTTCGGGGGGGGGGCATGGGAGGGATGCCCAGGCCGCAACCTGAAGAATGCGCGCGAATCCTCCTTGCAGTCGGAGGACAGCAGGCATCGCATAGGCTGCAGTGTTTCTTGGCCGCACCCTTGTTGACCGCATAGATCGGATGCTGACTGGCCAGCTTTGAGAATCTTGAGATCTGACACGGCGTGTCGTTGAGAGAGAAGCCTGTAAGTATCCTGTAAGTCTTAAAGTAGGTCACCGTCTCCAACCTCACGGAGCAGACCACGGAGCAGGACATTCTGGCATTCTTCACGGCTCAGGAGCTCACGCCTGTGAAGGTCGACCTGCCACGTGAGAGCCGACGAAAGCGGCCCTGCGGCACGGCCTTCGTTGTGTGCCTTGGAGATCACTTCCTGCAAATCTTGGAAGTGTTGGGGCCATGACTTACTTAGTAGATCTTAGTAGCATGTAGGATAGGACTGCAGCAGTAGAGGTTGGCAGGCCAGGGGGGCCCAGTTGTTTTTCCGAGACATCCGAAGCCGAGGCTTCCGTCGCAAGAACAGGCGCAGCTGACCGTTTCGAGGCTTCACGGCCTGGAGCTGCAGGGAAGCTGTGTGTCTGTGGAGCCGGTGGACGGTTTGGGCGATGAAGCCCAGGAAAGCCATCGGGTTCAATGGAAGGATGACGATGAGCTGTGGGAGGTCATCATGTTCCCCGCAGAGGAGACCGTGGAAGAGCTTGGGCTGCGGATCCGGAAGCAGGACTTTGCCAGCAAGACCAAGATGCCGGGAAGTTCCAAGGGGGCAAGCTTCGAGGCGGCGAGACGGGTCGAAATGGCCATGGAGAGGCAGCATGCCCCAAACGCATTGAAATCCGCAACTACGCGGATTAGTATGGTTTCACCATTATGAGAAAGTTTAGAAAGTTATGTTTCATCCCGATGAGCTGATCTGGCCAAAGCAAGGGGGGGAGCGCGAAGAAAGCAGGTTCAGGGTTGGTGCTCCCGTGTTCTGTGAGCAGTCTGGTCCGAGCCGATGCCAAGATGCCAGGTTCTTTGGCAGCCGCCCCCTTCAGATCTCCTGCCTCCAATGACTTTATGGTGGCTCCGATGCTTGTGGGCGTGCCAAGCACCGACGGCCCGGAGCATAGCGGAGTGTTGATTTCTTCGGCGAATCCCCCCCAGGTCCCCCCCCCCCTCGGCCCCTTCACAACTAAGAGGTTTGACGGCCACCTTCGAGGCCGGCTTTTTTCTGAAAGGGTTGGGGGTTGCTGATAGCTGGGAGTTGTTCAAGCAACTTCCTTTTTTTTTTTGGGGGGGGGCATCTTTGAGCTCGTTCACACGACACGTTTCGTGTATCCTCGACAGGAGGTGAAACGGGCCCCGGTGCAGATCTTGGTGGTAGTAGCAAATATTCAAATGAGAACTTTGAAGACTGAAGTGGGGAAAGGTTCCATGTGAACAGCAATTGGACATGGGTTAGTCGATCCTAAGAGATAGAAGAAGTTTGTTCGGAAGTGCGGCCTCTCTCGGGGGGAGGGGGGGGTTTGTTTTTTTTTTAATCCTCCCTGGAGCTTTCCTGCTGAGTTTCAATCTGAGTCTTTCGGTTCTCTCTAGAAAGAATGCCAGGCCAGCAAGCCTGGAAACCTCTGGGCCGCTGTTGTGAGCGAGGCTGCGCCCACCCGGAAGAAAGGTTTTTCTCGAGCATCTTCTCAATGTACTCCCAATAGAGTCCGCATACTTCCCAATATACTCTTGATAAGAAGTCCCAATATGGTCGTATGCACCCAATATCCTGAAAGAACATTATTGTTACTTTGCGCACTTGCCCTCAACGTCACGTTAGCTTCCTCTGAGTATGTCTTCGGAGTCGCAGGAGCGACCTTATCAGTCGGAGTCGAAGCCGGGCAGGCAAACGCGGCCCTGGTGACGGTGGCCACCGCGAAGTCCACGCAGTTGTGGGCGCCCGTGCCTAAGTCGAGCTGAAGCCTGGAGACTTTGAGTCCCTGGGCTGGGTTGCCCGGCTCTTGCGGTTTTTTGTTCACTTCTCGGCTTCCTGGTCCGAAGTTGTGTGGACGGTTGCAGAAAAACCCGCCGCGTCCTTGTGCCAACAAGCTGGCTAAGCAGTCAGATACCATTTTCATGTAATTTCATGTAAATTGCAAGTGGGCTTCGCACGACTTCTGGTCAATGTCCTGTCCGGACTCCTAGTTCAAGCTGTTGCGACTCTTGCGCTAGTGCGGAATGTTTCGCTGCATGTGATGGATGCCGTGACTTTCAAGTTGAGATTTTGAAAGTTTCTCGAAAGGCATCGTCTTGCTATCAGCTCTAAACCCGAAGTCCGATTCTGGGCTACATGTCGTTTTGTTTCTTCACTTCGAGCCCCAGTTGGTCCGGGAAAGCTCCAGCCGCGGTACGGCGCAACAGCGTAGCGGTGCAGTGGCACAGCCGCCGTTGAGGTTCGGGAACAGGAGCGCGCAACGGCGCAACGACCCAACGGCGCAACTCGTAGGCGTGTGCTGGTGACGACAGAGATGGCGGAGATGGCACACAGCGGCGCGAAACCGCAGTGGCATCCATGGCCCCTGCGCTGAGATGCGCGCCATCTTTTGGCTCATGTGGCTCCCTGCCCCTGCTCAATTCCCAGCAAGAGAATAAGAGGTCGGTTCAACAGTTCAATGAGCGAACGAGGGAATTCGGGGGACCCCTTCAAAGAGCACTTCCATCAAGGTATGGAGCCCTGACTTGCCGGAAGAGCCAGGAGGCGGTCGAGCATGTTGTGCCATTCCAGTGAAAACCTGTCCCTGCCGGGCTTCTCAAGGCCATGGCCGGTGGGACTGCCACTACACTGTCCTTGACTGGCTGTTCTTTGCCTGCTACCGAGTGCTCACTTGCTGATAGCAGCATGTGCTGCAGTGCTGCAGAGACAATAAGTTTGCTGAGTCAGTGTTGAAGCTACGCAATGAGCTTGCCGACGTTCCTCCTGTGTATGGCTCCGAACATCTTGCCAAACTTGAGAGTAGTTCGAACGTGTAGTGCGTCCACACCTCTGCAAATCAGCCATTTTGGAAGGACCGTGTCTCTGCACGTTGCGTCCTTGATCTCACTTGTGGAACGCGTATAGGAAGCAGACTCTTGCCCCTCCTCGCTAGGATGAAGCTTCTGCGACTCGGCGTCATCACGAGCTCAGGGGAAACAGGTTGACAGGTTGAGCTGCTTGCCGCTCAAACAGCAAGGCGTAGCAGGGCCTGTAGACCCTACAGGGCCTACAGGGCTCCTTTTTTAAGCGGGGGCCGAAGCCCCTTCAGTCTTCTACAAGTTGGGAGAGCGGAGAGCGTTGCGCTGCTACCATACGTGAACTGAAGGAGGACGCTCGCTGTTCTCTTGCTGCTGCCGACAGCCACGTTCGCCCAGGACTGCATTGAAGTGAGGGCGACTTCTGATAATCACGAAAGGCAAAGGTCCTGCAGTGCCCCGGGAGTTTTCTGAGGTCCGCTGAGAGGCCCATAGGGCTTGAGTACATGATTCCAAAATTTATTTCTTGTTGTGGCCGCAGCCCAAGCGCAGCTGCAGGAAGATGAGGATGCAGGTGCACCGCAATCCTGCTCACTCTTGGCGTGATTCTTGACAAGGTTGTGACGGTTGTGAATTTAGCTGTGAATTTAGTGTTGGCGGGCCCTGCGCACCTCAAGCATCCCAGCGTCTGACAGCTTTTTGGTCTGGGGCTTCCTTGCTGTGTGCATCGCCTTGCAATTATTGCTTCGGAAAAGGACAGCACTAGCAGAGGAGTGGTCAGCCAGAGAACCAAAGGAAAGCCATTCCGAGGGGGGGGGGGTACCCTTTTGGGGTCCCTTCAACGGGATCATTCAATTTGGGGCACGAAGAGACGCACGAATTTAATATTTCAATTTAGCTTCCTGGCGCTCTTTGTACTCTCTGTTTATGCGCCCCTTAAACACTATCTCAACAGATGCAAGTGAATGAAATGATCGCGTGATCTGTGCATTAGCGAATCATTACATTCACGAAGTACTACTAATATTAACAAGACGTGCAGGCGTCTGCACGCACTCCGTTCACACCTTTCATATTATAATCATGCGTCACGGGCGCTCCTCATAATGATTCATTAAATGTGCTCGGTAATTCGAGAGCACATGAATATACTGAAAGCCTTAACATGTGAATTGCAAGGAGTGAATGGAATGAGTGGCGCGTGAGTTCACATGGGCTTTTTTACTTTACTGGACGTTGAGGAAGAACGGATGAGAGCCTGCAAAGTAAACCCTAAACCGTAAACCGTAAACCCTAAACCCCTAAACCCTAAACCCTAAGCCCTAAGCCCTAAACCCCCCCCCCCCCCGCAAGCTCTCCGAGCTTTCGCAGATGCACCTCCCGACTTCGACGAGCTGCTGGGTGAGATTGACGAGAACAAGGCCCCCCCCTTCGTGGACTTGGGGAAATCTGGGGGGGCATCCTTAAAAGGAAAAAGAGGGGCGTGCCCTTCTTTGAGGTGGTTGTTCCTATGTTCCGATAGCAAGGATGATCGTATCTTGGGGTTTCAAGAGCTCGGTGGTGCAGGATGGAAAGATCTCATGGGAGGAGATGTTCGGAAGTGCCGCGCCAAGTTGAGCTTCCTGAGCTTCCCGAGCCTGTTTGCCAAGTTGAACACGCGAGAGGGTTCAGAACCGCCCTCCCTCCCCAACCCTCCAAGAAAGGGAGGGGGAAGAGGGTGTCCCACCAAACATACTTAACCCCCCCCCAAGCTGTGCTGCTGCTACCCGAAAGAGGTGATGCGGATGCCCCCGACGAGGAGGGCATGCCTGAAGACATCAAGGCGAAGTACCAGGCAGTTTACAAGGCCGAGCTGGGGTGCATATAGCCTGGCATTTTTGGGGAAATCAGGGAAGAGTTAACCGCGAGTCTCGAAGGGATGCGGGAGGGGGTGCAGGGGGGTGTACCGGGGATTACCCAGGAGTGCGACTCCGACGGAGACGGCCTTATCAACCGCGAGGAGTGCCAAGTAAGTGACGCATCCAGCCGTCCCAGTGCTGACAGCACGTCAAAGGAACCGCTCACAGGCGCATGTCTATTGAGAGCCCAATCTGCAACAGACGGCTTGGAGAGCGTGGCCAGAGCTGAAGGAGCTGCCAACGCTCTTCAACAAGCTGACGCTCATGGAGGACTCCCTCTAAGCATCATACAATGATGACATAACATGCTTTTTCTCAGAGTGCATGACCCTTGGAGAAGTGGCGCAACTCTGGTCTCAGGAGGAGGAGGGCATGCATGACGAGAAGGATGAAGTGTGAGTTGGTGCGCCTTCCACAATTCTGTCAGATTGCTTCCTGCTACTTCGCAATGCCGAAGATGACGCAAACTAGCTCGTTCCCTGGGTCCTGCGTAGTCGAAGCAAGACCCGAAACTGTTTGATGCCCAGCTGATGCCAGAGGCTGGCTGATGAAGCCTGGGCTTATCTGATTCTGAGCCCAGTCTGGTCAAAGGGAGCGTCTCAGCTCCATGGCAAGTAAAAGACAGTTACTAGTTACTATGCACTACATCTACTTCAAAGAAGGCCCCCTTTGCCGGCATGAGGTACATCGGACGCCAGTGTGCAATGAAGCAGAGCGCTTCGAAAAAGGAGGGCTGGAAGTGCCCTTTTCGTGGCCTTTGAAAGCAATGAAAGCAATGAACTGAGCTTTCCTACAGTAAGGCCCTACAGCACGAAGTTGAAGTTGTTTGCCTGCAGCTCAGTTCTCCTAACACATCGGCGAAAACGGATTACGCCGCCTCGTGAATCAGGTGTACATTGAAGATGAGAATCTTATGGGGGACGGCACGCTGTCAATGGTGGATGTGCCAGTGCCGCCGCCCAGAAGTACCCTATGAAGTTCTCTCCGATGCCCTCTCTTGCGCCTTGCACGCTTTCTGCTTCAAAAGGTGCCAGGCTCCACCACCTTCACCAGTGCCCCGGCCATCAACGGAGTGTGCGGAGCTCGGCAACGCTCGGCACCGTGGTGACCGAAGAAGTGAAAGCTTATCACAAGTCGAAAAGCTCTGCGTTCCGGGTTCTACTAGTTGACGAATCTTCATTATAGTTTTGAAAGTGTTTGTGTAAGGTTGTAGAGGGCGGACAAAACTTTGACTGATACAAGCTTCCGAGCAAACGGCAGAGATGGTAGGTTGCAATGAAGCCGGAGTCGCCAGAAGCGCTAACAGCAAGGCCGACCACCACGGGCCTGACCTTCGACTACACGGTGGCCCACGACGCCGGCGCCACCATCGGCTCGGAGACCCAGAAAAAACAAAGAAGCAGCGAAGTTTCCAAGCTCAGAGGAGAGGACCTCGAAAACCTTCTCTCTTTTTGGGGGCGCCCCCAAGGGCCCTCCAAGAATTCCCAGCCTCCCCGAGGCCTGATCTGGGCCTCCGTCGGCACGCCTGCAGCCGCGGCAGCCCTGGACCTCGTCTCCGTGAAGGCGAGATCGCGTGGCTTGCGGCCTTTGCGGGCGAGGTCGCCCAAAGCCATCCCAAAGCCTCAAAGTGCAGGGAACAGTGCCGGCTTGCGAATTTGTTCCAACAGCCTGAGTCTGTCTTGTGCCATCCTGTGCCATCCTGTGCCCAGCTCGCGACCGGGATGATCTGCGGCATCTCTGGCCAGGCCCAGAAGGGCCGGAAGGAGTCTGAAAAGCCTCTGCGTGAAGCATCTTTGTTTCTGGCCTTCTCGATTGCGCTGTTGCGCGACAGGCCATCAGCACCGGTGCCCTCTCGGAGACACTCACAGGCCGGGCTCCAAAATCTGCACTGAAATCTGCGGGTCTTTCGCAAGCTTTTGTCAGCCCCGAGAACAGGACATGATTCACTTTCGATTCATGTGAGGATCCGACGGCTGCAGCCTGGCACGTGGCGTCGAGCGCACGCCTCGGTCGATGTGTGGGTGCCAGCTCGACGTCTCTAAAAGGACATGGGAGCACTGTCAGCACTGTACATCTCGAACATGGCAAGGATGTTAAAAGGGCTGAGTTTTTGGCACACATTGGAAGGTTTTGGGGCAACAGTATTGTCTCTCTGCGTGAGAGCGCCCTCAGATACCACCTCGTGGTCTATGTCGAGTCTTCTGGAAACACCGGAACCCTGGCATCACCGGTGCCCTTCACTGCCCGATGCCGAGCAGAGGAGTGAGGAGGGTGGGGAACTGCGCGTATGAAGGATGTTTTTGTACTTTGCTTACTGAGATATCCTCTTGTATCCGAGGTGCCGACGTCCAACAGCTTCTACTTTGCCCTTGCCTCAGCATGTTTCAAGCACATCTCAAGCACATCAGCACATCGGAAGCTCTCTCCTGCAGACTTCACGGACTTCAATGCGCTCCAATCCGCGCACCTGCCGAGGCCCCGCAGGCCTCCAACCCGACGTCAGCAGGCGGCGCTCTCGTGAGAGTGTGAGAGACAGCGAGAGCGCCCTCACACAATCTGGCAAACATCCGTCTGCCTCTACAGAGAAGGATCTGCGCTCCGAAATGTCGCCAGGTGTGGACATCCTCTTTGCAGTGCACCAAGCGGGCAAAGCCTGGGGAGTGGTGGTGCCCTGCAGCTCGCTTCTACTCTGCCTATTTAAAAGAGGGTCGAAGATGTTGAAGCCATCATTTTCTTTCCCTCTTCCAAGCATTGAAATGAACCATGAGTGAGTGCAGAGCCCGAATGGGGTCGCAAAACCCCAGGATCTCTCTCTCTGATGCACTTCGTCACTTCGCATAGCTGTCACAACGATTCACAACGGCAGGTGGAGCAAGCGAACGTGGCCTCAGTGACTGTGGGCACCATCAAAGCTGGCACGGGTCAGGGCCCCTCCCCAAAGCGGCGCACAGATCCGCGCAGATCCTCGCAGATCCTCGTGGCGCGCGTCTTGCCAGCCCAATAAGTGGTGAATCTCCCCAGCTTCCGAGGTGCCTATGGCGGCGTCTGCCTTGTGGCGGATCAGGCCGAAAATGCCGAAAGGATGTTCCGATTTGATGACTGGACTCCCTGTCCAACACGAGGCGATCACTGCAGGAGGCATGGAGACCATGTCCTTCACAGGCTGTTCGCTGGCCCTGCTCTCGAGACGTTCCAGCCCTTCACATACCGCCGCAAGTGGTCTCGTCCCAGGTCATGGCGACGACGTACAAGGCCTTCGTCTATGTTGAGGCGCGGGCAACGAGCGTCTCTTAGAATACAGAATAATAGTCTTCTCCGTGATGTGAGAAGGATGGCAGTGGCCTGGGTGACGGCACCCTCTCCGGAGCAGTGGATGTAGTCCTACCGGCCTCCAACATGTTCCAGATCGAGCCCTACGAGTTCAGGTGCCTGGAAAGCCTTGTTTTCGGACTCCACAGTCCTGTCCTGTCCTGCCCTGCGCGCCAGGACGCCCTTCCCGACCGCCATCAGCTACTTCTTCGCTCCCGTCTCTGACGGCAAAGCCTGGGACGGGGCACCCGGTGAACGTTCGGGGAGTTGGAAAATCGGAGAGCTGAACATGTTGGCTTAGTTGGCTTGCTTAAATGTTCTTCTGGCGGGAGAACCCCCCCCCTCCCGCAGCCTGTCAACCCCTGCGCTTCCACAAAGGCCATTCTGACCTCGAACATGGCGTCCCGCACGCCCGCCGAGATCAAGGCACGCTCGCTCTCCAGTGCGAGCATGCTGCGAGCACACTGCGAGAGAGCGAGCGAGCAAGCGCCTGTTGATGCTTCCCGCCTCGGCGCTGTGCCCGCTTTGCTGACCGCGCGAACTCCGGATATCTTTCCGGTGTTTCTTGGGCTGCTGGACTTGATGACATGTTGCCTCGCAAGGCCTTGTACATGGCTTCGGGCGGGGCCACCTGCAACGTCCAAAGTATGGACGTGCAGGCCAATGTCGAGAGCCGGGAGCCTTGGACAGGATGTCAAAACACTTGGGTGGGGCGCAGGAAGTCCCCCTAAATGACTGATGACTTGTATTCCCAGGGCTGTGGGTCAATGCAATCTGAAGTAGGTGACATGATTAGCCAGACAATGAACCCATGAAGTGTGGCCGTAAGAATCGTAAGGGGGTAGAACTGGAGCTGAACCCGGCTGCCTCAGTCTTTGCGCAGGTGAAATCGGCAACTTCACCTGCGCGCTCACCGCGAGTCAGACGTACAAACTCCACGTGTATGTGGAGGACGCTTCCGGTGGCACTGGGGCAGATGAGTCGTGCAGTTGAGGGATGCATCGTAGTTTTGACGCCTTCTGTTTGGATATGATCCAAGTCACAAGGGGCACAGCAGCGATGAAGGATGCGAATGGTAACAACGATGGCACGGTCACAACGCTCATAGCCAATGCCAGCAGCCAAGTGACGGAGATGCGGGGCCGTGCGTCCCGAATAGGTCGTTTCAGAATGTTTCAGAGCTCGGTGCGTGTCAGAGTGACTCCTCCGCTCTCTGCCTTGGACTGCCGTCCTCTCCAAGGTGGCGCCCACCACGGCCCCCAACTACTTTCAGGTCGGGCCCTCGGCCCTCCATAAAAAGATGTACAGGCAAAAAGGGGTGCCCACGGGGCGGCACTGCGGGTTTAGGAAGTCTAGGGTTTAGGAAGTTTGGTGTACTCCAGAACCCCTTCAAAAACCCCTAAGCCGCCCTAAACCCACCCGATTAAAGCCCCCCTAAAACCCTCCAAGCCCTCTAAACCCTAAACCCTATGAAACCCCACAAACCCCACAAACCCTACAAACCCTACAAACCCGACAAACCCTACAAACCCGACAAACCCTACAAACCCTACATGACACCCCCCCTGAGGAGAGCCCCAGGCTGGTCTCCAGCCTCACCGGCAGCGGCTTCGACGTGAGCTACCGCATCGCAGGGCGGCCCTGGATGCCTCCCTTACAAGGGGGGCAGTGGACCTTTATATACATATCTAATGGTCTAGAGTATACATACTATATATATATATGTACATATATATTTATATACTATATATTATATGATATATAATAGTAATAATAATAATGATAATAATAAATAAAACTAAAAGCATGGAACGGTGCCTACGTGGTTCTTTGGCACGCATCCCTCCCCGAAATCAGCTCAACCCTGTGCTCCAGTTCTTCTATCGAAGAGAAGCATCTTGGAAACACAAGACTACACACATAGCATCCACTTGTGGAGACGCTCCAGGGCTCTCTTCGGACTTAGGCCAACCCTGGCCGCATCCACGCCATCGTCACTGCGCAGGGTGCCGCGGTGAGCGGGAGCCCTGAAGGGGTCAAGACCCATCTCGCAGCCCCGAACAATAGTAATATTCATGATAATAAGTGTAACTAATAAATAGAAATAGCAACAATAATGGTAATAGTTTTAAGCTGGATGCCTCATGTTCTTCTCCGTGCGGTCTCAGGCGTCAGCTCCCTGCTCTCGGGCACGGATGCGATCGGAGACATGTCCTGCAGCAGCTCCGCTCAATCAGACTTTTCTTGGAATATCTAGATTTCTAGGAGTCAAGATGCATCTTTGCTGACTGAAGAACTGTGCGAAGTGTTAAAAAGTGTTGTCAAGGCTTCCTGCCAGAGGATGGGGTCGCGCAGAATGTCACGACCCTGCAGGCAAGCACTCGCCAGACTCCTCGTCTCATGTGGAAGCCCCGCAACCATAGAGTTGAAATGGAGTTGAAATTCCTGCGCGACAGACCCTCAATTTCACGGGCTGCGGAATGCTTGGAGGACAGGGCTCTGCACACTCACCACGTGCAAAAATGAGATGAGAAGATGCCTAAAGATGGCGCGCCCAAATTTTTGAAGAGGGAGAGACTCAGAGAGGGGGAGTGGCCGGGGGCCTCCTTCCGGGCCCTCTTCAGCGTGCAGAAGAAGAAGAAGAAGAAGAAGAAGAAGAAGAAGAAGAAGAAGAAGAAGAAGAAGAAGAAGAAGAAGAAGAAGAAGAAGAAGAAGAGGAGAGGGAGAACGCGAGTAAGGATGATCGCTTTTCAAGATCACTCTTTTCCGTGGCCCTTTGAGGCTCAACTCAGCTCCGAATTCGAGTACACAGGCCCCCAACAGGCTCTATATGGAGCGGAACGGTAGGTGCCCCACCCAAAAGAGCTCTCCAAAAGACTGGACACTTCGGCAAAGAGCACTAAGAGCACCTCAGTTAGCGTTGTGACTGCTCAGGGTTCAGTTCTTCGTTCAGTTCCGAGATTCCGAGCATGGCCATGTCACAGAAGGATGCCCAGGTGCAGAAGGCAAAGCAGCTCCATGATGCCATTCAGCAGATGACGGAGCAGACAGAGACGTTGGAGGCAGAGCTCGCGCAGCTGGCCGCAGAGAAAGCCCAGGTGGACAACGACCTGGTGGCCGCCACAAACCGCGCTCGGGATCTACAGGCGCAACTGCCACAGAAGGCCACGGGAAGGGCAGACGTGACATCAGATGCCCGGGCAACATCTTGGGCCTTGAAAGGTTCCCTTACACGGTCTCGCTCTGGACCAAATGCTCAATCTAAGCTGCAGAAGCTGCAGACATAATGTATAATTACTCTATAATCTCAAATCTTTCTGGGTATGTGCTGCGTGTAAGGCTTTGCGATGGCATCCTGTAATCTAACAGTTTGATCTGTGTATGCTCAAATTTCATTTTATGCCAACCGGACATCACCATTCTTTTTCTTCTCTATCTCTCTCTCTCTCTTTCTCTCTCTCCCTCTCTCTCCCTCTCTTCCTCTCTGAACACAAAAGAGGCCATGGAGCTGAAACAGCTCGAGGCGCTCGAGCAGCAGAAGGAGGCCGAGTACATGAAGATGCTCGAGGCCTCGCCCACCTTGGTCCAGGTCTTGAAGAAGTAGAGGGGCGCCCGAAGCTTTCAGTGGCGCCCAATTTGGGACTTTCCAAGAACCCAAGAAGCCTCGACGTCTTTCTCGGCCCAGGGAGTCCTCTCTATAAAGGGCCTTCTTGGAATCAGAGCATGCAAAAAAGAAGCGTTTTGGGTTCTTAAGGAAATACGTGAGGACGTCAGAGCAAGAGGCACGACATGTGTGCCGGATATCGATTGCCCTCCTATCTCACCCCTTCCGAGAGCCGCGCGAGAAAGCGGAGAAAAGATGGGAAAAGGATGGGAAGGGCACAGCCACACGGCCGCACGCCGCTGATGTGTGCATCTCATGCAAGTAGACCCGTGCCTCTCACCCGCGGAAGTCAAGAGTGCCGTGCACCGCAGGAGCCAGTTACGAGCTCTGGGTCTACGTGGATGACATGCCCGGAGGAGTTTGGCCGCAGCCTTTGACTGTTGCTGTCATGTGCTACACACAAATCAGCCTCCCAGCAATCTCCGAGCCGTCTCTGAGTTTGAAAAATAAATCGAGATACTGAGATACTGAGATACTGATATCATATTGTTCATGTATGGGTCCTGCCATGATTCAGATGACGATGACGATGTGCTGTGTTTTGTGTCTACTTTTCTGGTAGCAATATGCCTGAGACATATTGTGCGCCCCTTGCGTGGCGAAGCTTTTGGTGCAGCCGGCGCAGAGTTGAGCTATTTTTTTTGCCAACGTTTTTTTTGCACATGTCGCTTCATTCGAGGCCCACAGGTGCCGCTGCCACCGATGGAGTGCTTTTCGGGCCGCTGCTCCTCAGCATTCCCTTCTCAAACCGCGTGGAGCCCAGGATTGGGAGGAGTTCAGGAGTTCGGTTGGGGGCTTGGGGACGGGATACCCTGACAGGGAACCCTTGTTTCGCGCCGGCTCTGCGGTCGCTTCTTGCATCAACTAATGAGAAGTCGAGCCTGAGGCCTGGCTGACCCTCCACAGATCGTCCTCGTCAGCGGCTCCACCGTCACTGTGGAGATCAACACCACTGCTGCCTTAGGCGAGGGGACCGGCGGAGTGCGAAGGCTTCGGTCACATGTCATGTCGTCTGTCAGGATACGGGTGGTTGACGGTCTATCCCACTGCGACCACCGTCGACGTCCCTGCTGCGTGGGCTCCTGAGTGGTATGCTGGCGTGTAGCTGGCTTCTCTAGAGTCGGATCTTGATCCAGGCAATGCCAACATCAACAGACCCATGTGGTTATCCCCTCGCCTTGGCTGAATCTTGGACGGGCTGCTGTCAGGAGAAATGTCAGCAACGCACTGTGCGGCGTGGCGGCCGTCCAGGCTTGAATGTGCAGATCGAGTGTGTGTGTGGCTGTTGCGACAGCGGTATGCGGATGTATGCGGCATGCGGACGAACAACCTCGTCACGAAGCAAGGTGGCTTCAATGCTGTGATGTGGCATGCTGCGCTTCTTGGCAGATCGATTCAACGACCACGGCGGAGCTGTCGACCACCGCATGCGAGCTGGTTGGAGGCGCCGCGCTGTCTTGATAGCTCATGTGAAAAACTTTTTTTCTTTGCGCGTGTGTGCGTGCGTGGGTATGTTTTTTTTTTTTTTTTTTCGCTCTCTCTCTCTCTCCTTTCTCTCTCTCTCTCTCTCTCTCTGTCCTCCTCTGGCTCCGTTGTGTGACTTTGTTTTAGTGGGTGAGAGGCGTGCAGTACCAAGTGGCCATCCTCGTGGAGGAGACCCGAGAGGGGGGGAGGGGCGGGGGAGTGTCTCGCGCGGTCTTTTCCAGTTCAGATACAGGGAATTTAGAGACAAGCACACGTGGGGAGAGCTCAAAAAAGCTTATAAAAAGAGTAGGGAGAACAAAGAGACACATACATAGGGAATGTGGAGCATGATCATCAGAAGCATGGGATCAGGACCGTGATGACTTCAACGATGGTGAGCTGACGGTGCGAACCTCAGCCCTCAGCTCCTCGGGAGGTCTCCATGGCTTCACTTCCTGACACGAGCGCACCGTTATACACATAAATACATATGTACCTATCCACCTCTCTCTCTCTCTCTCTCTCTCTCTCTCTCTCTCTCTCTCTCTCTCTCTCTCTTTACATATATATACACATACATATGCGTTTTTTCTGCTGCGTTGGTTGTAGGGAAAGTGCTGCGAGGGGTCATTTGGGGGGGTGCTCTGTTCTGGGCGCTGCTTCCAGGTTCTCTCGGGCTCTGTGGTCGGAGCGATTCCGGTTTCGATCCTCGGCAGCAAGAGAAAAACCCGTCAGGCTGAGAGCAGATTGTGAGATGGATTGGCGGGATAGTGCTTGGATGAGTACGCCGAGACGGAGACTTCCAACATGCTTAGACGCATCGGCCTAAGAGTAAAGAAGCATGATAATTACCAAAACATGATAAAAAAACATATGGATTGCATTGCGCGCAGTCAAGGGAGATGCCTTGAGGGGAAGATAGTGGAGCTACGACCACAACGCTGCAAGCGGCAGCCAGGAGTATCACCGAACACGGGTGGCGTGTTGATTGAAGACAAGCTCTGCCTAACACAACGTCCGACGAGTCGCCAGCGTGGGCTCCACGATGCCGTGGCATCCATGAATGGCTGCTGAGAAGCTACACGCCGAGAGAGTGGTCGAGCGATGGCAAGCCAAAAGCTCTTTGAGAGCTCAGCAGCTCCAAGCAAAGGAGGGCGATATGCTCAGATCAGGAGAAGGCTGCAACGTGGGGAGTCCCAACGCGTGCTTGCGGCGAGGCTTGGAAGGCTGAGCGCTCATGTCCACATGCGCCCAAAATGGGTGGTCCATGCGCGTCTATACTCTGGTCATACTAAAGGAGGGATGAGATTTGTAGGGAAGTTGCTGACTCGCCGAACTCTCATTCCCGCCCAAGTCTACCCAGTCTCGCTGATGTATGGTCCCAGATCGCTCTGTGACCTCTCCCTTGTTGAACTTGCTGAACCTATAAGACTATAAGAGACCCTCGCACATGGTGCACTTCGTTAGGCGTCTTTTCAGCATGGTCCTGTCTCGGCTAGATGCGGCCGTGTATGCAAGGAATAGCTTCACAGTGGCGCCCCGCATCTCGAGCGGCTTCCTCAGTCAGCCAGACGGCTTCAGTGCCTCGAAAGACCCTTTGCCTTATCATGATCTCTTTGAAGATCCCTACAAAAGTTGAACTTCAGCCAAACCTTGAGCACCATCCGGAGTTTGTCAGAGGCTCGCTGACGGTGAGTGATGTGTGGGTGACCTTTTCGGCCGCACATGCTGGGGCAGGCGCCAGGGCAGAACAGGACCTTCCCTGCCCCCGCCCATCCTGAACTATGCGTCTTTCGAGATCTCCTCAATGGCGTCGAGCACCGGTTTTTGCTGACACAATACCCCTTTGCAACATATCGGTGCAATGTGGCTTTGGCCGATATGTAGTTGTCCAATGTGCGATGCTCTTTCACAGTATTCCTCAAGATCATCAACAGAATCAACAGCTGTATGCAATGTAGGATCACCCTTCGGCCAGGCAACGTGTACCTGCTGAAGGACTCCGCGCCGGCATTTGTGGACATCGTGTCGCTGTCCTGAGCCAAGACGACAGCAGCGGCCAAACATGTACAACCCAAAACCCTACATCCTCAGCAAACCCTATAAACCCGATAAACCCTCTAAACCCTATAAACCCTGCAAACCCTCTAAACCCTCTAAACCCTATACGCCCTAAACACCCTACAAACCCTATAAACCCTGTAACCCCCCTAAACCCGAGTTCGGAAGGATTTGGAGTTCTTCGGAGTGTTGAGAGGGTTTCCGAGGAGCTCAGGAGATGATCGCAAGCATTCGCAAAGTCTCTCGAGGCGGGCCGGACTTCCCAGCGACCTCATGTGCAGCTCGATGATGATGGCCCGCTGCTGAGGGCCTTTCGGCCAGTACAAAGGATGGCAAACACAAACAGGAGCAAGCCTGGTATCACTTGATATCGCCGAATCGATGATTGTGTAGAACGATCCAGTGCGAGCATGTGGTTTCTGCAGTGCGCAGGTTTCCATGGGCGAGCAGAGCCACGAGCTATCTGGCTGTGCGTTGACGCACTCCCAGAGCTACAAGGCCACCTGATCCACCCATTTACAGACATGACCTGCCTCACTTAAGAGCATCCCAGAAAGCCTCGTCGTGCCAAAGACCCTAGCAGCCCTAGCACTGCAACTGCACCGACTGCGGCCACCACTCTAAGCCTAGAATGCTGCTTGTTCGCGCATGCCGCGCTGTTTCATGCTGGATCTGATGGTGTACGGCAACAGGTGCTTACAGGTAAGACCGTGTCAGGATGGGAGATCCTGGGCAGGGTCGTACACTTTGTTGTTTTCGCTCCTCTCTCAGACGTGCTCCCCCGCGCAGGTGTACGTCTATGTCGCCAACTCCCAGGCCTTGACGGATGGCACGTTGCCGGGACCTTGGAGAACGTGCCGCATGCCGCATGCCACAGAGTATTTTGCGTTGTCAATTAATGCTCAGCAAACCCTAATCTTCCCACACATATTATCCTGTTAGTCCACACTGCTTGGGGCTATTTCCATAATATGTTTTGGTTAACGACACAGGATGATTTGCGAAGTGGATTGAACAAAAAAACCAGATCCCTATACGGAAGCATCCCGAAGCCTGTTCCTTCACAGTATTTTGTGCTCTCCTGGGCGCACGATGGCCCACATACCCCCCCCCCCCCCCCTTCTTCCGTCAAGTCTTTATATCTTCGGGCCTTGAAAGCGCCATGCCCGAGACAGCACAGCGTGGTTTGCGGCTCCTGTGATCGCTTTCCCCAGTATGAATTCACGTTGCCAAGCCTGAGACATATTTTCCGTGCCCATGCTGCCCTGCGTAATTCCGGGGGAAAGTGCTTTCTTTCGAGCAGGCCTTACGCCAAGCCCTGGAAGGGGAGCTGCGAATGCGGCTGAGTCGCTAGGACTCTGACTCGCTGAAACTCGACAACTCGAAAACTCGAGACATCTCGAGACATGCTCCATGCTTCTCCAACGCCCGGCCAAGGTCGGCCGGCCTGCCAGCCACGGTGGTACCCGGCCACTCCAACTACTTCACGCAGGCAGCAGGGCCAGCAGGGAGTGAACGGAGACCTCAAACAGAGGAGAGAGCCGAATGACTGCGAGAGAGGCATGGCCTTCGAGTGGTTGAGTGCCCTTCCCTCTGGAGGTGCCACAGCTGGCAAATGCTGGCTTGACGACTTCAGGCTTCACAGTCAGCTTCTCTGCCCGGGCACCCAGCCTGGGGGCAACACTTGAAAACAGGTCAAACTTGGTGGCCTTGAAGGCACCCTTTTTTAGGCTTGCCGGGGATGGTTGATCGCGAGATCTGTGAGGTGGCCACTGCCGGCGTCGCTTGGGTCATCGCAATCCCTGCGGTGGAGGCCACGCCGGCGGCCCAGGAAAGGTGATTGTGAGGCGCATCTCCCATAGCACAATCCAGCACAGTAACAGTTAGACTTCTTCGTACAGCGAGAACGTCAAAGGGCGAAATGTAGATCAGGTCTGCGAGCGTGATGACCGTGACCAGCGGCTACAGCGCCATCTGCACGGCGCTGTGAATTGCAGAAGAGGGCAACAACTGCTGGCTGACATATCATATCCGGTGGTTTGCGAATGGTTGCTGAGGCTCCAGCCTTGGCGTCGCGCTGCCAAGCTCTGGCAGCCACGCCCGTTGCCTAGAGGGCTTCAGGCTTCGGATGTCGCCCTGACTGCCCCATCTGCCCCCCCTGCCACTCGACTCAATCCGACGTCCCATGTGTCCAGCCCAGGCAGTTGCCGTCACCGGCTGCAGTTTTATCGCCAGCGCGGGACTCTGGAACCCACCCATCCCATCCCATCCCATCCACCCTCCCCAACATTCCAACATAACCCCCTTTGGGCTGTTTCCCATTTTGTGCCTCCTCTCTCCCGGACTCTTCCCTGTTCCGAGTCTCCGAGCAATTTGAGCGACCCGGAGCGAGGCTGGAGCTACGCGGTGCTCGTGTACGTGACGAACCAGGCTGCAGGAAACGATGGCGCCTTGTCCCCTCCAGTGCCGCTGCAGATCACGCCCGGGCACCCAGCCATACCCAGACTGTCAGAGTGTCAGAGAATCCCAGTAATCCCAGCACAGAATGCCAGATGCTGGAGTCACTGGAGCCATGAGTCGCCCATGAGTCCATGAGTCGCACACACAAGAGGCCCTCCAACAACTTCGCCGTGCTGCCCTACTTGTCGGAGGCACCTTAGACCAGCTCCGGCAGCTCCAGTGTCTCTGAACCGAACATTACAAAACCCACACAGGGCAGCCTCTTTGCTTTTGTACACGTCTCTCAGCTCAGTGCTCATCAGCACGAAACTCGCAGGTGCCATCGCCCGACATGGTCAAAGCCAAGTTCATGGGCACCGCCGCAGGATCGGTGTGACGAACGGTTGCAAGCAAATTTCATGTACATTTCATGTAAATGTTCAAGCCGAAAAAGCGTCCCCCCCCGTGTGGGCTCATCTCTGGCAGGAAAAGCTTGGGCCTGCATCGTGAAGGCCGAGAACGTGAGCGACGTGACGGTCAGCGCCCGGGCCTCAAGGGGTGCCCCGCCCCCACGACCTGCCCCCCAAAGGCCGCGCTGATGCTTATTTCGCTTAACACATTGTGAATAGTTGTGCAGACCTGGGTGGCATACCACAGCAGAGCACTTCGCCAATCTCACCAAGTCCCGCTTCCTTGGCGCAAATCTTTTCTGGCGCAGCGCCTCTCAGCTCTCCGTGAGTTGAATCCCCACCCGCGCATCCTACTTCGGACTCCCCTGAAGCGCGTTCCAGAGATCAGTGCTGTTACATTTCATACTCGATTGTAGACTCAAAAGCCCGCCTCTCCAACTCGAGGATGTGAAGGCCGGCTGCGCCGGCTGCTCTTCTGGGGAGGCCGGTTGCTGCAAGCTGTGGCAAGTTGCGGCAAGATCCTAAACTCGCACTTCCCTCCCATCCTCTCCCACGGCTTGTTCAGGCAATGCTGAGCGACACGCAAGAGCTGGAGGTCAACATGACAGGCTGCAACCTGGAAGTGGGCGCCATGCTCCCAGGGGAATCCAAAAAGGGGAACAGCGTCCATGTCCACGCTGCGCAACCTGCGGCGGGGGGTTGTTGCCTCGGACTTTGCGGTGAGCTCTGAGGTGGAGCACAGGCTGATCGCCTACGCAGAGGCACCGCGCAGTGATGAGCAAAATGCTGCTTCGTGCACCATGCGCACCTCTTTGCAGAATCATCGTGCGAAGTGATGGGAACGAGAGGACAACAACAACGCGGATGACGGCTACATGACAATGTGGGGGCACTCTGGGCAGCTTCACACATACATCGTAGCGTCTGAGACCCTTCTTTGCGTGTACTCTGAGGAACCTTGCCGTCCGAGTCCCGACCTCCAACGCCTTCATCTCCCCGGCTGCTGCCTCATTTTGAGCCATTTTGAGCCATTTTGAGTCATGCTTGCCCCAAGATATCTCGACAAAGCTGGGGCCAGCATCCAGAGACTTCTCCGTGAGGCCTATATCGTCAACAACATGGTCACGGCCTTTGAGATCCATGTTGAGATGAGTTGACAGAACAATTTGTAAGGAGTGCAAATGAGAGAGGCAGAGAGGAGAGCATCAAGTACCCTCTGCGAGAGCCGGGAAGCGCAGGTCACGGCTTATGGCTGCACCGTGATGTTCGAGGCCTGGAGCTCGGTGGAACATACGATCTTACAATATCTTGCACGGAATGGCAGCTAGACAAAAAGAGTCAAAGGAAGGCCTTTATCCGGCTTGCCAAACCTTGTGTCAGGTGGCCAACACCATGGGCAAGGCCAGAGATCTACCCCACGCTTGAGATTTGAGGGGCTCTGCGGCCTTTGCCTGGAGAGGTCTGGGGGAAGGTGATCGACGCGGGTCATGCAAGCCTGGCGACGGTAGTCGCGATCAAGTACAACAATCCAGCCTGGGCCTCTCAACTCGTGAAGTGCACTGTCAAACTTGAGATGAAGAAAGGGCAGGCAAGCTACAAGTAGCTTGGCCACTGTTGTCCGTCCTGACTGCGCATCGTGTCACGGCAAGGCCATTGCCGTCGGAGGCCCCCTTTGCTCCGGGGTTGTGGGAGAGTCGGGGGGTCGACTTTGGGTCTAAGTTGGCGCCGGGCTTCCTCATGTTTGTATATGTTTATTGCTGGCGCTCCTCGCCTCCTGCCAGGCTCGGCTTGCCAAATGGCGGACGAGATGAAGCCGCGCGGCAAGCACATGATGGTCTTCGATTCGCAGCGGCCTTGGACAGGAGTTCCATTGGTTGCTTTCGAATGGAATCCCATGGAATCCTCCCCGTGCGGAAGGTGCAACCTCACCAAGGGCAGCTCCTACCAGGCGGAGTGTGGTCAGTTCAGTTTGCGGGAAGTGGGGGGGGGGGGCGACTAAGTTCTGATGAAAGAGCGCGAGACATAGCTTTTGGCTCCGGACCGAGGTCTACCTGTATGCGGAAGACCTATCCAACAATGGCGATGGGATGCTGAGCCAGGCGACGCTTGCCTTGCGGCATCGTTGCGGTATCGTTCTATCTTGTTCAAGTTCATACTGCAGCATATCCTGTAGTAGCATGTCCGAGATGGTGTGCGCACTCAGCGAGGCCATCAGCTTCAGTGTGCCGCCTTCGAATTGGCTGGACCAAGTTCTAGAGCTGACAAGCACACCGACAGCCGGGAGCTGAAATTTCGAAGACTCCCTGAACACACGGTGACAGGGAGAGGTACAGAGAATGTCGCGTTGTTGTGAAGTTATTCTGGAGTCGCTCGCAACTCGAGACCGACGGTGTCTCCTTCTCCTTTGCGGGTGGAGTGGCGGTTGGCAGGGCCTGGGCCGGGCGCTCAGATGTGAGGCTGCGCGCTAGGTGTGTCTGAGGGCATGATGCAGGGCAGGGAGCGGCTGAGACATGTCATGTACACACTTATTATATTCAATATGCGAGTATCAGACTGCAATATATTGTAGCATTGTTTTGCCTAAGCCAAAGCTTGGCTGTTCAATGAAGCTCATCCGGCAGCTTTCTCACCCAAGGCTCAAGTAATGCTGACCAAAGACGTGGCCCTCGCAACGGCAGCGGACATCAAGGCCCTTCCTTTGCCCTGTGCTCGCTCTTCCATGCTCATCCTGTGGGATTTCTCGCTGCGCCGGCCTTCGCAGAAACCTTCGCAGGCAGCAACCTACGCCATGGGCACAGGCAGCTGCCGGCAGGACGACGTGAACGTCGGCGCAGGGAGCCTTAGCTTTCCGAGCATCATCGGGGCCCTACAATCGTCCTCGAAGACGTCCGAGAAGAGAACATGCTATAACAGTACGCACATCCCTTTCAAGCACATCCTAAGTCAAGTAAGTCACGCGAAGTCCATGAAAATGAGTCAAAGTGCATCCCAGATGAGCGCGCTCTACTGGACGCTGACAGGGTGCAGCCTTGGCCCCAAGAAAACTTGAGAGTGGCTTTGGAGGGAAAGGCGCAGCTTGGTGGCTTTTCCAGGTCTTGCAGGATCTAGGGCGGATGCTGAAAGTTTGGGAGATCTTCTTGGGGACGAGGGCGGGGCGTGAGGCCTGATGCCGCTGGTCGACTACAGTGTTGTGCTGTACGTCGAGGCATCCCGGCATGAGGAAGCGGAGTGTGCGGGGAGGTGGTGGTTAAGCTTTGGTCGCCTGATAGGTAGTTTCCTTAAGTGAGCCCCAAATGTTGAACGTTTCGGAGGCGAGGAGGGTCCTGGTGTGTACTCCGTGCTGTTTTCCTTCTCAAAACCGCTTCGGAGTTCGGAGCCTCCGCTCCATTTGCTAAGGACATGGGAGGCTTGGACGACGGCCAGGTGTCCAGTGTGCAGATGGTCCGGCTCCTTCTCGCTTTTGCTGCACTTGGAGGTTAGATGTTGAAGGGGATCTTCCGACATAAGAGTCACCATCAAATGTTTCGTGCTGTATGATACGAATGTCAATAGGAATCTTGATACCGTTCAAAATTTTGAAATTGATTGATTCACTCATTCATTCTACCTGTGTACAAGTAGGGTGTATGTAAGAAGGGGGGAGAGCCCATCCACTTCCCCACTTCCACACTTCCCCACTTCAGCAGCTCTTTGGCCCAGATGGTGGCCTCCAGCGTCAGCAATTACTTCGTGGAGAACCCGCGCCTTGCTCTCCAACTTGGAGCAAGAAAGCAGAGAGACGAGAATTCCCGGAGTTAGGAGAGAGGCCCTCCAATTGTGGGCCCCTTATTTCGAAGAGCTATGGCTCTTGAGAGCGGACCTCAACATGTGAGAGCCCCTATTAAGTGAAGGAGCAATCTCCCATGCCCAGGGCTCCTCTTGGCAACGTCACTTCGGATGGGGCCAGCTGCCCAGCGAGTGCCCAGTGAGGGCTTATATAGGGTTTTTAAGGCATGTTGAGGGATGTTGGGGGTTGTGGAGGTAGTAGAGTTTGTTTTAGTACTGTTTAAGGGATGGTGGCCCATATAAGGGCCTGTAAGTAAGGGGGTGTCGCTTTCCCGAGATGATCCTGACCTTCAACGCCTACGCCTCCAGCGGAATGGCCTGGGGCTTCGTGCTCGAGGCTTGTGCGAGCAGTGGCAAAAACCAGCGTTTTGAAGAGCTGCCCACCCTGCAACAATCATAACCCTTCTTACTGTATGTAAACCTCGTATAAGACTGAAATTAAACCAAGAACGAAGGAAGAGCACGAAATTGGTGGAATGAGCCCAAGCTCTTGGATGCTTGGGAGTGTGAAGGTGGGCTCCGCGAATGTGGCCTCCAGCAAGGAGGCGCGAACCTGTGGACTTTTTTTTCTTAGGGACCCTTGCAGGGCCCATTGTGTCGATGCCTCCCCCTCCCCGCGTGGCTTCTCGCATATATCTCTCTCTTCCAGGCCAAGCTTGCTCAGAACTCTGTCGGCGGAGCAGGCCAGAGCCCCACGAAGTGCACGGACAGGTTGCAAGCGCGCATCGAATTCCAGCGATGGAGAGGCTGCAAGCCGTCCGAAGTCCCGATCGACAACTCCAGGCATTTGGCGAGATGCGGGTGATGCGAGTGATGTGTGTGATGTGATGCGAGAGTCTCGCGCTTGAGTTTCCCATCTGCGATTTTTCGGACCCTGAGGCAGAGCATGCTCTTCACGGACTGCGACCTGGTGCCAGGTGACGGGACCTATGCAAACCCACAACTGGGCCCCGAAATACTCTCATGTTCAACCCGGCTTTTTCGCCCTCCGATTCTTTGTGGCTTCCGAAAAACTTTCTTTATCAGTGTCTGGGCCTGCTGGGGCCAGGACAAACCTACCGCGCAGTGGTCTATGTCGAGGCTTTGGTGACCACCACGGCGGTCAGGACCTCAGAGCACCAGCAAAGACCCGTAAGGTCCTGGAGCATAATTACGTGTAATGGAGCGTAATGGAGGGTAGTGGAGCATGCTCGCATATGCTTGCCACTCTCCTCTCTCGAATCTGAGGGCGTGTGGCAGGGCGTGGACATCTCTGCCCCGTTGCTGGCGCCCATAGAGGCTCGACGCGGGCACCCTTTGGCTTCTTTTTGGATGCTTAGAGGGGGTGGTTGGCGGTTTAGACTACATGTACAATAAGCTTAGATGGCTGTATATATCGAAATAAGTTTCGGGAATAAGATTTACCCGTTCTTCAGGAACAGGGGCTTAGGCAACAGGAGCCTGAAAGAGAGCCCAGGAATCCTAAACAGGAAATCCTATTCCCGAAATCCTTTCGCTGAGCCCTCAAAGTAGGATCCTACTTTGGGGATGAGCGAAAAAGACTTCGGGAACACCATGTGCCTTCTAGGATTCCTGGGCTCTCCTCTTCAGGATTTAAGGACCCTCTGAAGGCTTAGGGAATAGGATTGGAGTACATCAAGGAAATAAGATTTTGGGGTCCCGCTTTTTGGGGTTTAGCGGTAAGATTTGGGGAATAAGGTTTCATCTAGGATGCGGGGCTTGCCTAGGGGCTCTCCTTCTTAGGATGTGACGATTTAGTGTCTTTAAGATATTACTGCTCTCCTCCTTAGGATCTAAGGATGTCCGTCTTTAGGGCTTAGGGCATAGGTCCTAGGGAATAATGTTAAGGAATAAGGCTTAGGCACTTAGGGAACAAGATTTTGGGATCCCAAGATGTTGCTCCCCAAATCTTATTCCGTTTATCCTATAAGCCATGAGGCGGGTGGTCCTTAGGAGAGCCAATCCTCAAAAGCGAGCCCAGTTGCCTAAAGCCTTCTTCGCTAACTCCTAAAGAGCAGGATCCCCAAATCGCCTTCCCTCAATGCCTGTAACCATGGCAGAAAGGAACACCCTTATTTTCCGACTCCGGGCTCTGAATCCTTTTCCTTAAATCTTCGCTTGCTCCCCAAATCCTCTTCCTAAATCCTATGCACGTCTAGGATTCAGCGAATCGGAGTTCAGCCCCATGAGGGTTACTAAAACTCCTCTTTTTCGGGACTCCTCATGCATATCTCCAGATTCATATCGCCAAACCATGGAAGCATATAGATGTTTGTTTTAGGTGGGGGTGGGGGGGGGGGAGGTGAGCATAAATAAATAAATAGAAAAATACATAAATACAAAAGTATGTATGTATATATTTATATATATATATATATATGTGTATGCACACATGCCCTGAACACCCCTAAACCCTCTAAACGCGTACCCACTAATGCCCAGTGCATGCCCCAAGTTTTCCGATCGGGAGCCAACGTGATCTCTGGCAAAGGACCCTTTGGCACGGCAGCACCAGGATCTGCAGGACGGGACTTGCGGTTTAGGGTTTAGGTTGGTTGTACCATGGTTTAGGGGATGTTTGGGGTGGAGGGTAGGGTTAATGTGGGTTCAAAGGTTTCGTGCCTTAGGGAAGTCGGGAAGTTTAGGGTTCAAGCATGGTCTTACCCCCCTTGGGTGATTGTTGTGTGTCCCAGGTGCAATCTGGCCAAGACTACGTCTACCACGTGAGGGCGGTGAACTTCATCGGCGTGGGGCCGGGCTCTCTATGGGGCCCATCGGTGTTATATACATATGTATATGTGTCTCGCACTCTCTCTCTCTCTCTCTGCCCTGGTGTGCGTAGTGCGGCTTCCAGCCTCTCCTGAAAGCCGCTTCAAGTGGCAGATGTCACGCCAGTATGTTCGTCAACGCATTCGGCACTGATCATGGCATCCGACACTCCCAAGAGGAGCACATGGCCTACAAGCCTGCTGATCAGTTTTCTTTGAACCCTGACGTGCAAGCCGCAGTGGCTGGTAAACTATGAACCCAAGCCTGCGTGAGGGGTGGGGCGAGGGGTGTGTGTGTGTGTGTGTGTGTGTGTGTGTGTGTGTAAACCCTGATTCTAAGCTAAGGGGCTTGGAGCTGAGAGCTTATGCATGAGTCGAATTTTCCCGCAGGGGGATTGGGCCTGATGCTTCTACCCAATCCAACGAAGCTATGAAGCATCAGGGGATGTGGAGTTTGGCCAGCTCCATGTACCTGCAATGTTTTCCAGGAGTCCCGATGGGATTCCCCTATACTGAGGTCTCTCCTGTACTGAGGTCTCTCCAGTCATCTCCAGTCAGTGTACCATTGTACAACAATCTCTGGCTGACCTCCCTCTCTCCGTGTGTGGGCTTCGTCGCCCAAGGGCAATTTACCCGTTTGGGCATTGCCTGATTCCTGGATGGGGATCACCCAAGTAAACAGAGAGGCTTCAGTGCCAGATGAGCCTTGGTAGGCACCCAGTGCTATGAGCGGATTCTCTCTCTCTCTCGAGGTACCAGCCACGGCTGAAGCTCAAAGTCGCCAATAAGGGCGGAACCGGAAATTGTTGAAGGGCGTCGTAAGCCCAGTCGTGAGACATAGACGAGGTGGTCTAACTCTCTATTCGTGGGTCTCGACCCGAGTCGTATTTCCGGTGGTTGCCCCTCAGTTGCAAATAGACCGTTTTCTTTCTTTAAAAGTAGAGGTGCTCTGGGTCGCTGTGGACAGCGGGGGCCTCCTGGATGCTCCTGGGTCCTTTGTGGCAGCTGGGGGTCCTCCACGACGACGACGATGATGGGAGGTGCCTTGGGTCAAGGCGGTGGCAGCTGGGATCTCCCGGACGCTCCTGGGCCTGTCATGGCAGCTGGAGGTCTCTGACGACGATGATGACGACGACACTAAGGATTTCTAAGGTCGGTGCTGGAGGAGGAGGGCCTATGGCGGTGACGGGCCTATGGCGGAGGACTCACCGGTGACAAAGGTACAAGACCAGGACTTTCCCTCTTCGGAGGGTGTGCGTGCAGCATATCTCTTGTGGCCTTGGAATGCACTGTGTCTCCCCTCGTAGGAGGGGTGTGTGTGTGTAAACCCTGATTCTAAGCTAAGGGGCTTGGAGCTGAGAGCTTATGCATGAGTCGAATTTTCCCGCAGGGGGATTGGGCCTGATGCTTCTACCCAATCCAACGAAGCTATGAAGCATCAGGGGATGTGGAGTTTGGCCAGCTCCATGTACCTGCAATGTTTTCCAGGAGTCCCGATGGGATTCCCCTATACTGAGGTCTCTCCTGTACTGAGGTCTCTCCAGTCATCTCCAGTCAGTGTACCATTGTACAACAATCTCTGGCTGACCTCCCTCTCTCCGTGTGTGGGCTTCGTCGCCCAAGGGCAATTTACCCGTTTGGGCATTGCCTGATTCCTGGATGGGGATCACCCAAGTAAACAGAGAGGCTTCAGTGCCAGATGAGCCTTGGTAGGCACCCAGTGCTATGAGCGGATTCTCTCTCTCTCTCTCGAGGTACCAGCCACGGCTGAAGCTCAAAGTCGCCAATAAGGGCGGAACCGGAAATTGTTGAAGGGCGTCGTAAGCCCAGTCGTGAGACATAGACGAGGTGGTCTAACTCTCTATTCGTGGGTCTCGACCCGAGTCGTATTTCCGGTGGTTGCCCCTCAGTTGCAAATAGAACGTTTTCTTTCTTTAAAAGTAGAGGTGCTCTGGGTCGCTGTGGACAGCGGGGGCCTCCTGGATGCTCCTGGGTCCTTTGTGGCAGCTGGGGGTCCTCCACGACGACGACGATGATGGGAGGTGCCTTGGGTCAAGGCGGTGGCAGCTGGGATCTCCCGGACGCTCCTGGGCCTGTCATGGCAGCTGGAGGTCTCTGACGACGATGATGACGACGACACTAAGGATTTCTAAGGTCGGTGCTGGAGGAGGAGGGCCTATGGCGGTGACGGGCCTATGGCGGAGGACTCACCGGTGACAAAGGTACAAGACCAGGACTTTCCCTCTTCGGAGGGTGTGCGTGCAGCATATCTCTTGTGGCCTTGGAATGCACTGTGTCTCCCCTCGTAGGAGGGGTGTGTGTGTGTGTGTGTGTAAACCCTGATTCTAAGCTAAGGGGCTTGGAGCTGAGAGCTTATGCATGAGTCGAATTTTCCCGCAGGGGGATTGGGCCTGATGCTTCTACCCAATCCAACGAAGCTATGAAGCATCAGGGGATGTGGAGTTTGGCCAGCTCCATGTACCTGCAATGTTTTCCAGGAGTCCCGATGGGATTCCCCTATACTGAGGTCTCTCCTGTACTGAGGTCTCTCCAGTCATCTCCAGTCAGTGTACCATTGTACAACAATCTCTGGCTGACCTCCCTCTCTCCGTGTGTGGGTGTGTGGCCAATGTTTTCTGGACTTATTCATGTGTGGTGCACGCCGACATGAATCTCTGGCCGTCCTTCTGAGCCAACGGCAGATGACAGCGTCTTCTGCTGATTCTCTCGGTTAGGCAGCCGTCCCCCGCCTCTGTAGAGATCCGCGCCGGCAGCCGGGCAGCCCAGAGCAGAGCAATGAACAAGATTCCGTCTGTTACTACTGGCATCAGAGAGTCTCTTCTTAGAGAATACCAGATATTACTATAGGAGAGTACTGAGCTGCTCAGAGTACTAACAGAAGGGTGTTTGTCAGAGTGGGTGCTTCTGAAGCGGCTTCCAGACGCGCCGGCGGCCCCGGGATTGCCCATCATCGCGACGAGGGCGCTCACCTCTCTCACCGTGGAGCCCCGGGCTCAAGAGCTGAAGGAGACGACATACTTGACATGCTTGAAGTCATGCTATTCAGAAACAAGCCTCTTAGGCTTCCGAAGCCCAAGCGAAAGGCGCGGAAGGCTGGTAAGTGCGTCCTGGACTGAGGTGGGCTCCGCCTGCGGCCCTGGGGTCCCAGATTATGCACCCTGGCGGTGAGAGAGCGAGAGTGCTGTGATGGAGCGGTGCAGTGACTAGGGTGGGAGCGAGTGAGGGCGATGGGGTGACACTCAGAATGCAAAATGAATGCCCAGCTGAGGAGCTACCGCCTCTTCATGTCTGGTCCACTGGATGGCGGCGTCCGGTGCCATGTGAGAGAAGGGACAGAGAAAGAAAACTGCAGGTGCGGAGTGGTTTGAGCACCCCTCACCTTCCTCCCCCTCATATACACATTCCCCAAAATACCCCGAGGTCTACCAGGAAATCTACAATGGTCCTGACACTGCTTACACGAAGGCTGGCGCGCCTGCTCTTAGCTTATTTGCTCTTTCTTCCTTGACCTGTGGGCTCTTCGGCTCATTGATCTTACAGGCGATGCTGGACACGGGGACTGTCTACTTCTTCCGCGTCTCCGCCGTGAACCACAACGGCGCATCCCTCAGCCCGATCCTGCTCCCTTTCACTTCCCGACGTGTAGCAGCATACGAGGGTTGTTCGCTCAAGAACACTGATACGAGGCACCCTCAAAAGGGAGCTTAGGCACATTCTGACAACATCGTTCCCAGGTGAGGGTTGGCGAAGCGCCGTCAGGGAAGCGGCTGCCTGTGTGTTGCAGGGGCCCCAGGCTGTTTTGTGCACCCATGACACGGGCCCTGATATGCTGACATCAGCGCACCCCTTCAAGAGCAAGAGCGCTGAGGCCTTCGATGCCCAGCAACTTCACGGTAAAGTCACGGCCAAAGCCCCGGTGGCCCCAGTGTGAAAGTGTGAAGAGGGCTCCAGGGCCTCAGGGCCCAATAGGGCCCCCAGGACATCCCACCTGAGGCACACGCTGTGTCACGCTGTGTCATATCGGGCTGCAGGGCCCATGGCCAGTGACCGATGAGATCTTGCATTCTACAGCTACACAGTTACACCAGTTGTGAGTGCTAAAGACAGGGGTCCCTGTTCCTGCCGAGCCCGGACATGTTAGGAGCACGCTGGGCGTCACGGTGGAGTGGTCTCCGCCCATCGCGGATGGTGCCTCGATGAGTGTTTTTGTTCATCCTCGTGTCGGTTCATGCGTCGGTTTTGGGGGCAGCTGGCGGTTCGGGGGTGGGACCCGGCGGTCAGGCGGCTGCCCCATCCTCTCGTACGTTGTGACCCAGGCCCCACCGGCCTCTGCTTTTTGTTTGCAACAGTTTGGAAGTTGTCTAAATTAGGGTTTTTTGTGGGCCCTTTGCAGACTACGACACCCTTGTAATATCTTGCAATCCGGATCCCAAAACAGACCTTAGTCTAGGGAACTACCCTGTTTGCAACCGTTGCAATATGTTGCGCAGGACGGTGTGCTGGCCTCGACACAGACGCACCACGAGCAGGGAATCCTGGTCGGATTCACCACCTGAAAGGGGGGTGAGTTCCATAGTTCTATGTTCATCCGACACATTCTCCTTTTTTATCACGCTCAAGGACCAAGGCTGCTTAAGGTTTACCAGTGCGTTTCCTCCTCTGAGGTACTCCTTGGCCGTGGTGGTTCCAGCACAGGCCAGGCTCTGTTCCTGTCAAGTGCATGTTTGCTTCCAGCCGTCTGCCACACACACACACACTCGTCGGCTTTGCCACTGCGCATCGCCGCATGGGGCCAAAGTCATGCATTCCGCCGTGGTAGGGTTTGGACGGTGCAACTAGCTCGAGACATTGGCAAGCGTTTTGCAGTAGGGGCACCTTCCCGTCCATGTGTCAGACAGCCTGGTCTTGGTAATGCCACCGCTGCTTGGAAAGGACGGGTAGATTCTGCTGCATAGGAAGCTGGAGACATGTGCAAGCTTGTTGCACTTGGGTTCCTTACCGCCTGTGCTACAGTTCTTCTTGCGTTTCTGGCTTGATATGCGTGATGTGTTGTGCCTGGTGACCTTCCGTCCATGTGTCAGACAGCCTGGTCTTGGTAGTGCCACCGCTGCTTGCAAAGGACGGGTAGATTCTGATGCATAGGAAGCTGGAGACATGTGCAAGCCTGTTGCACAGTTCTCCTTGCGTTTCTGGTTTGCTATGGTTGATGTTGTTTGCTTGGTGAACCTTCCGTCCATGTGTCAGACAGCCTGGTCTTGGTAAATGCCAGCGCTGCTTGGAAAGGACGGGTAGATTCTGCTGCGTAGGAAGCTGGAGACATGTGCAAGCTTGTTGCGCTTGGGTTCCTTACCGCCTCTGCTACAGTTCTCCTTGCGTTTCTGGCTTGATATTTTTGATGTGTTGTGCCTGGTGAACCTTCCGTCGATGTGTCAGACAGCCTGGTCTTGGTAATGCCAGCGCTGCTTGGAAAGGACGGGTAGATTCTGCTGCGTAGGAAGCTGGAGACATGTGCAAGCTTGTTGCGCTTGGGTTCCTTACCGCCTCTGCTACAGTTCTCCTTGCGTTTCTGGCTTGCTATGGTTGATGTTGTTTGCCCGGTGAACCTTCCGTCCATGTGTCAGACAGCCTGGTCTTGGTAATGCCAGCGCTGCTTGGAAAGGACGGGTAGATTCTGCTGCGTAGGAAGCTGGAGACATGTGCAAGCCTGTTGCACTTGGGTTCCTTACCGCCTGTGCTACAGTTCTCCTTGCGTTTCTGGCTTGCTATGCTTGATGTTGTTTGCCCGGTGAACCTTCCGTCCATGTGTCAGACAGCCTGGTCTTGGTAATGCCAGCGCTGCTTGGAAAGGACGGGTAGATTCTGCTGCGTAGGAAGCTGGAGACATGTGCAAGCCTGTTGCACTTGGGTTCCTTACCGCCTCTGCTACAGTTCTCCTTGCGTTTCTGGCTTGCTATGCTTGATGTTGTTTGCCCGGTGAACCTTCCGTCCATGTGTCAGACAGCCTGGTCTTGGTAATGCCAGCGCTGCTTGGAAAGGACGGGTAGATTCTGCTGCGTAGGAAGCTGGAGACATGTGCAAGCCTGTTGCACTTGGGTTCCTTACCGCCTCTGCTACAGTTCTCCTTGCGTTTCTGGCTTGCTATGCTTGATGTTGTTTGCCTGGTGAACCTTCCGTCCATGTGTCAGACAGCCTGGTCTTGGTAGTGCCACCGCTGCTTGGAAAGGACGGGTAGATTCTGTTGCGTAGGAAGCTGGAGACATGTGCAAGCCTGTTGCACTTGGGTTCCTTACCGCCTCTGCCACAGTTCTTCTTGCGTTTCATTGTAACGACGCAGGAGGCATCGTTTAGGCTTGCTGCACTGGTTCCCCGTTAGCCTTCTTGTGGGTCATGTGTGGTAAGAGCTCCGTTTGTCTTGTGATGCAGACATACACATTCAGCGTGTGGGCGACCTCGCGCGTGGGCAGCTCAGTCTCTGCGCTCTCAGAAATTTTGGTTTCATGTGATCCCCTTCACGTGCATACAGCCGTCAGGTTACTCAAGCATGGAGAGTAAGTGCAATTCTTCCGTGTTTGAAGTCAAGAACCCAAAATGCCCCTTCACACACCCCTTCGGGTAACGCCCTCAATGTGCAAGCCTAAACCTTTTTCAGACTGGCAGGGCTTTGGTTTACTGTTTGCTGTGGCCCAAGGTTGGCAACTCCCCAAGCACTGCCACCTTGACCGTGGTCGCTGGGGAAGCCCCTGCGAAGGCGGGGCCACTTCCCATGGGCCGATAGACATCTAGTGGACTTTCGAGACTGGGGGCAGCGGCATGATCCCGTGGTTTTGTGTGAGGTCATCAACCTGGAGGTTGTCACCATGTCCGCTGCTGGCCTCAAGGATAACGGAGAGCGCTGCAAGTCGTCCTCCCGCGAATCGCCTCGCGGAATCTGAGGCCAGCGGCATCACGCTGACCTGGGACGGCGTCCCCAGCAACCTGAACGGAGGGGTGCTCCGCCAATGCTCTGGGCACTGGGTGCTGTGGTCGTGGGTGCGGTTGGATTGATGTGCTATGTCCAGGCTCAGGAACATTCCAAGTTCCGGCACACAACCCCCACAGAAAGCATCGCCGCTTTGACTTACAGGCCTCAATTCTGAGGCAACAGACTTTCTCTACAGAGCAGCTGCAGCAGCTGTAGCATTCCTAGCTATTCCTGCCATGCAGCTCCCCCAGCCACTCACCTTGTCAGCCCTATCAATGTGGAGGCAGTTCTGGGCTGCTGGGCACGTTGTCAAATCAGATGAGTGCCGTATATACTGATTGTAGGGGCGGCCAACTTTCTAACTGCCGACAAGGAGTGACGTCTCGCAGATTCGCTTAGAAGCTCGGGAAGGGGAAAGGGCTTAATTCGATGGTTGGACTCGGAGAGTATTCGGTCCGGCCTCTGGCTCTCCATGCTCGTCCCCCCTCCTCCCGGACAAGGAACTCGATGACATCAGCATGGCTTTCTCCTTTCTTTCTCTCTCTCTCTCCCTCTCTCTCTCTCTCTCTAACTCTCTCTCTCTCTCTCTCTCTCGCTCTCCTTCTCGCTTGCGCTCGCTCGCTCTCTCGCTCTCTCGCTCTCTCGCTCTCTCTCTTCTCTCTCTCTCTCTCAGTCTTCCCCTCTTTCCTCTCTCTCTCTCTCTCTCTCTCTCTCTCTCTCTCTCTCCCTCTCTCTCACTCTCACTCGCTCTCTCTCACTCTCTCTCTCTCTCTCTCTCTCTCTCGCTCACACGCTCACTCTTTTTCAAGCGTGCATGGTTGCTCTAAAGGGGAATGGTGGGAGTTCCAGGTCTTCACAATGGGATTCTGGTTCTAAGGCTGAAGCCCAAGCACCGCACCCGCAGTGAGCCAGGCGCTGCGCCGGCGTTCCGGCGCGCGCCCGAGGCCGGGCCTGGGCCCAGGCCTCGGGACAGGCCTCGGGCACGGCGCGCAGCAGGCGACCCCCCCCCCCCCCAGCCCCTTCCCTCTTTTTTCGGGGCGTTGAGAACCTGTGGGTTCAATTGAGGTCAGGGCTTGCGGAGACGTAAGCTTAACAGTTTGGGGTCATGGAAGTAGTACCTCAGCAGGCCTTAAGTTTCAAATCCACCTCCACATGGGGAGCTCCCGCAAAGGAGACCCCTGCTGGCGGCAGTTTTGGCCACGGCGACCTTTGCTGCGAAGTGGACGAGCGAGGCCGATTTCAGAGCGCGCTTTCAGGGGTTGGGCGAAAAATGATGCTGTTGGGGGTGTGCAGGGTGCACTCCCGGTTTGAGGCCTGGCTTGTTTCTGCCTTCCGTTCTATCTTGTTGTTGCGTGTCTCGGAGTGGGGTATCAGGGACTTTGCGAGCCGTGAAGATATCTTGTGGCGAGTGGAGCGCCGAGGGGTTGCATGTTCCACCTCCGTATACCGGCCTTAATCCTGAAACCATCGTGTGACCTACTTGGGGTTCAGCATCCGCAAAACGTCAATATGCTTGATAAATTTTAGGTCATGTCCTCCTCCTCCTCCTGCTCCTCCTCCTGCTCCTGCTCCTCCTCCTCCTCCTCCTCGCCCTCCTCCTCCTGCTCCTCCCCCCCCTCCTACTCCTACCAGCAAATCTCGCCCAAAGTCCGCTGCCGCAAACATTTCGCCGGGCAAGCTGTCGACATTGACGATGGAGTTTCACGACGGTGCAGGCAAAATCATAGTAAGAAGTCAAGAAGTTAAAAGGCAGAAAAAGCAAGTTCTGCTGCCTTTTGCTTTTGGAGGCCCGAGGGGGTCGCCCCAGCTGTTCGGCGTCGGCCTCGCCGCAGTTCTGCGCGGCAGTGGTGCCGCTGGCGACTCGGCACATGGAGCCCAAAGGACTTCCAGCCAAGAGGCCCACCGTGGTCCTCATCCACGGCCTCGATTCCTGGTCAGGCGGGCACGGTCTCCCTTATGAGAGATCCGTGTTTTGTTCACATGGTACTCGGGCAGAGTAGAGACTCTCAAGCTAGCGAGTGTACTGATTGCACCGGCGGTCCGAAAAGCACGGGGTCGCTTCCCGGAAACGATCGCGGCAGCGATCGCTCTGAAGACTCGTAGAAGCGGATTCTCAGGTGGAACTGGGTCTGGCCACAAAATACCCAGCTTTTTTCGCAGAACAGCACGATTTTTCTCACGGGATAGGTCGTCTCGATCGCTTTCTTACATTGCTTGAAAACACCCCTCGGAGCTCTGAAGGCACTTTCCAGGGTCTCATGGAGGAGCTTGCCCGGCGAGGGCTCAAGACCCTGGCCGTGGACCTTCGAGGCCAGGCCGTCCATGGCGGGGTGATAGACCTGAGAGACGGATCCCCCGAACTTAAAGCCCCTAAATAGCACGCAGACTCTTACAGCCCCAACAAACCCCTGTAAACCTCAGCCCCGAGCCGCCAGGCCATGGGGAGTCCCCTCTGGGTGACCCAGAGGACTTCTCGCCGCAACAGCTGGCGGCCGACGTGCGCTCGACGCTGAAGGCAGGTCTTGGCGCAGAGCGTGAGCAGTCGAAAGGTGGACGGCGCAAAGCAAAGAATCAGACAGACAAGCAGACACAGGCAGACTCTCTCCTCCTGCAAATAGCTCCCTACATGTCCGCCTTGTCTTGTGCATGATAATTATACTATGTGGTGAATCCTCCTCTTCCGTGGATGTGGTGGCAGTTCACACGAAAAGAAAGAAGCACTCGTAGTGATCAAACGAAGCACCGTCCCCAGAGCAACTTGAGCCCATCTTGTGGAGACGCATGCTGTGCTGTCAAAGGCAAAAGTTTCGACGCACCATTCACTGCCGTTGTGCCTTAAAGCGTTGTCCTGTCACAAATAGGAACTCCAACCTGGAATCTTGTGCGGCCTGAAGGGTTAGGTCCTTTCGATTATTGTTGTCAAAAAGCTAGAACCAACCTTTGCTTGCACAAGTTTTGGACCGTTCCTTGGCTTCGTTTTTGGTGCCAAACGCCCCTTCTCTGAAGAGTGAAACCCGAAGGCAGCGGGCCTGCTGGAGTCACCAGTGGCGCTGGTCGGGCACAGCATGGGCGGGCGGATTGCGATGCAGTGTCTCAGCGTCCAGAGTCGAGAGGGGACTCGCGTTGGGCTTTCAGCTTTGTTTCAGCGTTGATTCGGAGCGGACATCCGCTGGCTTAGGATGGTTTATAGGGCTTAGGGGCTTGACATTGGTTTTCGACCTTCGAAGGTATGCTGCCGACTACCCGGAAGACTTGTCAGTACTGGTGATCGAAGACATGGCGGCCCGGAGAGCAAGTGTTGCGGAAGAGAGGGTGCCAGGGACCTTGGCCATTTGGTGGAGCCTAGGACTGCGTCCCTCGCGACTACCCCAAGCTGGAAGGCGAGGATCTGAAGAAGCGCGAGGCCTTCACTCGCGACTTCCCATCCTGGGCGGCCCAGCGGCACTGCAGCAGCGCCCAAGGATTGGTTAAAGGAACCCCGTGAAAGCAGCCAAAGGAAGCCATCATAGGCCGGCCCCTATACAAGAATCCCCGGCCGTTCAGTGTGTGTGGAGCTTCCAAGGAGCTGGCCAAGAAGCAGCTGGTGACTTTCGGCGCCTGGTTGCACGGCGTGCCCCCCGTCCTCTTCCCCCCCTCAAGCCATGAAGAAACATTCTACAAGCACCGTGCCAGAAAGGATACGATGCTGACCGTGTGGATGGCTGGTGGACCAGTGCCACGCCTCGGGTCTATCCTCGTCCACCAGGCGTCGGGAGCTAAGCCTCGAGCTTCGGGGTCAGCAAGATTCCAAACTCATCATCTCCTCTTCTCGCTTGTTGAGCTGTTGAGCCAGTCTTGCGTTCGCTCTGAGAGCATCAGGTTTGGAGCTGCATCAATCCCTATGCTCAGCTGCTGCCCCAGTCCTGCAGGGGTGACCTTGTGTTAGAGCAGAGCACTGATGCACGTCTTTTTTGCCTGCCTCGGGTTAGGTATCTCGCAAAGCGGACCGTCCTCAACTCCACGCAAGGTCCGAGACCTTATGCCATATGCCATTCCATGAGGTTTCGCGCTGTCGACGAGGTTTTTCCACAGGCATCGCGTGGTACCTAAGGTTACGAGTGCATTCAGAAAATCGCGGGGCTGAAGATGTCTGGGCTGGCGAAGTTCCCGGTCCATGTGTGCGTGGCAGGTGGGGTTGCAAGCGGACAGGTCTTCGGTCTTGTATGAATGTGAACGCTATGCTGTCTTGTGCCTTGCGGTGCTGCATTTTTCCATTCCATCCTTCTTATCCCAATGACATCACAGCATGTCATTGTATATATCCTGCTGCACTAGACTTTGCTATTCGAAGTGTTTGTCCCATTAGCACTGCTACGTACATATATGTATATATGCTGCATGCAGCCTTGGCTCGTGGCCACCAGCGAGAGGTCCATCTGGAACAGTGTGCTCTTGGGACAAAGCGCCTGGTGGCTTACACGAAGCTTGGTTTGCAGAAAAGCCAAAGGTTGCCGGGGGAGTTCGCCCTGTACCCCAAGCTACTCAGAGTCGGCCTAAGGACATGGCCTCTGTCCATCCGGGTCTCCGGCTCCACACATTTCCGACCGCCGACCACTCCATCCACAACACGGAGACTCGGCCAAGTCCTGCTGCAACCGATTTTTCTTACTCCAAGGCAGCCTGCTGAGAAAGTTCCCCAGTCGCCGAGGCGCTGAAGAGCTTTGCAGACCTCGTGGAGAAGCCTGACGAGTTTGCTGAAGTTGATTGATTCAAAAAGGGGCCGCAGGGGCTTGCCCTCCTGTGCTCCCAGTCGCACTTGGATTGAAGCTAACCGGCCCTGATTGATTAATGAAGTCCCGATTGAATGGCCGTGGCACCGACGAGACATGCTGCGACAACCACCACAATGACGATGACGGCGGCTGAAGTTGCTTTTGCTGCTATTCCTGCGACAACGACGACTGCGACTGCTACCACTACGACTATTACTGCGACCAGTACTACGACGACTACTACTACTACTACTACTACTACTACTACTACAACAACAACAACTACTACTACTACTACTACTACTACTACTACTACTACTACTACTACTACTACTACTACTACTACTACTACTACTACTACTACTACTACTACTAAGACTGCAATATAGCCGCCACCACCACGACGACGAAGACGACTACTACTACTCCTACTGCTGCTGCTGCTGCTGCTGCTACTGCTACTGCTGCTACATCTGCTGCTACTACTGTGTGACTGATCCCATTGCTACTACCGCGTCTACTTTACTGTGACTGCTCGACTGCTGCTGCTCCCACTACTCCAACCTCCTCTCGTGACTACAAGTGCCAGCATGCACCAGCACTGCCATTGGATTCGGAAGGCCCAGTGGGACCCCCTCGCAGGTGCCTGTCACCGGATACCGGGTCTATGTTGGTGGTGTGGATCAGCCCTACACGCTGCTTGGACTTAGGTTGAGTGGTCGTGCTCGGATGTTGAAAGGGTTGGGGGGAGCTTCAGGCTTCGGTGCTCCGCCCTTCGCATTGGGGTTTTGAGGGAGTGGTCTCCGGCTCAAGCAGGCCGAGGCGGGACCATAGCCGGACATGCTTTAGGCCGCTTTCGCTGAGCGAAAGGGCTATAGTGGAATAGAGGAAAGAAATGACGCCACCATGAGCGGTCGGTCTCGGGTCTCATGCACCTGGCGAAGCCTTTGCGCGTTGCGTTGATCGGAGACAGCTGGGTCACAGACCTTTACCAGCGAAGCGACGGGAAACGGGTCCGCAAGTCGCACACAGCCTGGGCCATGAAGGCAAGTTTGGAGCAGCGGCTGCGGGAGGTGGAGTTTGTTTTTGCAGGCTTCCCAGGTACGCGGACGAAGGCGCTTCAGGCTTTGTGCTCCTTGTGTTGTGTGAGGGACGTGGCCAGGCTGGCGAAGCTGGGCTATTCTTGGAAGTACGACCCATGGACGGCTCTCGAGGAGCAGCGAATCCGGCCGCTCTCTGAAGAGAACAAGGGGGAAGAGCTGGATGTCGCGGTCATCTGTTTGGGGAGCAATGACCTCTACGACCAAGCATCCTCAGAGATCCTGAGCCAGTTGAAACGCCTCCACCAACACTTGGAGTTTCGAGGTGTGGAGGTGTGTCAGTGCTCTGTTTACCTGCATGAGAGCGAAAGACAAGCGTGGCCCGATGCCGACCAGACTTGCCAGCAGGTGAACATGTCTCTGCTCAAAGACAGCAGCGTCAACCTTGTCAGCCTTGACGCCTTCTTGCAAAGCTTGAGGCCTTGCCACTGGCGTGCCCCGGCTGCAACTTCGAAACAAGCTTCATGTCACTTCTGTCAGGCATTCCCCGGTTTTCTTGGCGCCAGGTGACGAGCACCACCTGGCAGACAGCGGTTACAAGCTCCTGGGCCAGGAGCTCGCCAGGGCTGTGGAGGACGCTCCTCTCACCTAAACCGCTTTCATCTGCTTGCCACTCCTTTTTTTAAAGCCCTATAAGAGACCTGGCCATGTGCATGGTGAATCCAGTCAGGAGCGCTTCTGTTCTTTGCCGGAGTTCGTTCTCCAAAGGTGTCCCTTTCAGCTCCACGTCGACGAGGCCGGTGAGTCCGGTGAGTGCGGTGGGCGGAGCTTCGTGGGACAGCTGGTCGCAGGGACCTACGTCAAGCAATGGCATGAGCACCACTGCAAGCCCATTTACTTGAAAAAGGTCAGCCAACCTCAAGTCGAGGTCTGCCTCTTCTTCTGGGACGATCGCAATGGCATCTCGTGGCGTGGCTGGTGGCTTGGGCCACTGGGCCGCCTACGCGAGGAATCTCCGAAGTCCTCGGAGTGCATGGAGCACCCAGGCTGGGCCCACTGTGCTGGCGACGCTGCCGAGCCGCCCAGCGGCGGCTGGGTTGAGGTGCGCTCTGGCCGACCCAGCCGCCTCCGCATCTCCGTCGACCCACCGTGCCAGGCAGACCAGAAACCGGAGAAAGGCTCAGCAGGCTCCGCAGGCGGCTCCGCCGCGGGCTCCGCGGTCGCCTCGTTTGCCTCTCCGATTCTCGAGAGGCCTTGGAGGGGGTCGCCAATGAAGCGGACCCGGCACGAGTGGCACTGACGCCGCAAAACAGGGCAATTTGGCCTCCACCTTTAGGCATCTTAGGCACTATAAGCACGATGCGCAGCTAATTTTGTGACATTGTGACATGCTTCAAGTAACTAGTGCAGTAGTATAATATAATAGAGTATAATATAATCGAATATAATATAGTATGTGTGTATATATGCAGATGTAGAGCATTTTGAACACTTCAGGCGAGATACTTGGGCATGCAATGGAGACATGTGATGACACTCGTGCAGACAAGTCGCTGACGGGGGGCATAGTGGGGGGAACATGGGGGAACCATCGGTCTGTGAATTCGCTTTCGCTCATTGAGTCGATTCGAGGGCCTGGGGCGAGACCAACAGCTTGACCACGACGGCCTTTGTTGACAGACTGGCCGTGGGAGGCGAGCCGCCAGAGCCTGTGTGCTAAGTTGGGGCAATGCCGCTGCTATGTGCCGCTGCAATAGGTTATGTCCTCAACCCCCTTCAAAAGCTGCGATGCACAAACGCGCATGGTTGCAGCCCATCGTGGCTTATGACAGGCCTCAATACGGGGCTTTCGGTATCATACAGCATGTATACATCGAATGTATTCAGCATTCAGCCGTTGCCATCAATACCAACACTGTACTCTTCAGGCACATTCAGCCACGCTTAGCCATGCTTAGCCATGCTCAGCCGCCCACCCTCACAGCCACCACACCCAAGTGCGCGTGCCGGCTGCATAAATTCTCATCGGAGCTGTTACCTCCTGTTTTCCAGTTGGCCTCCGAGCGCCATGCTGCGGCTAATGGGCCTCGTTGTGTGGATGAGCAAGGCAGGTGCAAACGCGAAGCGACCAGTGCCGTGTTGCCTCGGTTTCCCCCAGAAGGCCGAGATGAGCTCCTGGGACTACACGCGCCAGGCGCCACCCCCTGGTCACTAGTGCGTGTTCCGGCCTTCCGGTAAATTTCCGGTCATCTCTCAAGTTTCTGTCACCTTTGGTGCTTGCAGGACAGCTCCTGGGGGCGCCTCTGCGTCGGCCACTTTCAGAGCCCGATCGACATCGAGCCCAAGCACGCGGTGCAGGGTGCCTTGGAATTTCAGGGCGAATTTCAGGGCGAAGGGTTTAGGGGCTTAGAATCTCAGGGTCTTTCAGGGGAGGGGCCTGGGATTTTGATGGGTTTGTGAGGGCATTGAGCATGCAGTGACCTTTGGACCGTCCGCGAAATTTCCAAGGTGACTTCGAGATCCGCATGCTGTATCGCCCCTTGCGGCTACAGGACAGCTTTGTACTCGCCTTGACCGTTGTGAGCTCATTGCCTCAAGCTTGTTATTGGCAGAAGCGTTGAATCCTTCCTGCCCGACCCAAACTCAGAAAGGAAGGTCCCCAAACACTTCCAAACACTTCCTTGAACAGCCCAGCAAAAAGCCAAGTCCAACAAAAAGCCTTCGCGCTGTCCTTCGTTCTGAGAAATCTTTCGGGACGCGAAGGACGTGGAGTCGGCGGGTGTGGACCCGGATGGCGTGCCGCGCATTCGGTTCAAGCAAGGGCACCCTGTGGGGAAGGCGCCAAAGCCCGCTGCAAGGATTCGTGGGGGGGGGGGGGAATTAAGTAATCCTCAGCTTAGACATGCTTAGATGAGCCGAGAACAGCCGATGATCACCTCCGTGGAGTCTGTGCAGAGGTGCAGATCGGCAGCGGCTACGGCGACTTCGACGAGTACAGCCTCTCGGCGATCGAGGTGCCCTGTCAGTTCTTGCCTTGCGGAGACTCTGGAGAGCGTGGGAGACACTTGTTTCGTGTAGGTCCACGCCCCCAGCGAGCACACGCTGCGCGAGGCCAGCTGGGCCCTGGAGGTGCAGCTCTGGCATGCCGGAACCCCGACATTTCGTGGAAATTCCGTGGAATTTCCCGTTCTCTGTGCTGCCGTTCCCAAACAGGGTGCCCTCCTAGCAGATTGGTCTGTGGCGCCCAGGATCCCATGCCGGTGAGCCGCACGGACAAGCTCCAGCAGCACACACAGGAGCTGCTGGAGGCGGGCCCCCCCCATGGCGCCCCCCCCCCCCCCCCCCCACACTTGGCTACACGGGGGTGCCTTCTGCGGGGTCCACGAGATGAACTCTGCACCTTCCGCTGTTTGTGGGAGGAATTGCAGGACTCCGACAACCGCTTCGCCGCCCTGGAGCGGTCCCAGGTACCCCAGAATGCTGAAATTCTGAAACCCACCATAATTGCCGCATCCGCTGGAGCTTCCCCCACTGGAATTGGAGGCCACGCTCCGGAAGCAGCTCAATGGCGAGGCCACCCCGTGGACCGGCAAAGCCAACGAGGGCCAGGACCTTAGAGGAGTAGCCGGTTAGATTCAACTATAGATAAACTGATATCAAATCATCGCCAAGTCAGGCTTGCTTGTAGACTCCTGGTGCCCCGTGGTGAGTCCCCCCTAGACCTACAGGCTCTTGTCGGTACTGGTCACTGCGCGGCTAAGGTGCCGGGGTGCAACAGGCCGAGGACTGGGTCGATGCGGCCAAGGCCGACATCTCCGAAGTTACAGCCCTACGATGTCGGGAACCACTCTTCTGATATGCTCTTCTGTTTCTAAGAGCAGGGCTCATTCCCCAAGTAGCAAGCAGCCTTGACCCGTGTCATCCCAGCAGATAAGGTCAGCAAGCTTCTCCAGCAGGACATGAAGGTGGGGATCCTGTTAGGACCGTCGGGCAGCGGCCTGGTCGGTCTCCGCATGTCTCCGTTCTTTGCGCTCTCCAGGGTGTCACCCAACGTGCCATGAAACTCCAGGAGGAGGCGGCCGGGGGATGTGGACAACGTCGAGAGTTCGCTTGTCCCACTGTGAGCTGCGTAGGTCAAGGGCCTCGTCACAGCGCAGAAGCGCCGCTTTGCGGGCTTCCGAGTGGTACGGTCCCCAGATCTCCCCGATGGCAGAAGACAACGCCACGGGCAACACTTACCCGATGCCTCCCACGGTAGGAGCGGCATCGAGTGCACGGTACTTCAGCTGTATAGGCCGTAAGGCAAGTCATGCCCCCAACGCCACTGCGCGACGACGCCACAATGCCCCGGGGCAACGCACTTCCAGCAGGGGGAAGGGCCGCGCAAACGAGAGGAGTCTGGGTCGGGGTGGAAGAAGATCGCAACATCGCATCTCTCTCTCTCTCTCTCTCTCTCTCTCGCTGTGGTTGTTAATTGGTGCCAGGCCCTGTCCTTGTTCATCCTCCGGGCATCACCGGTCTTCCTGGGTGAGATGAATGGCACGGCCACCTCGTTGGTGAGGCCAGGGGGTATGCCAGTGCCCGAAGGGAGAGGGGAAGGGCGAGAAGGGGGAGCAGATGGAAAGAAGGAGTTGGCAGAGGAGCGCACGTCCACCGTGCAGGTGGCTCTCGCAGGCCCTTGCCGCCAACAAGGACACGGATGAAGAGCCCGGGTGGCCTGCTTGTGTGATTCAAGGGACTTTTGCGTCATCTAGATATCGGTGTGTACAAATAATGTCGACAATTCGAGGTTCTGTAAATTAGTAAAATTTCGTACCTCACTCTGCAAAATGCCGAATTGGGACGCGGGGTGCGCGCCTCTGTTTGCGGGGGAGGACTCGGACTCTGCCGCCTTGGAGCTCGAGGCCGTCATCGGCAGCGGCAAGGACCTCTACAGCCTCCCGGCAGAATTGCAATGAGGGAGAGAGCGAGAGACAGCACCCCTCTTCTTCCCCCAAATTTTATTTGTGATAGTAACTCCGTACAGTGACCCCGTTTGAAGGGGGGCGTCACGTTCTCTCTGCTCCCCCGTCGCTTTTTCCCCCTCCTCTTCTCCTGGTGCCGCTGTAAGCTGAACTCTCTCCGAGGCTACGAAGGCAGTGTGCCTCGGCCCCCGTGCACGCCCAACGTGCGCTGGTTTGTGCTAGGCCCGGAGGGTGTGCTGTAGCAGGAGCACATAACAAGTCAGTGTGTTAAGTAAATCTGCAATGGTTTGCTCAATCGTATCTCCAATTTCACCTGGAGGAGACCCGCAGCCTTCTGACATCGAGCAGTTCCAGCCTTATTAGAGCTTGCGACTGGCCGCTTTGACCCGCAAACCCTTCTCTGGTAGCTGCGCTCGCTCGAAGATTTTCGAAGGCTCTCGATCCTGCTCAAGGAGACGCAGCTCGCAGGTCTTCCGAGCGCTTGATGGTGCTACCGAGTGCAACTTCTCCGAAGTGTTGTTTGGCCCCGGCCAGGACGCGTGCACGGCAACGCGCGGCAGGTGCCATCCCTATGTTAAGTCGCCGGGGGAGGGGGCGGGTGGTTTTCATGGCCCTTTCTTTGAAAGGTGCAGCCTTTCGGCCCGTCCAGGAGGCAAGAAACATCTGCAGCAGCGGAATACTCGGGGGCCAAAAGTTGCGACGGATTTGGGACGCCGGGTTCGTGAGGCTGCAAGTCGTGCAGACCAACTGGAAGGTGCGTTCTGAGCTGCATAGAGGGAGGCATATCACTAGCATCTTGACAAGATACCAATACTCGTAGTAGTATAGTTACAATACCATTATCCGTGGCAGTAATTTTAACACATCCTTGGCCTTGGGAAAATTTGGGGCCCCAATGTGATGCCAGGTCTTCGAAGCGCCTGTGATAGTCGCGGCGGAGTCGATGTCTCCGGGAAGGTGGGGTCTCCTTATCTCCTTATAAGGGGCCAAGGCCTAATGCAGGACGTTGCCATCGAAGCGCAAAAAAGGATCAAAAAGGGGCTTAGAGTCGCGCACATTTGCAGAAAAGGGTTCTCAGGAGTCCTGCAGGACATGTGCATGCGTTTGTCGCGGCTTGTTTGCGTTCGTCGTGTTTTCGAGTTCGAATGTTGGAATGCACAGTAGCACAGCTTGTGCCAGGCAAAAGATGATCCTTATCGAGAGATACTGCAAGGCACACCCGGAAAATTGTGATCCTTCCGTTTCCCTCACACCAATGCGGGCGAAGATTCCAAGTCGGCTTCTTCCTTGAGAGTTCCGGAAATGGGGAGCCGGAGAGGGGTCCACTCCGTGACTTGGAGGACTCGGATGGAGTTTTTTTCAATAGGAGGTTCAAGGCAGGAGCTCCGCTACGAGTATCTTGAGGCGAGGGATGCAGCCACAATTTCCCTCCCATTCCATGGGGTGCAACCCCAAATGCGACGCATGAGGAGGGTTTCTGCCAGCTTCTGCGAGAGCAGCAGCCTTTCTTTCAGTGTTTCGTCGCCAGGTCTTTGTCCTGTGCTCCGTCTTTCTGATCTGCACGCCGCACCTCGGTGTAGATGTCTGCCGCACATTGTGGGGCACCCCGCAGAAGGGTGCGGGCCATGAGGGCCATGAGGGCAGTAGAGCCTCCGCATCATAGGCTCTTCTTCCGCATCTACAACAGCTGCCAAGAGGACGACGAGGACTGTCCCATGGATCCCGAATCGCATCGTGGGTGGAGCTCCTCCAAAGGTCAAAGTTTTGAAAAGAGCTGTCCCAGTCTGGCAGGCGTGTTCCTTAAAAGGCCCCTCGGTTCCATCACGAGTTCCACGAAGGACACGGGCTGGGATGCCTCGCCCATGTCGCCCACGTCGCCCATGGTTCGGCCACCGAGTCTCGAAGGGGCCGGCGACCCGGCGATTTTTTTGAGGAGCTCGAGCTCTCACACAGGGGAGCTTAATTATGTTGCTCGTAGATTCTAGAGAAGGATTCCCTGTTCTGTCCAGCAATTGAGGCTGATGGCAGGAGGCGTGGGGCCTTTGGTTTCTCAAGTCTCAGTCTATGTAAACCTCACACGTAAGTTGCGCCTGGCAGGGTGGAAATGGTCTTCACGGAGTTCTCAAAGCACACCTGAGAGCCCCGCCATGCAGCGGTGCGCCACCGCAGAGCCCCAATTTGTGAAGGCTCTGACAAAAAGGCGCACTTTGGAGTGGAAGAGAGCAGTGTTCCGTCGGTATGCTGATTTTGCAGATAGTAGTCCAAATACTTGGCTGCACCTGTGCGCCATTGTACGCCATTGTACGCCATTGTGCGCCATTGTGCGCCGTTGTGCGCCATGGTGCGCCATGGTGCGCCATTGTGCGCCTCCGGCGCCTCCAAGCCTCACTGAGCGCCCGGAAGAAGTCTCCACGGCTGGCAGAGCCCCCCCCCCCGGCTTCACGAGCAAAGCTCGCTGGCCGATCGCTTCTAAGCGGCGCGCTTGAAAAGCCAGCCTGTGTCCCCCGGGACTGTCCCCCCTTCGTCGGGTTCTGAAGCCATGAGAAGATCGTGAAATGGTGAATCGTGAAGGCACCTACTGCTTCAAAGTCGCCGCTCTGAACTTCGTCACGGAGACGAATGCCCTGGAGGACCAGCAGCGACTCCGACTGCAATAGCAGTGCTTCAAAGCACTCCTGGGAGCACTGAGCAACCGCTCGTAGAGTGAAAGCACAAAGAGGAGTAGGGCACCCTTCAAACGAGCCCCTTTTGAAGAAAAGACCTGAAAGGCGTTGCACCTTCGAACGATGAGCCTCCGAGAGATCCCTCCCTCGAGGCCGCGGCTGAGCGATGCCGCCTGCGGCCACGTGGCCCAGACGCCGGACCCGCCAGGCCCGGGAAGAGGGCAGCGATTCAGCGACTGGCAGAGAAAATGGCAGAGACTCGTGCTCAGAGGGTTCAGAAATGATGAAGAGAGATGAAGAGGATGAAGAGGCCCCTGATCTCATAACGTTTTGGGTTCCACGCTTCTCAACAAGAATGCAATGCCCCGAGCGGGCTTGAGGTGCCCTCTACTTCAAGTACCCGCAGCTCGGCGACGTCATGGCGTGCAGCTGAGCTTCTTTACTTGGGGGCAGTTTTTGGCGAATTCTCGGCGAGACCTCGATTGCGGGAGGTGGACTTCCCTCCCTCCCTCAGCGACGGTGGCATCGCGGTACCATGGCTGCACGTGAGCCGAGGGCCGAACATAACTTCATACAACATCGGCGAGCTTCAAAGTGCCGACAGCACTCGGCCAGCGCTAAAAAGCACGCAAGAGTTCCGCCAAGAGCTCCGCCAGCCTTGTGTTGAAAAGCAGTCAGGCCTGAAATGGCCATTTCAGCTTGGCTTCAGCGGTAACCTGAGCAAAGGTGGACCTCTACGAGATCTCCATGAACCAAGCCAGCTCAGGATGGACTGTTGCCGGGCGCCCGGCCTTGGCCGAAACTGGATTGGCTTTGCAGGCCCTAATTTTAACGCTGCGCGACCCGCCTCGGCCCGGCCCAGCGCATCCGCGTGAGCATGGTGATTCCGCAGCGCCCAAGTCGCTGGACCCCAAGCAGTAAGGGTTGGGTTTAGGGTTTAGGGTTCCGGGTTTATGGTTTATGGTTTGGGGTTGGGTTGAGGGTTAGTTTAGGATTGAGGGCTTAGGGCTCAAGGTTCACGCTTTGGGGTTTAGGTTTTTTTGGGTTTCGGGTTCGGCTTGGAGTGATCGTAGGGTTGAGCCAGGCCCCTCAGGGGGGGTAGGGTTCAGGTTTAAGGTTTAGGTTCAAGCTTAGACGGCTCTTGTAATGCGCTCGTGCTCGCGGGAACGGCACAGGAAAAGCAGCGGTGGGGGGGAGGGGGGGAGGGGATAGGGGGGGAGGGGGGGGGGAGGGGGGGGGGGGAGGGGGGGGGGGGAGGGGGGGGGGAGGATTTGGAGGGGGGTGCCTAGCCCGAGGCCTCGGCGGATTTGCGGCCGTGCTCACAGCAGTTGAGCCTCCGGGCCTCAAGCCAGCGCGTCGGAGCAGGAAAACTCCGCCTTGGGAGGGGGGTGGGGTGGGGAAGCGAAAAACGGGGGGCGCCCTGCTGGGATGGGCTGCAACTGCCTCTGGTCCTGGCGAGACATCCGCTTGCGGACCCTCCTCTCCTAGGGGGGGTACCCATTTGAAGCAAAAAAAGGGGGCCGAAAAGTGGCTTTGGGCTTGGGGGGAGGATTTGGAGGGGGTGCCTGTTCTGACAACCTATACACCTTCGGCCCGAGGCCTCGGCGGATAAGTCATGCGCTGGATCAGCAGCATCTTTTGGCAGTTTGATTTTGAGGTCGCCGGACATGTCTGGTTAACTTGAAACGCAAGAAAATGCAAGAAATTAGGAATGGCATGTGAATCATGGCACCACGATAATACAAGCGGAGTTGCGGACTACTCTCCGGTCAGCTGCGATTGAAGTCGGGCGCCCAGGTGGCCACCAATGCAGCGGGCGATTTCTCCACCTTGGTGCAAGGCTGTACACAAGGCGGGTTCGGGGCTCGAGTTGAGAGATTGTTCAGATGCGGCACTATATTAAGCAGGTGGACAAACAAGCCAGCTTGCAGCTCGTGCAAAGAAGGTGCAGATTTGGTGTTCCGGATCCGTGCACGCAACGCCGTCGGCTGGGGCAAGTACGGCAGCGAGGCCACATTTCTCGGAGCAAACTTGAGGCTCCTGTGATGGCTCCTTCAAACTCCTGAAATCTCCTCTTGGCAGGTCAGCACCGTCTGCGCCACGGAGCCAGCAAAGCAGCAACCCCACCATCTCGACACGCCAGGGGATTTGTGAGCCAAAAAACAAGTAGAAGAACAAAAAACCGGCGCCTCCTCAGACGTTTCGACTCGACCCCAGGATGGCCTCGCCCACGCGGGCCACATCGACGCGCACGTCCATTACCCTGGCGCCAGGTCCCAAGCAGTCCAAAGTCGCAGCTGCTGGGGCACCCAGGGCCCAGGGCACTCGCCTTCTTCCCAGAAAAAGATTCTTGTCCATCACCACATCCGGGGAATCAGTTTGGTAACAATACGTAACTTTCCTAAGAATTTTCAGACTTAGGTGGCTGGCTCCGGACAACATGGGCTCGGCCATTACGGCCTACAGGCTGTACGAGGCGCGTACGTGGCTGCATACCCCGAATCCGAAAAAGCAAACCCTATCAGCCCTACTCGTATAACCTTTACTATGTACGCCTTACGAAACCTTTCAATACAAACTTAATAGCTGTACCCTTCAAACCTTGTGAGCCCTGCGATACAAACCCCACAAGCTTCATCACCCTCATGGTTCATGAGCCCCATAAGCCCCTCAAGCTCCGCAACCCCTCTAAACCCTTTCCCCTTCCACCTTTTCATTTAGCGGCTCGAGGCCTTGGATGGGGGTGCCTACTACCTCATCTACGAGGGCTTCACCTTGTCCTTCGAATCCACTGGCTTGCTCACGGGCTCCACGTGCGCCCAGCGTCATGTATATATATATATATATGTGTATATGTATACGTATACGTATGTATGTATACGTATATGTATATGTATATGTATATGTATATGTATTTGTTCATTTTTGTTGCTCAACTGTTGTGTGTTATCGTTTGTGTGTTCCCCCACCCCCTCCGTCCCCTCATTGTCGCGCTTAAAGGGACGTGGCCGGGGAGGTACCACTACCAGGTCTCGGCGGTGAACGCCGCCGGGGAGGGCCCGCGGTCGGACTCCGCGCCGGCCTCGGCGTGCACTTCCTTGCAGATGAGCCCTACCTTGGCAACTCAAGGAACCCCCAAAAGACCATAAAAGGCCCTATGACCCTTTTCAAAGAACCCTGTCGCAACCGGCACATGCGTTGGTGCAGTTATGTGTTTATTCCGTTTTGTGTTTGCGGTACCCTAGAAAGGTTTTCCTCTGAAGAAGCTGCTCCTTGCACACAGTGTCGGGCCGTGTGCATGAGCGTCGAAAACTCGTCGAAGAAGCTGCCTTCCCACCGAGTCCACCATGCTTTGTGCCGGCCTGCCGGGAAAGCCAACGGCCGTGACCTTCTCACACAATTCCCGTGCGGTCCCCAGAATCTTCCGGAATCCAGTGAACCTCTCCGAGACCTTCTGCGGCATTCTGACTGATGCGCGATCTGTTTCGCGGTCGCCTGGTTGAAACTGAAGCTGATGGGAGCTGAGGCACACAGACGGTGGTCAGCTGGACAGCACCATCCGACGACGGCGGGTCTCCTATCATCCGCTATGAGGCAGCTTGGCCTAGCAGATCCTAGAAGGATGCTACAAGGATCGAAAGGGAATGCCAGTAATAGAATGACCTACTGACACGATGGCAGAGGCTTGCAGATTCAATTTAGTCGTATCTCACCACGATCAAAAGGGGCTTCAAGATTGAGCAGGACATTCGACCGGACAAGTCTGACTTCCGCATGAGGGTCCCTGATCGCAGGTGTGGTATCGTGACGGCTTGGATGCTGGCCCAATTGACAAGCTTGCTTGGAGCGGGACAGGCACTTTCCACTTGAGCTGCACAGATGTGGGAGCCTCTCGCTCCTCTGCACGTTCCGATGTCAGTCTTCTACTGTGCAGCCATCCGCTGCCTTTACCCTCTCAAAGGCCTGCAGCCTCGGCTCCGCCCGGTGGGACTTGCTAGGAGTGTGTACAGTTGAAATCGGCAGAGAGTGGTAGGATGAGTGCAGCAATGCGTGCTGACTGGAGAGCCTCTGATAGCTTTGATGGCTCTGATGGCGCACAGACGGATGAAGAGCACTTTTGGGAGGACCCGAAACGGCGTGGAATGCCAAGCCCTGAAAAGGACCAGAGCCAAGCCCAGGTCGACCAACTCCCTGTCGATGTGCCGTATTCGTTGTGGCCCAGCCCGCCAACACCGCCCATGCCGCCGATGCCGCCACCCACACCCGTTTTCCTCATGCAGTGCCCGTGCTATGGATGTTGGGACCCGGCATCCTTGGCACCATGCGACTCGTGCGACTCCACGTCCATCTCGGCATCCACCAGCCCAAGCCCGCCAAGCCCAAGCAGCACAGCGAGCACGGGGAGTGCCCAGGCTCGACGTCCCAGCGTCCAGTGCGGTTGCCATCGATTCCAATCAGTTTCGGGGTATTCGGCATTCGGGTTCGGGGGAGTTCTGCGTCCTCCTCTCACTCGGTTGCTTGTCGCCACGGATTCACATCAGACCTATTATGTGAGAGCAGCATGATGTGGCAGTGAGTATGCCCTTAAGTGTCATCTGTCGCAGGCGAAGGCTGCTGGAACCTTGAAGCACCCGCACTGCAGGTGCCGCAGACTCGACGCCTCTGTAAGGGGTGTCAACAGTGTTCCGGGCCTTTGGGTTGCTTCGTTTTAAAGGTCGTTCTCTTCCAACTTCCACATGTTCAAGCTCTGGTGACATGGGAGGCCCTGCAACAAGCAGTCCAAGTGCAAGCAGCTGCAGTGCAAATACTGCCACCACCCGAGCCACGTGGGTCCGGGATGCAGCCGCGGCCAGCGACGCCGCGACAGCGCGGCTCGACGCGCTCGGGGTCCGGATGAGACGTTCCAGAAGCTGGCGGGCGGAACATTTGGCAAAATGTGTTCATGTTTTTGGATTGTTTTGGGGCCATCTGTTGGAGTTCTGCGGAATCGCCTGCGCCTTCCTTTGTGCTTTCTCTGGCTGCGCGAACCGAGGCTTGAGAAGGAAGCGAAGAAGCTGGTCCGCATGGCTTGGCAGCACGAGCTCCTGGTGGAGGTGCGGAGCTCTAGAGTCAGAGCCAGGGCATGCGTTTTCTCCGCAGGGACCCACCGAGGTTTCTAGATTGTGCTTCTTCATTACAAATGCACATCATACACAGGTACAGGTACAATCAGGTACATACTTTTGCACACATGGGGCATGCAGAGAGCCTTTGTGTGTTGCTTACCGCCGCGGTCTTGGAGGTCGTGCGCGGCCTTGGAGAGCAGGCCATGCGCATGAAAGGCCGCCAGAAGACGCAGCAGTTCGAGGGGCGCAGTGCCCAGCTTAGAGGCGTTTGCAGGGCCCTGCCAGGCTTGTTCAGCTTGTTCACATTGACATAGAGGTTCAGATTCGTGCATGAATTCAGGGCAGTTGGGTTTGCCAAGGCCCGGAGAAGTGGCTGATTGGGCGCCTGGCGTACCTGGGGGTCGATGATGATCGCGAGTCCATGTTGCGAGCCTTGCAAGAGGCTCAAAAAGTCTTCGAGAGCTCAACGTCCACGTGACCACAAGACTGGGCCGGAGGTCTGCTGTAGTACGGCCAGGCCATTGCACGAAGCTGCAAGCTCAACCTTGGAGGTGGTGGAGAAGTGTCGGCATACATGGACTCTTCCAGCACCAAACCTTTGATGCAGATTTGTTGGGATTTATGTTGGCACGAGGCATCAGCAACCAGACCTGATATGCCTGTGCCACCTGAGGCGACAGAGTGGTTATTGCAGTTGTTACGAGGACATTTCAAGCTTATTCGCTCAGCGCAACGCGGCAAAAGGAGTCGAGCAAGAGAACGACATGGGCGACATAGGGGGTGTGCATCTATAGACTCAGCTAGAGACCATCGCTGTCTCTTGGTGAAGGCACAATGTCGGATGTCATCACGTTCCTGACTGGGGCATCTCTGCAGATTGAAGCCGCGGCCTAAACGGTGAAACAGAAACAAAGCAATAATGGCCATAGGGATCACAACAAACTATGCTCTGGATTGCTATGACCATCTCAGGTGGCCGTTGTGAACACCATGGTCTTTGCGGCTTCGATTACCGCGTGCTGTCATGCAAACTCTGCGAAGCTGCTTGCAGGATGCTGCCATAGGCAGACGAGATCAGAGTCCGATCTCGCACCCGAAACTTGCCCTAAACCTAATTCTCCCTCTTGGACTCTGTCAAAAATGCCTGGGCACATTAGACAGCCCTAAGCTCATCCGAAGCTCTCATGAGCCACAAGAGCAAAAAGGCCCGTAAGCCCCCCATGAGTTTCGAAGTTCTTGGAGTCCAAAACCCTAAACCCTAAACCCTAAACCCAAAACCCTAAACCCTAAACCCTAAACCCCCTAAGCCCTGTTAGCCCGAAATTCTGCCTTCGCGCCAGGCGGAGTCGCACTCGCTCCCGGGCACTCGCAGCGACACTTCGGCCCTGCCGGCTCAATGGGATCCCGTCGGTGACACCCCTAGCACCCTTGGCTGTGTGCACTAGTCTACGCACAGATAGATGAGTACATATACATGAACGCTCTAAATGTAAAGAAATATGTAGATAGAAATAACGAAAGAAAGAAGTAAATCAAAAAATAGATAAAAATAAAATCAAATAAATAAAGATATATACATATATATATATATATATTAATATATAAATATAAATATAAATATAAATATAAATATAAATATAAATAAATAAATAAATATATATATATATATATATATATATATATATATATATATATAAATTTGTATATTTACGCCTGCATCTGCACGTATGAGTGTTACATTTTGGGGTTGTGATTCTTTCATTTGGTTCATTTGCCGGATATAGACCGGCTGCTAGGCCCCCCCCCCCCCCAAGGCATCTGACATCCCTGATTCGTTGCTGTGCGCAGAGCCTCGGCCAGATCTACTACTCCGCCACCTACCCCACTGCGCCCGCGAACCTGGCAATGGCGGTCGCCCTGTCACAGTTTGGTGGAAGCGGTGGACGAAGCTTGAAGCGTGAACTTGAGAACGCCAGGCTTCGACGTTGATCTCCGTGACCCTTTCCTGGGACCCGCCCAGTGACACGGGTGGCATGCCTGTTCTGGGCTACAAGGCGCAGCTGCATCTCAACCTAACCTTTGAATACCTTTCGTGACCCTATATTACTTGTGCTTTCATGGCTTCGACTCAGCGACGCAACGATGGTTCAGGTGCTCATGGACGACGCCTTGGGAGGGCCGATGGTAGAGGAGTATTCTGGCACAGCGCCCGGCTCCCGGGGCCGAAGGAAGCCTCACACATGCACCCCAATCCACTTAAATTTTTCCTCGCTTTCTGCCAGAAGTCCTTCATCCAGCTCTCAGTGCTGTTTTTGTGCGACTCCTCTCGCCCCTCCTCTGAGTGTGTTTGTCTGTCTTGGGCTGAGGCTGACTTTCCAGAAGGTCGGCCTGGCCACCGGCTACACCTACAGGGCAGAGGCCGCATGTCAGATGTGCACATGATCCACATGTCGTAAATAAAGGTTTAGATATAAGAAAGAAACCAAACAGCGTATTCAGAAGCCAGCTACACCTCAACATGCCTCCAGGTTCTGGCATTCACGGCGAAGGGCGAGGGTACCGCGGCTGTCGAATCCCAAGAACCTCTGAGGGCTCGGCTTCCTAGGCAGGGATACGGCAGTGGAGACCGCATGAGACCGCGTGCGCTGAGGTCCTGGACGTGGCTCCCTGCAATGAACCAGGCGCAGCGCTGGAAAACCGGGCGCTGTAGACTCTGCAAATTTCTGCGGGGCGGGCAACTTGCCGGTCCTACAATGCTACCATCAGCCCCCAAGAGGACCCAGCATTGCAAAAGCTTTGAATGCGGAATCCTTGCAGTGGAGAAGGCCCCAATGCCCAGATCCAAGACTCCAATGTTTTGGACATTGGTGGACCTTTTGGGGCAATCGCAAGACCAGCTTTCTCCTCTTTTCTCTCCCCCTCTCTCTCTCTCTTCCTCTTTTGTTTTTCTCTCTCGCTGTCTCTGTTCCTCTCTTTCTCTCTTTCTTTCTTTCGTTAGTTTTTTTTATTTTCTCTCTTTATTTTCTCTCATTTTGTTGCAGGTTAGCATCGGACAAACTATTGTATAGCCCATCTTGTCTTGAAGTCCAGTACATCTCAAAGCGAAAGGGACCCACCCTAAAGTGCTACTGTTACTGGCAGGCTCCTGTCAGTCTGCATCTGTAAAATGCCAGTCCTCCAAACTCAATAGGGCCACAAGGCATGTTGCTGAGGGTTTTGGCAGCCGCTGATAAATATAGCATACATAGGAAGAAATATATTATATATATATATATATACATGACATCTTTTTGTTCCATTTCTAGTCATTCTAGTCGTGCTCCTTTCTCAGAGCGGCGCAGCTCTTGTCTTGCGCGGAAGGTGCCGTGGGCAACCTCCGCGTTCTGCAGCGGTCAGGCGCTCCCACCCATTTCCCTTCTCGGAACAAAATGTGCTAAAGGGCTCATATCGATGGGGTTTAGGGTTACGGGCTTCTAAACAAGGCTGAGAAAAAGGCTTCAGGCGAGCGGTTTAGATGGGGTGCATGCAAAGGTTTATCAGGGGGCGCATTTAGGGCTTTGGATAACCTGCATGCAGGGTTTTGATTGGAAATACGGAAATATTTAAACAAAGAACAAGTTCACCAAGTAAAGCACATATGTACATATATATGTATATATATATATATGATCACAATATTCCAACAGGATGAATAAACATGGATATGTATATATATATATACCTACATAGATATACATATATACGGATATACGTGCATACACACATACATATGCACATCTATGTGTAGCCGCAGTGCAGGCACGCTGGTGCAACTCGGCTGGGATCCGCCCACTGAAACTGGAGCCTGCCCCATCCTGGGCTACATTGCGACTTGGCAAGAGCCCAAAACCGACACCTCCAAAAGTTAAGACGACGCCATGTATTCCAAACAGAGGCAGAAGTGTGGGCTTCAGGCTTGGCATAAGGATACCACCGCGAGATGCCTTCTGGGGAACAGAATGATTTGCTTCGCTGATGGTCTGTTGCACTGTTGAATCCCAAGAAGTGAGCTGTTGCAAGCTTGACAAACTCGGGGCTTGGGTGCTCCCATGCTTCGGACCGTAGAGTGGCAGTCGATTTTCTTGCCCAACACCCTCCTTGCTGCTCAGATCCTGGCCGGCACTTCCGTGCCAACCATGGTGAAGGCGCCCGACAAGGGACACACCAGGGACACCTGGGGGGGGGCTCAACTAGATTTCGGGTTTGGTGAGCTTTGAGCTTTGGTGTTTCATGTGAATGCAGGTGGGCAGTACCACTTCGGTGCTGTCGACGACCTTCAACTATGTGCCATGTCCCGAGATCCGAGACGATGAGAGCCATCAGGAGCCCGCAAAAAGCTAGCGCCACAACTCCAAGTCGCACTCGTCGCCTTCGAGGCCCGCGACCTCAGACATGGCCCTGGTCTTCCGGGTCCTGGCCGACAACTTCAAGACCCAAGTCTCCGCTGCAGCCTCGGCGCCCCAGTCGTTGCGCGCCCGTTGTCCCCCCGCCCCCCGCTGCCGGTTCGGAGCTTCCCCTCCTCTTTTCAATTAAGCAGCTTGAGTTCGGGCTTGCAGCCCCTGAGAGCCTGAGACCTCCTTCACCGGAGCCGGCTCTGACATCTCCGTGATCGCAGCTGCCCGGCGCCCAGGAGCCCATCGAAAGGGGTTCTCTAGTTTATGCCGTAAAGCCCAAAATCCAACCCGATACGGTCCGAGTAAGCCGGCCTAAGATGTGGTCAGTTCTCTGAAGGTCCCTGTTTGGGTACCCCAAATATGAGGGTCCGCTTTATCATCAGGACCCCAAAAGGGACCATAAGTTAGAGGCATTACCATAGGCTAACCCACGAATCCCACTTCACGAGGCAGCTCCGGCGGCTCCCACGAATCTGGCGCGCACGGGCGGCTCGCACAGCACCGTGGCCCTGCTTGAGACCCAGGTGTTCAGCACAATGTGCCTGGGAGGGGGCTTGCAAACTCGAGATGATAGGTGGCCGTGTTTTCCTTTTTTTCTCGTCGGGGTTCCTTGATATTGCAGGGCAACACGACATGGAACAAAATCATGGCCGGGAGAGTCTCGTGACAGTTGGCAGGGCCCGAGGGTTGGTAAAGCTGCAGAGCGAAGTTTGAGAAATCTTGCATAAGAACTTTGACATCTAGATTCTTTTCTTACAAAAGAAATACAGAAACCACTGGCATGGCATGTGCAGAGCGAACACAACACATCACGGCATTTACCCGCTAGATGTGACATCTGAAAATTGTGACAAGTTGAGGTCTTGGACGGCTCCCACCGATGATGGAGGGTCTCCAATCACCAAGTACTATGTGATGAGGAATGATGGGTGGGGTCCTCGGACACTCATGTTTGCGATCCTTGCAGTAGCGCTTTTGCACCATGCCCCGCTGTCCCTTTCGGACTTTGCAGACTTAGCCGGCCAAGACGCATGCAGCTGCACACAGCAAGTGCGTGCTTTGCTTTGGTGCTTGGCGCTTGCGGCTCCACAGCTGTCAGACTAGGTCATGTTCTGCACAAGAGGTGAAAGTCATGAAGCAGAGAGCGATTTAGCTTGTCGGCGCTTGTCGGCATAGGCTACTCACAGAGTTCCCTTTACTCGAGGATCGACGGGGCCCAAATGATCTGGTTTGCCTTTGACTTTGGAGCTCTCACTACATCCGACAAGACAGTTGCAGGACTGGGGTGTGCCCATGGCATCAGCATGTATCAGCCTTTCCACTTGAGAGATCGTTGAGCCACTGATTTTGAGATTTTGAGACTGTGACTGTGACTGATGGAGCGTGGCTGAGCCGAAGCCCATGGCGGTCGGATGCCATGAAGCTGTGCTGTCCACGCTTCCCGATGGGCGTGTGGATGTCCCTGGGACTGAAGTCAGAAAGTCCGAAAGTCCATCGCGGCGCTGGCATGCGGCGACCTTACTTCTGAGGACCTTCTTCCTCAACTTCTTCGCTTCATTCTCCTACCACGTGATGGCAGTTCTGCTCCTGGGCCAAGCATGTTGAAAGTTGAAAGATATATGTTGTTTTATGTTCTGTGTGAGTCGAGTAAGAAGCGGCAGGGAGAAGCTTCCCGAGGCTGGTGATGTATGCCACCGACGAGTTCGGCTTCAGCGACAAGGAAGCTGGCACCTTGTACGGATGGTGGGGCATCCTGTTTCTTGGCTGAAGACGGCGGGGAAAGCCATGGGGACGGCTGGGACGGCTGAGTGGAACCAGGCTGCCTTTTGCAGATGTGGAGACTCTGCCTTGGGAGGTCCTCCTTGTGGACAGGCCTTGGCGGGATGTTCGCCATTGACTCTCGGATGGGGAGCAGTATAGGCATGAAAGGGGAGTCGGCGAGAGAGAGGTCGAGAGAGGAGTCCGCGAGAGGAGTCGGTCTGCTTTGGCCGAGGATGCAGTGGGCTCGAAGAGGATGGCTGTCTTTGCCACGGCCACCCGACCTGCACAGAGTCGTGGATTTTGTCCACTGTAAGGGTTCCGGTCCGAGGCCGCCATGTTCGCGACCCGCGCGATGCTGGTGCTGGCCCAAAGCCCCGACACCTTCCAGCCGCCTGGCCAGAGAGAGAAGCCATGAGAGAAGCCCCGTCTGCACGGAGTCAGCCTTTTGCGTGCAGAGTCCCTCCTAAGCAGGGCCCTCCACTGTATCAGTTCATCTCAGGTTGGCTCTGCTCCTGTTGTCGCCAGTGGCAGAGGGGCTCCTGCTGCCGGCGGCGTGGCAGCAAAAAACAAAGCCCCAATCTAGAAGATATTGCAGGAACGCAGAACGCCCCCAACGCAGCTTACAGAGCTGCTTTCGCTGTTCGGCTCAGGTGTTTCTGGTGGCCCTGAAGAGGCTCACCGAAGAGGAGGATCGACCGATGGCCTTCAGCCTCAACTACGCGATGCACAATGCAGGCCCAGCACAAAAGCTGCACCACAGCTTTCAAAAGAGAGGGGGAATATGGACAAGTCGGATCATTTGTGTTTATTCTAGATGGACATCTTTGCCGTGGGGAGGCGGTGGCATCGCTGACCTTGTCATCGACATCTTTCGGTCCTGGCAGCACCTCGCGGCTTGGCGGAAATATGAGGAAACATTTTTGAGGGCCCAGCACTAGGATCGTTTGGCTGGGAGCGTCCATGATGCCATCTGTCACCCCCTCCCTGCCCCCCAGCCCCATCTTCCCCCGAAGCCCCACAAAAGCAAGCAATAATCCTCTCAGCAGTCCAAAAACGAGACATTGCTTGAGTTTGAATCCCAGTCGAAAAAAGGGTGGGGTCAGGATCCCGCCGGCTTCACGGACCTGTTTGGCCGCTTTTCCACCCCGGCGAGGGCCTGCTTCCTCCTCTCAGAGGCCGCGCCTCTACATCGAATCCCAGCAAACTCCCCACAACTCCGCCAGGCTCTCTTTATAGTCACTCTTTAGCGAGATTCCAGGGCTTGGATTTCAGTGTAAAGGTGGCTGTGCAATGGTAAACCTAGGGAGCACTTCACTTCGGCTTTCGCGGAACAGGCCGCCTTGCTGGCCAGCTGCTTCCTGGCGTGCCTCCTGCCGTCGGAGCTGGCGCCTCCTTTGTCCTGCTGCGCGGGCAGCCACCTGAAGTTCCAGGAGTATGTCCTGTTCAATGCTTGCTGCGAAGAGCGCCCTGATTTTCGACCCGTATACCTGGCCTAAGTCGATTCGGCACTGAGATTCGGTTCTCCGTGCAAAGTCTCAGCTCCAGGACGAGGACGAGGAGGGCTCACCTCGTACGCTGGCGCCTGCTAACGGCTCGGGCCCCCGGCACCGACAAAAGCCACCAGAAGAGGTTGTCATGAAGAGTGTAGTGACTGGTAGTATGTGGTAGTTGACCGGCCGTGTAGTGTGATTGCTGGCCCAATTTACTTCGAGTTGCAGGACGGCCATGTGTAATTTGCCCAACGTGCTACCCTGGCCCGTCCGACCCAGGCGCCAAAGCGTCTCCAGTTCGTGTCGCTCTCAAGGAGGCCGCGGAACTGATGTGCCTCGGCTCGCCGAAAACCGCTACAAAGTTCACGTTGGGCAAAACACAGCACAGGCTCTTTGTCTGCTGAATCAAAAGTTCGAAGTCTGCGCGCCTGTCTGAGAACAGGCAAGATCGTGGGCTCTGGTTCATCGCGGCTTGCTCCACGGCACTGGTCGGCAAGCCCGGCCCGTGTTGCATGTTTCGGAGCCAGCAGCCAGAGGGCTGCTTTTGAGGTGCAGTTTTTTATTAGGGTTTCTAGGCCCTCGGGGTGTGTCAGGCGTGAAGGCACAGTGGCACCACATGAGACTTGGCCGGATCAACGCGTCAGGGCATGTCTTGGGTTCTCTGTGGACACATGTCTGGCACATGGGCCTGCAGAAAGGAACGCAACGATGCCAAAGTACCTGGTCAGGGAGCTCGGCGAAGACGTGCTTTCTCGGGCAATTCATTGAGATAGTTCAAGACTCCAGGTAGCAACAAAAACCTGCGTCTCAAGAGCTGTCAAGCGAACCATTCAGAAGGGCTGCCATCACACCAGTAGAGATCTCGAGGGGTTCGGAGGCAGTGGGACTCAGTGGGGCTCTGCACGTTTATGTTCTTTTATGTTGTTGTTCATCCTCAGGGGGTGCACAACACCATCGTATGCCCCAGGTGCCCTGGGGATCCGTGAATAGCATCAACTACTGGATGTGTGCCTGCCTGCCGCCCCTCGTCACCATGGCCACAGCCAAGTGGAGGACTGAAGTCTGCTCCCTTGGCTCCTTGAATTACGTCGGATAGCATATGATAGCCAGTGATAGCTCCGTTGTATGAACACTGCAGGAACTTCTCGGCCATCCTCTTTGGAAGCGACCCTCGGCACAAAAACACACAAATCTGAACACGTCGCGAGCCTGCGCCGCTAGTTGAGGTCGTGATGTCCTTATCCCCGGCGTTCATGATCTTCGAGGTTTCCGCCGAAGCCCCTAGCGTGAGCCGAATGGGTGCGCCTGAGGCATGTGTGAGGCATGGGAGGCGGTATGAGGCGGTGTTACGTGGTGTTGGTCGGATATGTCCTGGCAAAGTTTCAATGGCGAGGTGCGTGCCACCTGCGCCTGGCTCGTCACGATGAGCATTGGAGAGGCAGTGGATGGAATTCTTTGTGCCTTTTGTGTGAGCGTATAGGCATACTGTTGGTCGGTCATGGTACTGTACTGGGTAGACGTCCAGAATCTTGACTAATGCCACTTCTCGAGCTTTTCAGGTGATCTGGAGCCCGCGCTTCAACACCTTCTCGGCGAACTTATCTCCAGACGGCAAGGAGGCCGTCGGGGATCTGGCTTCTGTGTAAGATTCCCTGAGACAATGAGAGACTCCGTTTCTTGGGAGGGTGCCTTCATGGTCCTCGCGTTCACCCCGCAGCACGCGGCCAAGAACTGTACACAAGCCGCTTGCAAGCGTCCGCCAGCGTTTGGTGGCGTTGCCCGTCCTCGCAGGTTCTTGGCCGCACTGCCCACTGGCTGGATGTCGGGCATCCTGCTGGCAAACTACTGCCCGGACTGCCCGAGCTGTCGCAGGGACCTCTGAAAGGAAATGCACTGGAAGTCATGTTAGGTGAGGGCATCTGAGGGCGTTGCGTTGCTGCAGCAAAATCGGAGCCATTGTAGGAAAGCTGCAGGCGAGTCTGGCACGGGCGCCTTCTGTCGCTACGAGTGCAAGGCCAGGGCCGAAGGGCGCGCAAGCATTCCGTTTTGTCATGCTTTATGTTTTTTTTTTCTGTGTCTCTGGACTCAGGTGACTAAAGTGACTGAAGCATGACTATGCCCCCTTGCTGCGAGGATCCGGGTGCTCCGGTGCCTTGCAACGGGACGGCGCCAGGCCAGACAAACATTCCTGTTCTCAGAGTGGTAAGGCACTGTAAGGATTGCACAGGTGGTCGCAGTGATGAGTTGTAGTGTGTCTGTGTGGCAATCCTCCATATGATGTTCTCCAGATGCAGGCCTTTCCTGCTCCTCGCACCGGACGCTGCCGCAACCCTGGCAAGAGGGTACTTTTCTGCGACGTGCCCCTGACAGCTACGACATCTGTCCTGGGAGGTGCGCGAGCCCCGGAGAAGCCGGGTGCCCGAGCAGCTGCCGGGGATGTGAAGGCACGGCCTCAGATCCAGAGGGATGGGAGGGAAAGAGACCGAAAAGGAGGGTCTCAGAGCCTGATAAGAGCGAGTCACCTCAACCGAGTTAGAGTCGAACAAAAAGCTGAGTCAGAACGCCCTGAACCCAAGTGGAAAACAGAAAAGAGTCCCCTACAACCTAGACAGCCCTCAAACATTCATGATCGGTAAGTACAGGGTTCCAGCCATTCAGATGGACTTGCTCGATTCCTATTTCAGTCTTGCTTTTTCTGACTCGTGCTGTCCTGTTTTTTTGACTCGGTTTCGCACTTAGTCCACTCTGTCTTCGATTCACCGGTCACTTTGTTTCATTGCAACCAAGGCAACATACACATGTCTGCTTACAGTAGGAGACGCCGAGAAACCGAAGGACGACCACGTTGCCAGTAGGATCGTTATAGGCACGAGACTGGTGAATCCAGCTACTACACTTGGCTTTTGGCCCCCTGGTCACCCTGCTTCGAAGGCTGGCCGGAGCTGGCGAATGGACCTGCCTTGTGGGCCTGGGTCACCGTAGCGTCGATTCTGGGGCCGGTTTTCCTACTTCTGCTGAAGAAAATGTCGCTGGCGTCTCGGCAGCCAGAATTCATCAGAGTTCCTGTGGGCACTGGAGCAGTAGGTACAAGTGCAGCATCGCCATGTTAGTGCCACTGCGTTTTTTTTGAAGCTGGGTCAGGAGATCTCTGCCTCCGCCAAAGAGCGCATCTATGCCGCAGCGGAGCGTGATGGTGACGGGAGTGATGTTGAGGCACATGCCACCAGTGACTCAGTGTGCACTCTTCGCATCAGTTGCCCAACATGCCCCAACATGCCCCAATATGCCAAAAGGACTTGGCGAACAAGCCGTCGGCCACTGTGCTGGGGGCAGCGAGCCCCGAGAGCGAGGCGCATCGCCTACTTGTTGCCAATAAGAGTCGTGGTCGAATGCTGACGTCCTGCGTTGCGCCTGACGCCAAGGCCTACCTGACGCCCAGTCCAGGTTGAGCAGCGGTGGGAGAAAAAAACAGGGAGCTTTGCACTTTGCACAGCTTCGAGACCTGCACAACGCGAACCGTGGCCCAGGGTGGGCGGCACAACCTTCGTGGATGCCACCAACGGAGCTGAGCCGACCACCACCAGCTTCACAGTCTCAGGCCTCACCCTGGGCTACTACTACCGCATCCAGGCCTCACAAGAAATTGCAGCGCCAGTCGGGAGAGCTCTGTTAGTCCTCTGAGTCCTCTGATGTGGTTTTTGTAGAGGTGGCGGCTGCCAACCGAGCCCTGGACACCAATGCCCTCACAGACTTGGTGCCAAACTACGTCGAGGCCGGACTGGCATCCTGTGTACTCAGTGTATCTCAGTGTACTGTATAGACTTGCGACTGTAGACTCCAGTGCCTGTAGTGAGTGAAGTGAGTATCCTGCGTTTGTTTAGATCCTTGAACATAAAGCGGCCGCTCCGCACCTCGCCCCAGGCCTCCTTCTATGCTGCGGCCGCGCCGGCACCCTGCTCAGCCTGCGCAGTGTTCGGCTCTTCGGTGGTTATGTGATAGCCGCCTCCGCGTCCAACCCAGCAGTAAGAAGGAATGGGAAGTGGCATGAATTCATGTATGGTGCCTGACTGCGAGGATCCGCCAGGTGCGCCGACAGTGGTGGCTTCCACGCGCACGAACACGGGGCCAGAGGCCGAGCCAAGAGGAAGCCACGGAAACCCCTGTCCGGAGCCATTGGGTTACTGATGGAGAGAGGTCGTAAAGCATGTTGTCACGACTCTTTGTTTTGTCACTTAATGAGGCTCCAAGTGTCCTGGACTCCACCCGCCAGCTCTGGCGGAATTCCTGTGCTGGGCTACAAGCTTTACAGGCCTCCTCGACTGGGCCTTGCAACGCCCGTGACAGATCCACGCGGCTCAGAAATGTTCACCTTTGGCGCAGGGACAATGGTGCCAATGACCCCATCGACATCCTCCTGTGGAACGGCTCCTCGACTTGTTGTCGCGAACCCCACCCCCCCCCCAGCCTATTATATAATGCCATACCGATGCAAAAAGCAGCCCTTTGATGCCTTCTTCCCTTTAAGTCCGGAATTTGGGTACTTGAGGCTATGGACAGCCGGACGTGCTGTCCTTCACCGTCACGGGTCTGTCAGGCCGCAGTTTCCGGCTCCACAGGAGCCAGGGCATTCCAGGGAGCCACGGGCAATCTACCTCATGGCAGGATAGAGTTTAACATGGCGAGCGAGCGCTTCATGTCATTGGCATCATTCACGGCTTTTTCTTCGTTCACTGCCTGCCTTATCGCGAGGCGGGCTGCTGTACCGCTTTGCTGCCACAGCGATGAACTCTGCCGGCGAGTCCCTGCAGTGCCCCGTCTGAACGTCGCCAATTATTAGACTCTCTCTCTCTCTCTATCTATATATATATATATATATGTATATGTCTTAAATGTATATATATATATATATATATGTCATAATCATACATACATACATACATACATACATACATACATACATGTAGATATACAGAGAGATTTGCGGCCTAAACGGACACCTGGACACTGCCCCTTATCTTGGTGCGAGGTCGGCAGTGACTGTGGTATCTGGTGGCACGGAGCCTTCTCAGCCCCTTGGCCTATATGTCTCTGCATCCTGCGCCCCCATCAGCTCTCGCAAACTGCGAGAGGCTGGCTTCCCGCAGGGGCCAAGGGGGGTTGTGTGGGGGTGACAGGATGGATGCTCTGGTGCGGGACGTCTCTGTGAATCGTTCCGCGACGCCGGGCCCTAGACTGGCAGCGACAGCGGAAGTCGTAAGTTCAGTTCGTGCGCAAACACACGCGCTGGGCTCCCAGTGATGTCGTAATCCGAAATCCGAGGTCGGTCGCACTGTCCTGGAGCGCTCCCACAAACAACGGAGGCTCTCCTGTAACAGGAGACCGGTGGCCTTCTCCAGCCTTCTCCAGTGTGCCGCTGTTTTTTATAGCAAATCATGTCGTGCAGGATACATCGTGTCCTATGACGACGGAGACTACACTGACTTCACCAACAACAGGATATTTCCGCAGCAGCCATGTTGTCGTTCTACCCCCTGCAAGCTTCACCCAGGACCTACAGCAGCGTCACCTTCTCAGACTCCATCGACGGGCTGCACTCCCGCCATGCTTTGGCAGTCCACCCTGCGCTCTGCATCTCTTCACCCAGTGGCTTTATAACAACCGCTGTCGCGTGCAGGCCGGAGGGCAAGTTCATTCGCTTCGTCGTCTACGCGGAGAATGCGATCGGCCTCTCCCAGGCCCTGGGATCCGCATGGATCCGCGGTCAGAGAGATGAATGGTAAAGGGTATGCCTGGTGACCTGGTGAGGCCAGCCCAGTCTACCGGACGCAGGTCTGTGCGCTGCCCGCACCCCAGGGCGTATGTTTTCGCTCACCTCTTCAAGTTGACAAGACGATAAGCCCTCTGAGCTCAAGAGAGCGTTTGCCACTTCAGAGTGACTGGAGAGTCTGCAAAACGAGAGGCCAGACCCTGTGGACAGCTTCACGGCCTCTGATCACACGGCCAACTCCGTGAAACTGACGTGGGTGCCGCCCTCCAACACAGGCCCTCTGCACTGGTCGTAGTGGTCGCATTGTCATCAACCCTTCCCACCACAGTGTCGAGAGCTTTGCTTTTCAGAATCCAGGCTGTACGGGATCCTTGGTCACCGGCTACAAGGACCGGCACCTCCTAGAAAAGCTCGCGTGCTGACCTCTGGGAGATTGGGGACCGCCATGCCCGCCATGAGGTCTACATGCGCCAGGGCGCCAATCCTTACTACCTCGTACACGACGGCGGACCGGCGGTTTCGCGGCCCAGCTGTTGGCACAGTGGCATAGAGAGCACGAAATCACGGCATGCGGCTTCGGCGTTGAGGTCCTCACCCACTTGCAGCAAGGGCTTGCCGCTGGCCTCACCTACGGCTTCATGGTATGGGCCTTAGGTTCCGATGCATGGGGTGCCAGCACCTCAGCAACGTCAAAGTCTGGTACGTTTTGAGTTGGTTGTTACTGATAATTTAGATGAGCGCATGATGAGCATGCGAAGAGTGCTCTGGTCACCGACGGACTTGGGCTCCAGGCACTGAGTGAAGCTGTCTTGGGCCCGTTTTGGGCCCCTGGCGCCCTGTTGCGCCCTAGAGGCCCTTGGAGTGGCCCTCCTTCCCCCACATGCTCTTTTTCAGCACCAGGAGCGGCAAAGCCAACTATGCCAATTGTGCCGGAGGATACAAGCTGGACACGCGATGTTTGAATGGCAAGCCGGTGTACGTGAACGAGGAAAGCGAGCGATTCTTGGGCAAGACGGCCCAGGGCTCCTGGGTCATTGGGACCCTGCGTGATCTCGACACCTTCCTGGCAGAGGATGCGAAGTCCTTCGGAGGATTCCACTCGGCCCAAAGAGGCCCCGAGGATGGCTGGGAGAACTACGAGGTCGTGCGCAGGGAAGCCTTCGAGTTTCGGGTGAAGCAAGGCCAGCCGGACTACGCATCATGTTCCGGGACTTATCATGAGCTGGATACCCGGGATGCCCGGCTGAATGACAGACCCGTGTACCTGAATCGGGAGAGGCACCGCTTTCTTGGGGCGACCAAAAGCGGCAGGTGGACGATTCTGAGCATGGACCTTCTGGAAGATTTCCTCCGCACACAGCCGGAGTCTTTCGAAGGCTTTCATGCGACCCCGGAGCACCTGGAGGTCCCGGAGGGCCCGGAAGGCTGGCAGAACTATGAGGTCCGGCGGCTCCTCCCGAAAAGGACCCAACAACGAACCCAACAAGGGGCCCAACAAGGGGCCCAAGAAGGGGCCCAAGAAGGCTCCGTGAGCTCTCAAAGCTCGGCCTGGGAGAAGCTGGAGAGCTGCAACGTGACCTTCCGGGCGGTGGCCAACTCCGGCGTCTGCCGCACCGAGGCTGCCGATGCGCACCCCTCCCCTCAGCCCCCCGCATCTTTCGAGTACTAGGTCGTGACAGCATGTTGTCGCGACTGTGTGTCCTGTGACACCCAACCCTCCTGAGTCTCCCGGAGTCTTCTTTCCGGGAGGCACATACATTGTTGGAAGCATCTTGAAGCGCTTCACAAAAGTGTTTAAAGGTTATAGGGTATTTATCTGGTTTGAGGTACGGTCTGGGTCTGGCGTCGTTGCTGGTCGCACTGGCCACTGCCGCTAGGCCGACTTCGCCGAGAACCGAAGGCGGTGCCTTGCCAGCGACTGCGGCGGCTTCGCGTGGCGGAAGCCGCACTTCAACCAGTTTGGCGAGGAGGACGACCCGCCAGTGTGCCGGTCCCCAGAGTCCAAGTTTGCGTCTTTGAAGTCTGAAGCTATGCTTCTATATGCTGTCCAAATGAGCGATTCTTGGTTCTTGACTGATATCGTTAAGCGAGGAGCTTTGAAGGCATCACTAGCGAGGTTTTCACGAGCTGTGGTAGACTGGGGCTGCATCGATGTAGCGAGGCGTGTACTCTTGCCTACAATATGCCGGTCCTTCCCTCTTTCATTTTTTGTCTCTTTATCTCTCTCTCTCTCTCTCTCTCTCTCTCTCTCTCTCTCTCTCTCTGTCGATTTTGAATCTGTCTGCCTGCCTGCACTATCCTGCGCTGAACATGCTCACGCCTTTTGTCGCGCTGATATCTCTATGCATATGTGACATATGTGCATTCATTTGTATATCTATATGACAATACTCTGCATCCGTATTTGTGAAAAACCCCGGCGATTTCTTTGTAAAGAATCCACATCTGATGATTACAGCTTATCGAGGTGCTTCTTCTTCCGGCGGACACAAGACGAGTTGCGGCGTGCCCTGAAGAAGGACGAGGCCTTCGATCTCTTCTTGGCGCCTTCGAACTTTGAGCCCGACTGCTCCTTCAAGCCAGGCAGAGACCCAGCCCCTGCCTGCCACGTGCGGTGGCAGGCCGGCAAGGCCGGCAAGGCAGGCAAGGCAGGCAAGGCTGGCAAAGTCCACAGCTTCGCATGTCAGGTCTTAGTGCCAAAGGCACAAAAGCCTGCACCCCACACCTACTACTGTGCCTGCGGCTTTCAGAGTGGCTACTGCGGCATCCAGCAGCATGAGGGCCAGAAGCAGCAAGTCCTCTTCTCCCTTTGGAACCACCCCAAAAGTGGGGCGCGCGTGGAGAGCGTGTACACTGCGCCAGGCTGGCCGGGACATGGCCATTGCTATACTTGTTCCACAACCTTCCTTCGTGTTCCACATCAATCATCACTACATTACTACATTCTTCTTTCCTTTGCGATTTCTCTTCCTTTTCTGGAGGCGTGGAGGCCAAGCCCTTCGGCGGAGAAGGCATGGGCCTGGGCGCCTACTGCGTGACCGCGCCTGGCAAGGAGGACGCCTCCTCCTTGGCGCGCTGGCACGAGGGAGAGGCTACCAGCACATAGGGATGCCAGAGAAGTATTAAGCAGCATTTGGCCAGCTAAGGTCTCCTTAATTATTTGTCAGAATCACGGCCCACCTGATGCACAGTCATAGGCAGCCAGAGGTAGTTCTATTGTTGGGCATGTTAGGGGTGTACTCGTACCCTGTTGCCCATGTTTCCTTGGAGGCCTACCTTTTTGTGGTGCGCTCCAGGGCGGTGGAGCGGGGCTCGGAGGTCAGCTGCCACATGCACAAGCCCACGGGTCCCGGCAAGGGCTGGGTGGAGTTCGCGCGGCACCTGCGGCCGGAGCCCGAGGAAGAGGCCGCCACGCGAGGCAAGCTCTGGGGCCTCTACAGCTTCATCGAGGACTTCGCTGGCGACTTCGCTTGGTGAATGTTACTTCTACGTTGCTTTTGCTGTTTTGGCAAAGCAGACCAAACATATAACCTAGCAGCCCAGCGCAACAAACCCACACGGAGTCGTATTTGCAAGGTTGTGTTGACGGGGTGAGTTTGGGAGCATCCGGGCGGGTGAGGTAACTCTGTGCGTCGCTCGGCCCAGTACGCCGCGTGGGTGCAGGTGGAGCCAGGGGCGGCCTGGCAGCCAGTTTCGAGCATCGAGGGCACCAGCAGCGCCGACCTGGATGTTCCCAACAAGTGCGTCCGGCGAGTGGAATGCAAGGGCGAGGGCGGCATGCCGGGCAGCGTGTGCGAGGCCGTGTTCATGGAAACGGGCGGCGACGCTTTGCCGGAATGCGGCCTCTGCTGTGGAGACCTGCAGGCCCCACCGGTGCCTAAAGCTCTCCTCGAGCTTGGCTGGGATGCGCAGACCATTTTGCCATGATTTGCTGCTGCCCAGACATGGAGTGGGATCTGCCCTTGCCCACAGATTTCGCAGATGGCCAGACGATGCCATGATGCCAGATGGAGAACTGAGACCTACCTGCCGGGACATCTTGGGCACCCCGCCACATCGACAGTCAAGCACGAGCCGAAGTCCCCGATGCCTCCGAGAAACGCGCGGCCAGGCGCGGCCAGGCGCGGCCACGCCTTCACTCCGAGTGAACCGCAGGGTATCGCACCTCTCGCACCGCACAGCGCCATCGCAGGGAATGCTTTCCGGAAGGAAAAAGGTGTGTTCAGAGCATCACTGCATCACCTCAGGAAGCAGCTCAGCAGATGGTCAGATCTGGAATCGAAACTCGACTAAGGTCTACGTCTGCCAGGTGGACAATTGTGATGTCGGGCGCCTGGCACCAGTTCCACGGCTGGCCCCTTTCTTGTGTGCTAGCACGAGTGCACACTGCAGGAAACTCAGGAAACGACATAATAGGAAGCACAAGGAGGCAGAGTGCCTGTCTCGGGATCGATGCTTGAGGTCGGCTTCCCTGACGGTGGCATGGAGGTTGTCGTGCCCGTCTTGGTTGCAGGGCCTGTCGTGCAACAGCTGCTTTTCGGGGGACTCTCTTGCTAGTGCCTCTGTCTGCAGGGCTCCTATGGAAATACTATGTACTGTACGCTGTTCAGTGCACAAGACGAACAAGTAGCATGAGTGTTGCGCAGCGTGCCTCTCTCAGTTGTTGTTTGTTGCAACTTACAAGGCTTTCCAGCCTTCCAAGGTGTGTTTCCGTCGAGGGTACCCGTGCATGACTGCTCTGAATTCCTCGCGATTGCTCGCACCTATAACAATCAAGCCCGTAGAACATCACAATGCAACGATGAACCCTCCAAACTCTAAGAATCCTAAATGGCCCTATTCAGTCCTTGATCCCATGCCCTTATTCATCTTATCCTCACCAGCAGATGGGTCCCTGAGGCGGGGGATGCGCCGACTTTCGGTTCCGACCCCTTCACGCTGGTCTCCGCTGCACAGACGGCCATCGAGGCAAGGTGAAGAGTTGGCACTTTAGAAAAAACCCCCTTGTTTGCTGCTAAGTCCCCATAACAACCGGCCACCATCCTTCCTCGCTATACTGACTTTTGAAGTTGACCTTAGAAAGTTTAAAAAGTATAAGTTGCGGAGGCTCCGGGGGGTTGGTGTTTTTCCCTTTGAGAACCGGGTGTTCCTAAGCAAGCAGTCAGCTTCGGCACGCACCACGAATCTTGATCAATGTGCCTTGTTCCCCAGGTTCCTCTAAGCAGGGTCCTCTTTGCGCCGGAACTCCTCCCCACCCATAGAATAAACCCGGAAGCCCAATCTGACAACACCCCCTCTCCTCCTGCCTCCGCCTCAGCTTTCCTGGGGTTCGCCTTCGGGTGCGCGGCGCCTGGCAGGGAACCTGGAAGAATCCGATGCCGACAATGAAGGTGTGATTAGCAAGTGCATGGCTGGTTGGGAAGGGCCACTTGCACATATATGCATGGAGCCATGCCTAAAGCATTGTGCTCAAATTTCATCTTTGATTGTGTTCTCCTCCCAGCTTCGAGCCATGGGTGATGAGTCGAACACTTTTTCTGCACCAAGCTTCAGCCAATCTGGCTTTTAAATTGCAGGAATGGGAGATATCGAGTGACGCTGAGCTGGCTAACCTGGTGTCGGGTGAGGAAGAAGCCCGTGAGTTCGGGCTGGCAGAGGTGCTCATACCTGAGCTTTTGCGCTTGCAAGCGGCTGCTAGCATTGCTTTCCAGCAGGGCATCGAAAGAGCATCTCTGCCAGCTACGAACAAGAGACAACGGAAGACGCCGATAGTTGCAATCGGGGCTCGCCCTAAGCAGCGGGCAATACCTCCAGCTGCTCTGCGGTCCAGGCAATTCTGTGTGAGACGGCCACAAGTTGTGGTGCATCAAGATCCTCTTTCAGCAGATGGGCCTAGGACGGCTTCGCTCAACATCATGTTTGATGTCGTGTTGGCCACCGGGTCGCGCAACCTTTGCTTTGAACCCAACTCACTGGAGGATCCCTTAGCTGCGAGGCCACTTTTCGAGAAGCGCCTTCACATAGTGGAGACAGACCGTTTGAGGCAGCATGTTGCAGTTTTTAGGCGATGGATACGTTTCCAGGAGAGCAATGCTCCTGCAGAAGCTGTGTACTGGGCCCCCAGTGCGCTATTGCTTGGACAGTTTTTGCAACACGTCAGCAAGGGCGGGCCCACGGCCGCGGTTTCGGTCTATGCTTCCCTTAAATGGTGGCATGACAAACTCGGGCTGCCGCTGCCGATCCAGGATGCGCTTGTGCAACCTTGGGGTCAGGCCGAAAAACAGCACGTGGCCAGGCAGCGCACGCCTCTAGAGCCGGCCATCTTTGTTTCCATGTGCAAGTTCCTCAAATCAGCTCGCGGCACGGTCAAGTCTTTCATCGCTTGGACTCTTCTGACCCTTTCGGCATGCCTTCGCTTTGCTCACATCCAGCGTTCAGGTCACCTACGGCTTGAGGGGTGGCTCTTAGTGGGTTTTTGTGCAAAGGGCAAGCGGCGCATGGCTGGCACCAGGCCGCCCTTTGTGTGGGCCACACCAGCCTGCGTTGCGCCAGATGCTGACCTAGCGTCGGTCCTGTTGTTGGAGTACGCTGAGTTGGAGAAGTCCTTGGGCTCAGTGCCAACGTTTGTGGTGCCAGACTTGCGCCTTGCGCCAGGAGGGGCGCTTGAAGCCAGCACACAGAAGGTTGCCCGTAAGATGCCCCTGCCTAAGTTTGTGACCCTCTTGCGATCGCTGCTTGGAGCCCTGGGGGTCCCCGAAGACCAGCTTGCGCAGGCTTCCACTTACTCTTTACGACGCTTCATGCCCACACTTGCTGATTGTGCTCAGGCGGATTACAGTCAGCGCCTCGCAGTCGGCAACTGGGTTGAGGCAGTTCAGGATAGAAGACAGCAACCCGCTTCCTCGATGCCAGTGCGATACTCCGATCAGAAGGCCCTTACAGCAGGAACCGTTAAGTTGCAGCTTTTGGCCCACTTGCATCATGTTGTTTCTTTGCAAGGCGAGAGGCTTCAGTGGGAGCATATCGCTAGCTCGCATGCCTCGGCCGACGAAGTACACAAGCTCGCTTCGCAGCCATGCTGGTCGCCCAAGGTCAGATCGGCAGGGAGTCAGACTAGTTCGTGCCAGGCAGCTGCCGAGCCTGTCAATGCCGACGTGCAAGACTCAAGTTCAGCTTCCTCTGAGGCTACAGACTCAGAGGATGAAGCACTGGCGCCATCTATGGGATGGTTTGCGCAAGGATCTAAAGGTCGCGCGCATTTGATCCAAGCTCAAGAGGGCCCCCGCTTTGTGCCTTGGTGCAGAGACTCGTCTTTCGAGGTTGTGCACATGCACCGGGGTTTTGGTTCGCTCCCTGACGCTTTCGAGTTGTGTCAGAAGTGCGCTTCACGTGCCCCGCTTCAAGTCATGCGCAGCCTCCAAAACACAGAAGACTAAAGATGGGAGCTTCCGCTCGCCTCGCCTGAAAGAGCTGTGTGGAGGTTGACGCGACGTGTGAACGGCAGTCGGAAATCGTCGCACTTGCCGCTGTTTCTGCAGTTCCTTGCTGCGCAGCTTGAGTTGGGGCGCTTGCCCTGGCCTACTTGCAGGGAAAGCCTCCGCTGTCCGCAGTTTTGCTCACAAGGGTCCAAGAGGAAGACATGCGCTTTGTTCTTCAGTCAGATTTGCAAGTTTAATTGTGGTCATGTGACGCGTGCTGCTATCATCGCATCATAACATAAAATATTCACTAGAAGTACCAATACGCCTGCCATGTCCGACGTGCGTTCCATCTTGGAATCAGCTTCCTGCAGTGCTGAGGTCAAGGAGTATGTCCTGACGCAGTTGGGGGTGGCAAACATTGAGGAGTTTGTCTGCCTGGTGGCCACCAGCACCTATGAGGCTGAACTCAAGACCCTCATCATCGACCAAGTCCCTTCTGCGAAAGATAAGCCAGTAGAGCTGGCGCGCTTACGCTCTGCGTGGAGGAAGGCCAAAGCTGAGCTTCTCAAGATCGAGGACCGTAGCAGACGGGGCCTCGTCGCTCAGGATGATGCCGAGGAGTGCTTGGAGCCGGCTTTGCAGGAGTCCTTGATGCAGACCTTCCAGCGCCTCTACGGGGTCAAGCTTTCCATTCACCTGACGCCATCAGACTTGCTGTTGGCCAAGGTTTATCGTGAGCTGCAGAAGAGGACGCCCACGGTGATTGATGTGGCGCGCGTCCGGTCCCTTCACCAAGCCAGCAAGCCTTCCAGCGAGCGCAAGATTTCCCTGGCCGCAAACCTCACCTTCCGGCTGGACGAGGTCCCGGATCAGCAGGTCAAGAGCCTCATTGACTACTTCAATGCGATCCGCATCTTGGGACATGCCTACGCCCTGGCTGGACACTTTGAGGTCGAGAGCCAGGTGCCAGGTACCAAGGTTCGCATGGCCCCGCTCCAGCAGCAACTTGAATATGCTGACATGCTCTTGCGCTGTGCATCTTCTTTAGATGCGCCGGTAAGCTGGGTTAAGTGCAAGGACGAAGCTACCAGGTCCAGGATGATGGAACTCGTGCGTGCATCCTGGTCCCAGGGCGAGGCCCTGTCACAGGCCATGAAGGAGACTGAGCTTTGGTGGTTGCAGCCCCCTGCTCCTTCAGTCCCTAAACGTGACCTCGACTCTGACTCTCCGGGGCGAGCCAGCAAGACACTGCGCACAGGCAATGAGTGGAATCGCAGGCGACTCTGCAAGAAATGGAATGACAATCGTGGGTGCACCAACAAGTCCTGCCCCGATGAACATCGCTGTGATGCACTCAAGCCTGACAGCAACATCTGCGGCGCCAAAGAGCACAACCGCTTGTCGTGCCCATTCTTTACAAGGCGTTGAAGCGAAGGCCACCCTGAGGGGGCGTGCCACACCCCTCAGGGCCCGGCCAAATCCACGGCAGACGACAGTGCTTCCGAGCACCCAGGTGCTGCGTTTTCCACTGCTGCTAATGCCCAGCCTCATGCCACTTTTTCTCAAGGTTTCCGTGGGTGGTGTAGGCCTGTTTTTCCTGGTGGAAAGCCTGAGCCCGTGCGGGTTGGTCAGCCAAGGTCTGTTCACGCATCGCTTGGGTCTCCGCCAGACTCAGGCCCACCACTTGCTCCGCAACGCCAGGTCATAGTCAGGCGTAGTTTTGTTCCAGAACCCTTAAGCCCCAATTTTGGCTCCTCCAAGGATCAGCGCCCTGGCGCTCGCCATGTGCAGCTTGCTGAAACCTCCTCCAATGACACTAATGCTAGTTCCCCCATAAGAACGCTCCCAAATAGTCAGCGTGTCCTGCAAAAGGGAGCCTCGGCCCTTTCTGCCAGTCATAAGCTGTGGAAAGGGGCCGTCCGTTCTGTGCAGGCCGTGGGTTCTCGCAAGGTGCCTCCAAGAACTGTCACGCCTTTGCGCAGCATTCATCACTTGTGTTACACTGCCAGTGCCCCGCTCCCTCAGCTCCCCTGCCAGGCCTCATGGACAGGCACACTGTTGGTGATCTCCCTCTTTAGTGGAGTTGGTGCACTGTTGGTGGCCCTTCTTGCGCTTGGCATTTCATGCAGCGCCATTGCGGTCGAGCAGGATGCCAGGGCTGTTGCTGCGGTTCATGCGTCGTTTGCAAACGTTTGGCAGCAGCCTGACGTCAGGTCCTTTGACCTGGACCAGGTTCGTAGACTCCTCTCCAGTCACCCATTCACTGCAATCTTAGTGGCAGGCGGATCTCCGTGCCAAGCGGTCAGTGCTTTGAACTCCCCTCGCAGTGGCGTCCAAGCCGACAGGGCGCAACTTTTCCGTCTCCTCCCGGAGATTGCAAGAAACTGCGAGGCCTTGGTTAAGGACTTAAACCTTTCCGTGCCAGTTTTCTCTCTTTTGGAGAGTGCTCCAACAGACTTTCCAGACGTCGTTGCGCAGCAGATGGGTGGCCCGCCACTCACTGTCTTCGGTGGGAGTTTCGGTTGGGTTAGGCGGACGAGGTGTTTTTGGGGGCAGGTTCAGGGCCGGTCCTTGCACTCTGCAAAGTCTTTGAGGGCGCCTAAGGATGTTTGCGTTTCCCGGTCCCATGATGGAACATGGCAGGCGTACTGGCAGGGCAAGAAACCGCTGCCAGCATGCATCCACTTTGATGGGGGGTACGCGCCTGCCTTCGAGCCTGCTGAGGCCATGTTGCAGGGCCCAAAGGCCGAACCCTTTGCGGCTTTCGCCGCGTGCTTCACGCGCCCGCGTGACAAAGTGAAAGGCGTCTCTCAGGAGGCCTTGTTACGTTTTGAAGACGACAGCAGGCGCTTCCCGCCGTTCGCGTATGAGGTCAAGAATCTTCTGTGGAAGGGATCCGCGTGGAGACAACCCAACTCTCGTGAGCGTGCTG